GCCGCTACGAGCGGGTGCTAAGGCGAACTAACTACACAGGCCCTGGGAGAAGAGGTTCTCTGAGACGCGGTCGCCCATCCCGGAATGCGTTAGGAACGCCTAGGGCGAAACAGGCTGAGGTTAGCCACCTGCTCCAGCGGTGGGGAGCTGAAAGAGCGTTCGTGAGAGAGCTTCGGCTAGCTAGACGAGCTTCGAGGCTCTTTGGTCTCACGCTTGAGATGTGACGGAGAACTTCTGCAAGCGGCCCTTTGAGAAAGGCGGTGACCCATGTCGGTGGCTCTTTTGGCCTCCATCCACCAAAGTGTAAAAACCTTGCCGCGGGATCGCCCGGGATCACGTTGCACCCAGGTCAGGTCTCGCGGCATTCTCGTAAAGGAAGGAAAGTTCCCAATGCCGAGTTCTCAGGATCGTCGGGGGTGGGATGTCAGGAAGAAGGATGATCAGTTTGCTGCCACGGTGTCACCGCTGTGCCTTAACTTTGCCGCATCCATCGCCCAGTACGAGATCTGCCGAATCATGCTATGCTAGGTAGGTGCCGAGAGGACAGAGACGGGCTTGCAAAGCAGGTGCCTAGTTGCTACATTGAACAAAGCCGAAGTCCCTCGTTTCTGTACAAGAGTGTACTTCTTGGATCGAGACAGTACAAACTTGTACATCTGACAGTCGAAACGTGCGTGTATGCCTGGTCTGTGCCATTTCAAACTCCATTGCGCAACCTTTGGATATAAGACGGCTCATGATATTGAACGGTGTTATTATTGTTTGGTCAAGTCTTCCGAATGAGCTATCCCACCACCAACCATTCCGACCATGTGAGGTCTCGTAGGCCTGGCTGATTGGTGTTCTTCTGCTCGGAATCAGTGCATCATAGACAGAGACCGACCTTCAAGGAACCTGGGATGCCAAATGGGAGAAAAAAAAAAGTGTTCATTCAACATAAATATATATCATATTAGTATACCATGGCAATGCTTTGCGCACCACGTCTCTAATCATTTATGTGTCTCATGCCCAACGCCGCACCCGTGCCCGCAAAGGTGCCTCATAAAACATTCGTGAAGAAGAGAAAAGGCAGCCCCGAAACTCCTCGATGATTATACAAACCCATTAGTGCGTTACCAGCCTCACCGCCTGAAGCATAAGCCCGAAAATCAGTCCTCTGGCGACTTCTTCGATTTGGAGACAGTCAAACACACGGCCAAGTGCCTCGCTTGTTGCCGCCTGTCCCATGACACCCATCAACGCCGCGGGAACACCACTTCGGATAAGCAATTGCCTGGCCCTGACTCTTAGCTTCTCCTTCTCCTCCGCAGTCATTTCCGCAGGCCAATTTGCTCGCTCTGCTTCTGTGGGCATGGCGTTCTCCCTCATCATGCGGAGCTGTTCAGCAATTCCAGCATCCGAGGTGTTGACATCAAGCACTGATGATTGAATAAGGTTCTGTACCGTGAGCAACGAAGGGTTACCAGGGCGGAGTAGAAAGGACTTTGCGGCTGTTAGGAGCGTTCGGCGGATATTCCATGCTGAAGATAATGTGTACATCTCATTGATCACGGCGAAAATCAGCTCCACAGCAACTCGCGTCTCGCCCTCAGTGAGTTGTGAATATTGCCGACTGGGTTGAGTTGAGCCTTTCCGAGCACCCGCCGAGAGAGGGAACGAAGGTGTGCCAGGCGAGACGGCTTGGTTGCGTGTATCTAGCCTGGGAAGGCTTTTGCTCGACTTGACACCCGATTCCCCGTTGCCGGGAAACACATAATCATCTGCTATTTCGTCAGGGTGGGGAGGAAGCCTTAGGTCACTTAAGCTCATGGATGAGGGCGACCGGGTTGGAGCCAAGCTGGAGGCCCTGCTGTGATCGTGGCTCTGCCGCCCGCTAGCAAGTCCTGATGATGAATGGTTACGCTCGGAACGGCCAACTCTAGTGGCTTCCATGTCGTAATCTCCCGGCTGAGACTGGTAGCTGGGACGTCTCTCCATAGGTGGCATTTTGCCAGGTTGCGTTGAGATGACGGACGATCGCTCACTATCCATACTTGCTCGCTCGGACCTTACAGGTGACTTGGTATCTAAACGGGCGGGGGTGGAGAGTGAAAGGCGGCTTGTGCTTGCGCTGGCAGTGAGATCAACCGACTGGCTGGTGTTTTTGCGATTGAGCCCTGGGAAGTTACCGAAAACATTCTGAACTCCGCCGACAAGCTGTTTGCCACTCTCCATCGCGCCTTTCGGCCCCGTTAGTGCGTCCATCATGTTCTTTCCCATGGTGTCCCAGGCGAACTTTGACTCGGATTGAGTATGAGTATGGCCTTTTGATTTCTCCAAGAAGCGCTTCATTCCCTCACTCTCCGCCAAAGACGCATACCAACACGCATCGCGCAGGTATCTTTCCAGTTCTCCACGCAAGGACTGTCGTGTGTGAACCCTCCAGCTTGGTAAGTCTGTATGTAGTTCGGTGAATGCAGTAGCGCCCGAAATGGCTGCAATTCTGCGCAGAATTTCGTGCAGGGTTTCAAAGTCAGAGTATCTTCTCACAATCATCCACCCGGAGTAGTGAGAAGAGGAAGGCTCCGCCTGAATCAAGTAATCCCAGTTCGGCTTGGTTCGAATTCGGGACTGATCACCCGCATCATCGTGGATTGTAAAGTTAGCATTATGCAAAGTCAGCGGAGGCTTCTTCGGTTGTGGCATATCCTCATCAAGCTCTTCGTCTCGAACCGGAGGTGCTATTTGGTCAAAGCTTGTGAAATGGGCGATCGGCTTTGGTGGTGAGGTCTCCAGGCTAGGTATATCTGATGGCGACCCTGGTGTTAGCGGAGTAGGGAGGGTTTCGGTTCGTGAGATGGTGGAAGGATTTGACTGGATCGACGACTCTCCAGTGGAGAAGGACTTCTTGTGGTGGTCAGTGTTCGCCAAATCTATCCCCGCGGGCCTGTCCATTGAAGGCCGAACCGTAGATGCCCGGTCTCTGTTGGTGTGTACACCATTGGTTTTCTTGATATTCTCCGCGACCACTTCCGCCTCTTCATCTGCCTTGCTTAATTTCTTCTTATGAGTTTGCACCCCGTCCTTGCGGCGCATTTCTGCGGATGAACGCCCTGGCTTTGCTATGCTGATGTTCCCAATATTTCCATCCATGTCAGCAAATGCATTTGACATTGAGTCCCTGCCTGTCTGCATGCCAACATCGATGGCCTGATTAAGATCAGGCTCTCCGGCTTCGAGAAGATAGACGATCCATCCGTTGATCCATTCAGCCTTAGAACAGGTTTGCAGTGTGGCCTCAAGGACAGTGTTGCTAATTATCTCCCGGAAGAAAATTCTGACGGGGTCGCAGTCCAACGAGCTCCGATCCAGGTACTGTAGCAGATCTTCAGCGACCATCTTAAACTTGGTGGCTTGCTGATTATGACTGAGAAGATTTGCGAGGTGACAGTCTGGGTGAGCAGCAAGGTAAACAGCAATCACTTCTTCTGCTTTCATAGTGCTCTCCGGAGGTAGGTCTGCAAACGCTGCGGATAATTCGGACATGAACACAATGACAATCGAGGCTGAGTTGGTGAGAAGATCTAAGAAAGCATCGGCCGGTCTTTTGCGATACAAATGGTTCGAGATCGCCAGGAAATAGGAAGTCAAAGATTTTCGGGCAGCAAGAGGGAATGCATGGTCATTTGGTATAATCGGATTATACCAGTGTTTCACGTAGTCTCGAATCGCAGCATCGATCAGGCCACTCAGCGCTTCTTTGGTTTCTGGTCGGAAATCGTCAAGAGCTTTCATAACCATGTGCTCCTCCTTCCCATTACTCTTTTGCGCTTTTGATTCATTTTCCTTCTTCTCGAGGTGGAGCCTTTCCAGCACGTCTATACCCTTCTCGCCCCTGATGGCCCTCGAAACCTCCGGATTCCGCGCCTCCCAAGAGATGAAGCCTAGAATGCCGCCGACGGCGCCGATAAGAACCAGGCCTAATCGACCAAATATTATGTAGACAACCGAGGCGAATCCGACAGATATACTGGCAAGAGTAGCGGGGGTGGCTGTGGACACGAATTGTAGAGCTTTGGTAGCAAGTGGCTCTTCCGCAGCTCCAAGAGAAGCTGTCGCGGGTTCCAGCGGAATCGTTCCCTTCTCTTCTGACGCTATTTTCTCGTCATCTGCTGTAGAATTTGCTGGTGAATGAAATTCAGGCGATTCGTCGGAATGGTCGTTTGCGCCGGGTGCGCTCTGTAGAGTCGCATCTTGACCACCAGCTACGCTCATTGGGGCAGCAGCTGGTCCAGAGTCCCCGGCCATGGAATAGTGAGGTTGCTTTTATGTCGTTCCCGAACGAATACGCTTGGAAGAAGTCAGCCGCATTTCAAGACTTGTCATCTGAGGAACGGGTGGTGCTCTTCAATCCGAGAGAACGCGGTGGTGGGTTGGTGCGGCCGTGGTTGCGATCGGAAGAGATGAGACAATGGAGGACAGACCATGGCCAAGCTTTCTGCTTCGGATGTTCAGGGGCTTACTTGCAACAGCAGCCCCGTTTCCAGTGAATATCAATGGTAATTATGGGTCGCAGTGGACCTACAAGGCGAGGTTAAGAATAGAACTGGTCGGAAATCTCCCATGAGCTCTACCAGGTTGTTAATTAGGGTCATCGGGGGGATAAGGACAGCTGGGTAGTAGATAACAGATCCCACTAGCTGCAGCCGCGAAGTATAACGTGGTGCTCAATGTCTAAAACACACTATCTAACTGTTAACAACGGCGGAAAGTTGGCGCGGACGACGTTGCGGAGATCTGGCCCTTCCAGCTAACAAAGGTGCCTATACGTACCTTCCATCTTACTCGCCTAATAACGCCAGCTACGAACGATTCCAGTGGCACTGTCACGTGCACCTCTTCCGACGCGTCTCCTAGCTTTACGCCATAGACGATCTGCAGTCTCGCCGTTGCAACCGCGTCGCAGAGCACATTTTCCTTATCAACAGATACTCTTTTTGTGAGAATCGACGAACACCATGGCCAGATTCGGAAAAAAGCGACGCGCGAGCTCGGTTGAAGATGGAGACGAAATGGAAGAGCCAATGACCAGCGCGTCAAAGAAAACGAAGAGCAACGCCGCTGGTGCACCGGCATCGGGCAAGGATGATGAAGGCAATCCTTTCTGGGAGGTAATGCATAGCTCCGGAGCACTACGACACGGCAAACAGCTAATCTCAGAATAGCTCTCGAACAAGCGTCGCGTCGGCATCTCGGAATTCAAGAAGATGTGCTTTATCAATGTCCGAGAATTCTATGAAAAGGATGGCAAAAATCTCCCGGGAAAGAAGGTAGGCAATTCTACGATATATCCATTTTTGTGCATCAATGGTCCAAGCAGAGCGCTAATGGATGTCCAGGGGATTTCGCTGTCTGTTGAGCAATACGCCGCATTCCTCAAGGCCGTGCCCGGCATCAACGCTGCCCTCCGCGAGCTCGGGCACCCCGTGGACGATCTAGACGAGAGCGCCGAACATGTAAAGGTGTCCAAAGAATCGAAAGCAAAGGCCAAGGCTGCCAAGACCAACTTTGAGGCCACCAGCGACGAAGATAATGCTGATTAAGGCTCGCCATGCTGGTCGGAAATTTTGTCAACTGGGGGGAGGATTCAAGGCCGCGAGAAAGATCATGGTCATCAATTGTGATTTCATTATGCTGCTTATAGTGTGCGCTGGAGTTTCGGTGTTCAACCAAGTGGATGGTTTCAGATACCCTGGGGGGAGGACCATTAAAGATCGCTCATGCTGCGGCTGAGTCAGGTTCTAAGAAAATATATGCCTGGTTTTGATGTCTTGCGAGCATTGCTATTACGCCCACTGTAAAGGGGTGGTGTAAAATAGCTGTTGCGACAGCTTTAGACCATGCGAGGCAGAGCCACTTGTCACCTGAGCTTCTCGTGTCAGCTGGAACTACTATCACCGCAGCAATCGCAATCCTCTTTACGAGCAACGGAATATGCAGTATAGCAGCAACAGCTCTCACTTTAGAAGCAACAGCGGTCACATTCAGAGCAACAGCGCTGCGCCTCGCGTCCGTGTGGAATGGCCTATTAATTAATCGAGTTCCCCACAACGGAAACCCCTAACTCCTGAACTCAACCTCCTCATACAGTGTGGGTGCCGCTAATAATAACGCTGTATTAGCGAAAGATCAACGCCGTTATTGGGCCGCGACGCACTAATTGGCATTATCTATCATCATCCATTCTCCTTGCCTCGCTGTCCAGACCTCCCGTCTCTTTTATTGTCGCCCAGCGCCCGCCGACCATACGTCTCTCCTTTGGCTCCATCCTCACAATTCTTATTTTCTGTCTAGATCTTACCGGATAATTTGTTTCATTATAGTAATTGTTTTCCTTCGCTTTTGTGCTTTCTTCACTCAATACCAGTTTTCCTGAATGGGATCAAGGCATAGCGACGTACTCTAATTTTCATTCACCATCGGCCTCTCTATCATCTATCATCATTCCCATTTCATTGATATTCAAAATTGCCTTTCATTCCATTTAATGATATAGCGCATGATTATCTACTGTACGACCTCAGCTCACGGAAAGGGCAAAGACGAGCCATCAAACTCACAGCCATGAGCCTGCTGGAACGCTGGGGCCTAAGGCATGTCGAGTCTGTGGACGATTACCTGAGCGTATTGATCCCTCTTGACAAGGCCCATCTGTACAGCCACTCTGCCAAACAAGGCCGGGCAGGATCTGCCTCCCGCAGAGAGGATGCGGAAGTTGGCGATGCCGACGAGGAAAAGGATGGCGAGAATGAAACATCTGGCATGCTCCACGGGCATGCTGGCGAGTACAGCATCGAAGGCCTAAGAAAGGAAATGAGACAGGGAAATCAAGGGAAATGGACGAGCAATGAGAGTATGTTGTTCGAGCCTTTGCCAGGTGACCAAACTGAGAATACTAACAAAAGAGCAGTCAAGTCAAAACTTATCAATAAGGCGTTACAGGACATTGGAATGGGCACGTATAATTGGCAGTTGTTTGCACTCTGCGGCTTTGGGTGGTTTGCAGATAAGTAAGGATGACCATTTTTTCTTTAACCACTACGAGACAATCTGGCTAATTCATATTACCTAGTTTATGGTTGCAGGTGAGAATCACTTTGGAAACCTGCGTCTCTTCGGGTATGTGCTAACTTGGTCTCAGGGCGCTTCTTTAACCTTGCCCTCGCTCTCAGCAGAGTTTGGTGTATCTGAAAAGACAGTCCGATACACTACAAGCGCCCTTTTCGTGGGTCTTGCGCTTGGAAGCTTCTCGTGGGGCATTGGCTCTGATTATGTTGGCCGCCGTGTTCCGTTCAATGTCACTCTTCTCATTGCCAGTGTGTTTGGCATCGGCACAGCTTATCAGCAGAGTTGGGGAGGCGTTTGCTTTTTCTACGCTGCAATGGGTTTTGGTGTAGGCGGCAGTCTACCCGTCGATGGCGCCCTCTTCCTCGAGTTTCTTCCCGATGCGTCCAGCTCTCTTTTGACAGTACTATCCGTCTGGTGGCCTATTGGCCAGCTAGTCTCTTCGCTCATTGCCTGGTTCTTTATCGCACAGTGGCCTGCTGAGCAGGGCTGGCGATATTTCCTGGTTACGATTGGCATCATGACCTTTACCATGTTTTCCATTCGGTTTTTCGTGTTCAGACTTCTCGAGTCGCCAAAGTATCTACTCAGCAAGGGTAGGCAGCATGAGGCTGTCGCCGTCATTCACGGTGTCGCATACAGAAATAAAACCCGAACTTGGCTGACATCCGAAATCATGGACGAAGTTGCGGCTGAGGATGATGGCGCGATGGGCTACGAGGAACAAGAATACAAGAATTCATCTTCCGGAAACCCCCTCGTGCAGAAGATCAAAGGCCTCTACTCCTCCGATAAGCTCAAGCTTCTCTTCAAGGATAAGAAGTTGGGCCTGGCAACAGGGCTTATATGGTTCTGCTGGACAGCTATTGGAATGGGTTACCCGTTGTTCAACGCTTTTCTGCCTCAGTACTTTGCCCGGTACAGTGGCAAGGGTGAGGGCGGCAGCGTGCATTCGGAGACGTCTCCCATCACCGGCGAGACTTATCGAAACTACGCAATCACATCTGTATTCGGTGTGCCTGGCAGTCTCATTGCCGCCTACCTCGTCGACCACCCGTCCCCTTTCTTCGGTCGGCGAGGTACCCTTGCCTCCTCGACCCTTATCTCAGCCGTATTCCTCTTCTTCTTCGTCATCTGGGGCAACACTTCTACCAAGCAGCTCATCTTCTCCTGCGTCGGCTCCTTCTCCCAAAACATCATGTACGGCGTGCTCTACGCCTTCACCCCCGAAATCTTCCCTACCCCAGTCCGAGGCGCTGGTTCCGGCGTGGCCAGCTTTCTAAACCGAGTGGCGGGGCTTTTCGCCCCCGTGATAGCGGCAAACGCTCCTGGAGATGGTGCTGATATGCCCATTTATTTGTCCGCGATACTAATTCTAATGGCATTCGTGTCGATTTGCTGCATCCCCATCGAAACTAGAGGGGCGCAGAGATTATAAGAGAATTTACTCATTTGAACCAAGTAAAATTTACCCATACGCAGAGCATCTATTCCTTTTACCATACAGACCAGATGCCCACCCGTTTTTCACCATCTACGAAATTGCAAGTTGCATAACCCCAGGACAGCACGTAATTTTTTAGATTTTAGGGGAGCACAAACCGTTCTATCTCTCATAGGTAGACTCCATTCTAGGCATGCCATATCTATAGTTTACACAAATTGTACATTATGAATCATCTCGTTCCTTTGGCACCTGCAGGCGCGTCGACCCTTCTCCGTTTAAAAGACGTACCCAAGGCGTCTCTGACCATCGGGTCCGCACGGATTGTGTTTTGCACCAACCATTCCTTCATCTTTCCGCGGAGGTTAGCTGTAGCCTCTTTGTCATTTCTAAACGGTGCTGTCTCCATGTCCATCAGTCGGCCTGAATCAGCCTCCAGGGTTCTTGCTGTGGCCTCAAGTCGATCCAGATTGTGGGCCAAGGCCTTCTCTCCTTCATGAGCTGCCGCTTGCCCCTTCTGCCAGTATGTTGCCACCAGAGGTCCGATTTGCGACATTGCAATATAAGTTGTGATTGTGACTTTCCGCGCAAGAGTGATTATTTGAAAGGGTAAGTAGGGCGGGTGCGAAGTCACCCTGGGGACAATGGCATTCACCGTGTTCAGAATGACTGGGAAGCCTGGGCGTGTGACGGTGTGCACCTCGAAGGTGCAAAGGATGATCAGGATAAGCCACCTGTAGAACTGGCCAAACTCCAAGTATCCAAACAAGCTCAGCACGTAGATGGTAGCTGCGGCAAACCCGTAGTGTGGCAAAATGACCTGAAGGACACCACGCACGACAAAATCGTGGATAGACCTCGTCTTCTGCCACCTCAGGATGTCCGGGCCGAAGCGCTCGTAGGCAAAGCGCTTAGCTTGATCTTGGAGTGTCTCGCTGGCCACCTTGAGGTGCAGAAAGTACTCAGCTGTACCGGACGTATCGCCGGTGGTCTTGTCGGGGTGGTGGAGAGCTGCTAGGCGGCGGAACCGTGACTTGATATCTCGGTCGACGGCTGAGAAGGAGACGCCGAGGTCGGTGTAAAAGGAGGATTGTTTCTGGATTTCGTAGTCGGCTTCGTAGATGGTATATAGGAGGTAGGCGGTGACGACGAGAATGTGTATTTTCCGTCGGTGGCTAGCATATCGAGGTGAGCCTGGCTGAGGCTTTGGGTCCCCGGCTCGTATCGTTAGACCGTAGAATATACTTTGGACCCACGATGTCGCAAGCTATATTTCAAGAGAAAGAGGTTAGCCGAATGCCAATAAACAAACAAAACGCCTATCTCATCTGCAAAGAAAGCAGATGAAGGCTGCGGAAGAACTCACGTTGGGGAGAAAGGACCAGCCCAAGATCGCTAGAAGATTGGACATGGTGGGTGGTAGGCAGCCACCGTCCCCGGCACAACAGAACGTTGGTAAGAGGAATGGATGGGCGTCGGCGGGTGAGCTTAAACGTTGACGAAGCTGCGGTGAATGTAAGGTAAGAGAATATTAAGTGTTGTGAAAGAAGGAAAAGAGCGGCAAACACAATGTGTCCTGAAGTTGTTGAAGGGCAGCGATATGAACAACTTGGCCGTTACAACTGGTCCTTGGTATGTGCAGGTGTGACACAATCGCGCGCCAGTTATTTTAGACATGGATGTAAGTGGCGGGTCCCTAACCGGAAATAATGATAAGTATACATGCAGTAGTTTCACTGCTACTGCCTGTGGTTAAGTACCTCGAGATACTTGAAGCCCCACAGCGCTTTCTCTCGTCCTGTCATAGGCGCCTTGTTGGCGATTGTCATTCAGCAAGCAAGCAGCCGCTGTAAATCTCGCGGCTTCTACTGTGAGTCGGAGAGGCCTATAACTTTCCCTGATGTGCTAAACATCAATATCACTTATGAAAAATTTGGGGAAAAGAGGAGCACAAGGCTGTTCCAGGTTCAAAGATATGTGCCCTCATGGCTTCAAATGATGGTAGGCTCGTTGGACGCAGGCCTTGGACGCGGCAGAAAACTAGCAGAGGAAGGAATCGTGGGACAAGTCACAGCATTTAAGGTTCATCAACAATTCTCTTTCCTTCTTGGCAAACATAAACGCAGCAAACAGGCAATCATGGGGGTTGGAGGGGCATGGCGGCGGCAAGGATCCACCCAGTTGTCGATTTGGGGGTAATGGGTTGCCTCCTTAGTGGCGGCCCCTGCCACTACCCATCAAATATGCTACCTAAACTAATGGGCAGCCGCAGCATGGGTGGTGGGAATTGATTTCACCAAGGACCAAGTTCTCGGCCAACGTATCCCAGAGCTATAAAGGAATCGCCGCAACCCTTGAGGTGGTCACCGTATATTCGGTTATTATCTTCCAGTGGCGGCCTCATTCTCGTTTCCTCAGGGGTCTCGCTCTTCCCCTCACTCGCAAGCTCCGCGTCATCCTGATGACCACGACCAGTTAAAGCAAGCTGCTTCTGCTACAGAGCGCAGGAGGATGTTGATCAACCGCATAGGGGTAGCGGCCCTGGCTATCGCAGCTGGTGAGTAAATGGAAGCGCTCGAATTACGAGCACTATACCTTTCCAGTTGCCTTATCCCGAAGCTCACCAAATTGACCAGCCCTCCCGAGCCTTGTCCTAAGCGAAGAACAGCCCAGAGCAGCCAGCGTCCAGTCAACCTTTGTGTCCCCCGATAAATCACTCTCATTCGCCTTTTCTGTCCCCGAAGATGAGGACAATGACTTTTATTTCACATTGCGCGTCCACCGCGACTTCTCCTGGGGCGCTATCGGCCTAGGCACCGATGATATGCCAGGCGCACTGATTTTCATGATCTACGACAACCGAAACGGCGAAAGCGTCACCTTCTCCCCCCGCCTTGCCAATGGCCACTACGAACCACAATACTATCCTCAACTTGAGGTGGATGAACTGCCAGGCACCGGTATCATCTCTGAAAAATACATGGTGTATCAGGGTCGGTGCAGGAAAAACTGCCGAACATGGCCGCTGCGAGGCAATACCTTTGGGTCCATTGATGTCAATTCCACGACACAAAAGGCTATCTGGGCCTTGGGTATGACGGAAGACTTCGCCAGCGACAAGCCCTGGCAGGGTATCAAGTACCACCAACAATATGGAACCTTTACAATCGATATGGCGCGAACGCACGGCGCAACGGAGCCTCCAACTCTCGACGGGAATTCCCGAAACGAAGGCACAACACTCGACATCGAACATGTGAACAAGTCGGATGTTCAGTCAACCATGCATGCTGTGTTTATGATTCTTGCAATTGTCGGATTGATGCCTCTCGCAGTGGTGCTCTTGAGACTTGGAGGAGCTGTCAGGTGGCATGCCCTAATCCAAGCTGTCTCTCTGGTTTTCCTCCTGGCCGGGTTGGCCATGGGTGTCATGACCAGTTTTCGATACACAAGAGTAATTCTCCCAACCAAACACCAGTGGAAGATTCAGGATCTGCAAGTACTGACCTGCGATAGTCCCAAAAATTTAATTCATATCACCAGATTCTTGGCTTCCTGCTCACAGCATTCTTCCTCTGCCAATATGCGCTCGGCTTTTTCAATCACCGACAATATCGGCAGACCGGCATTATGTCTAAATACAATGCTGTCCATGTTTGGTTTGGCAGAGTAGTTATCCTGATCGCCATCATGAATGCTTTCTTGTATGTCATCTCTTTGATATGAACGACATTGGTGATAGTTGCTAACTTGTGTCCAAAGCGGCTTTACATTCGCTCTGAATCGCAAATACGGTATGGTCCTCGCCGGGCTTATTATTATGGTCTGCGTTGCCAGTCTTATCGTGATCATTGGCCGTCAATGGCTCGATAAAAGACGAGGCATCACTCCACAGGGCCCGTATCCCAGCCCACGTTCTCCGTACAACGACTCCCCCCCAACACCAAACCAGCATGGTCCAAGCCGGGCACAGTGGCCATCTGGAATGGACTATTTCCCATCCGAACCCCCTCCACGGTATGAGTCCACACTGGAGGATGACTCTGTCTCACAACGACAAACCATAGGACTCCGCCCACTATCTTCATGGAGAAATTCTCGACCGAGTAACCCTCGACGAAACGACACAAGTTCTAGTCCTGGAATTGGCGGTACACAGTCTCCCCGGGAGTTGTTGTAATAAGATGTCACGTGTATTTTTTGGGTTGGCGTTGCTTTGCTGGTTGTTCACCAAATTATTGTATATATACAGAGAACCCATCCGAATGAGCTGTGCATGGCTACTGATATCTAGTCATGATATGATGAAAATTGCATTTCTAACGATGTTTTAATATTCCTAAACATAGTCCCTCAACTTTGTCACGTTTACTAAAATAGAGATAACTAAAGGACATACGTGTGTCCAAGTGAGGTAGGCCATGTTCATCAAGCAACCCTGGTGAGATACCCCGGCCAACCCCACGACGCCGATCTTGCTCCGAGATCCAGTATTGCATCAACAGGAGCTCTAAATGGACAACAGAGAAGAAAACCAGTAGGAATCGGCCAAATACTCAACATGTCGAACTGCGGAACCGGATTGGACTGACCATATTCTTATTTTTTCGAGGTCATATAGTGAAGATAACAGTACTTGTTCACAGACATGCCAAAGACACTCCACTAACTCATGGCGGCTTTATCGCTCCATTTGATTGGTTGCGCTCAATTGTCCGACCAGGCTTGTTCATCGAAGCAAGTAACTTATCTCCTACTACCCTCCGGACTGAGCAGGGAAGTGAGGGAGTTTTCAAAAACAAAGTGAAATCAATCGAACGTCTCTCAACATGTTGACTGTCAATATTGGCGATGCCCACATCTCAGTCACCGCAGAGCCCTTGTCACAAGAGGCTTTTGCACCATTTGGCGATGTCATCACCAACCCCCGGCCAGATGTGCATCCATCCGCCTTTGCCTCGCAACCAAAGGACTCCATGCCCTCGAACGCGGTCTCGGCGAATCAAGGCACTGCTATCCAATATCTAGCCGTGAGCCACATACGCAATCTGTATTCTCAGGCACCCTCCGGCCAGGGCCAGCCAAAGATGACCATGTTTGTCTGCGCTACGCGGGAGCTGGACCCATCCGCCTCAGGCGCCGCCTCTCAAGGCCAATTCAAGGTGCGCCTCCTGGAGCGCCATCCCTTCACCACCCAGACCTTCACCCCCCTCTCGTCGTCAGCCTCCACCTACCTGGTCATCGTTGCACCCAGTCTACAGCCAAGCAATGCCGATGAAGACCTGCCCACGCCCAGCGGGGATGATCTACCCGGTAGAGGTCTGCCGGACATCCATCGGCTGAAAGCCTTTGTGGCTACCAGTAACCAAGCTGTGACCTATGGCGCCGGTACGTGGCACGCTCCGATGGTTGTTCTTGGGAAACGGGGGGCTGCGCTGGATTTTGTTGTGTATCAGTTTGGGAGCGGGCATGGGATTGAGGATTGTCAACTGGTTGCTTTTGAGTCTGGGCAAAAGCAGGAGCCCAGCATAGCAGTCGAGGTGCCTTGGCCGAAGCCTAAGCAGAAATTGTAAGGAGAGAATTGAAGAAGCTAAATTACTCGGAGATTGGATACGAGAGAAAACAAGATATACCAAATTAGACGATCCATAATTGATTGATTCAGCCTCACTTCGTTCCCCGAGGATATCGTAGCCAAGCAATAGTCGCTGTCACTACCATTAGTCAGCTCGTATAATATGGACGGGCATAACCCACGCTGAGGGCTCAATCAATGTCCAGGGTATAAAGAAGATGGTCAGAGGAAATTGGTTATCCTTCACTCTTGGCACATGTTGAGCAAAATGACAGAAGCGATTCCCGAAGACAAGAGCCACAAGCTCGCGGATCTCTCTGGTGTCGAGCTGCGTCCGGGAGAGAACCCGTATACTGCCTTCATCAGCGCCTGCAACAACGACCACGTAGGTGATCAAAGCAATGCAGACAGATCAAATCTAACACAAGAACCCTCACCCACAGAAAGAAATACAAGCCCTCTATTCTGCCCATAGGACAAAGAGGAATGCTCAGCAGAAGGAGAAGTTTGTCTCTGGCGAGTTCAAGGAACTTGCCATTGACCAGCACCTCTTGAGACTTGAAAATCCTGATATTTATCCGGGATTCGTCGATGAGCGGAATTGTTTTGTTATTTGGGCCAGACCCCCAGAGCATGTGATCCGGCTGGCTGCCAAGGTGCAGGATTTGCTGAAGCAGAAAGCACCGAGTGAGTCACGATAGCCCAGGAAGCCAGCCTTGCCCCACGAATTACAATTGGCTTTCTGAAGAGACGCTTTTTATCACGGTAGCTAACAAATATTATTTAAACAGCCATTTGGTTGATGCCAACGCAAAGGATGCATATGACGGCGCTCGAGGTGGCCTTCTCCAAAACTCCCCAGGAGATTGGAGCTCTAGTGTCCACGATCCGCTCCAGCATTCCGAAGATTGCGAGCTATACGCATACTCATAGATCTCGACTCGTGAAGCCGATAATATCCTATGATCTGTCTGCTTTTGCCCTCTCTTTCCTCCCAGCCGCTGGGGAGCCTATAGTCTCACCGCCACCTGTGGACCCCGATGTCGCCGAAGGAGTCGTCGAGGGTGACGAGTACACTTACCACCATGTCCGCCAGGATGTTTTCAATCTCGTCAAGGCTGGAGGAGTTCAGGTAGGGTCTAGGTATCAGGTACCTAGCGCTCATATCACGCTGGGTAGATATCTGACCCAGGATGACCACGACACCCCTGAGAAGCGGAAGCAGTGGGTGGATGCTATTGATGAGATCAATGACTGGCTGAAGAATGAGATATGGGACAAGAAAGATGCAGAGTACGTTGGTGAATGGATTGTTGGTCAAGAAAGAGGCTTGGACTGCCGTTCTGGGTCTCTCTGGTATGGACATGGCCGAACTTTGCTTCTCGGTGAGGGTTTCTAGATTTAATTGGTGGACGATTTAGATGCGAGCCACAACATTTCATAGATCAGGCCGCATAATAAGATTTACAGTATTCGATTTCCGCCTACAGGACAGAATGAACACAGAGGCAAATATCTTATAAGCCTTAGCCGGAAGTTTTCAAGTCTTCAATATAGCATCAACAAGGCAAATGGGGTAACAGGAATTAAGCACAGAGACTTTTTTTATTCGTTCCCTATGAACCCTTCCTCATAATCATGAGGACATGAACCTCCTTTCGCCAGTGTCCATGATGCCCATATGCCGCAAGGAGAAGCACTGAAAAGCGTAGTAGTAGTGACCCGAATTCTCAACACATTTAGAACACCAAAGCAGCACCCTTTGTCTTCTTGTCACCACTGCCGAGTTTGTTAGCATGCCATGGCTACGCGCGGGGATCGGAAGTGGGATGTCATACCCCAGCTCGAAGTGCTTGCAGCGCTTGAGGGCCAGCTGGCACTTGGTCTTGCACTTGACGCACTCCAGTCTCAGGACAACCTTCTTGGTGGTCTTGGCCTTCTTGTGGAAGACGGGCTTGGTCTGACCACCATAACCGGACTGCTTGCGGTCGTAACGGCGCTTTCCCTGAGCGAACAGCGAGGCCTTGCCGGCCTTATACTGGGTGACCTTGTGCTGGGTGTGCTTGCGGCATTCCTTGCCCTTGCAATAGGTGTTTCGGGTCTTGGGGATGTTGACCTAGTAATGCCCTCTAGTCAGCCTCCGTGGTCATCTCCAAGTGTTCCTCATGTGTGCAGGTGCTTTCTAATTGATCCCGATCGATGTTTTGCTGTGAGTATTCTGCAAGTTGGAAATCGATTTCTGCGCATGCAGTAATGTTCGGATATAAGCGATTTGAATTGGAATCATGGCTGCCTCGCCCTCTCCAATACCCCAAGCCGGATGGATTTCTGTCGAGGCCGACATGCTGTGTAAATTTGTCGTCGCGCGCAAAGAGTTGAGAGCCCGGAGAATACGAGCAGAGAACAATCGATCATGAAGAGGAATCGCTCGGGATACAATCTGTAAAGGAAAATCGTAGAGGAGGATAACTTACCATTTTGGCGGCTGGATGTGGTGTCGTGCCTTGAGTGTTTGGTGATGCAAAGTTCCGAAACCTGGGTGAAATTTGGAGGTTTTGGTGATTTCTGGCTTTGTGGGCAGCTAGGGCCGCCCCACTCTGCCCAGTTGAAGAAAGTGTGGCTCGCTCACAATGAGCCACAGTTGAGACCTTATTTCCAAGGCACAAACAGCCACATACAAGCTAAGCTCTGGGACGTGAGTCTTGGCAAAACTGCCCCACCATTGCGCCAAGGGGGAACCCTCTGGCCAGCGTTGCCATTAAGGTGCTACGTCGCTGGATGCTATTCAATGTGGTTGACGAGAGACGGGCAATTGGCAACACGAAACTCCGCGCAACCATGGATCCATACTCCGCCGAAGGTGAATTGATAAACATTCACAACCATTTCCTCCAGGGCCAGTTCCAGGAGGTTGTGGATTTCGACACATCGTCGTTCTCCGATGACAATGCCCTTCCCGCCCGCATCCTCCAACTAAGAGCACGCATTGCTCTCGGCCAGGGCCAGGAGGTTCTAGGCGAAGTCAAGGGCGCAAAGGAACCCGAACTTGAGGCTGTTGGAGCACTGGCCGAGCTTTCTCTCGGCAAGACAGACTCCGCTGTTAGCACAATCGAGAAGTTGGCGGTGTCAGCTGCTGATAATGTGACGGTCGAGATCTTCGGTGGCACAGTCCTCCAGGCTGCTGGAAAGACAGACGATGCCCTGGCGCTTCTCTCGCAGCACTCAGGAAGCCGTAAGTCTGGGCGACATTCAGATGGCGGGTACAAGCGCTAACACGGATTCTAGTTGATGCCGTTGCCCTCATTATCCAAATCTACCTTTACCAGAACAGAACCGATCTCGCTTTAAAAGAAGTCAGCGCAGCCCGGCGATGGGCCCAGGACAGCCTCCTGGTCAACCTGGCAGAGTCCTGGGTCGGACTTCGAGTTGTCAGTATACACAGTGGATGAGGTTTTGGCCCCAGGGTGCTAACCTTACTCAGGGCGGAGAGAAATACCAACAGGCGTTCTACGTTTATGAAGAGCTTGCTCAGGCACCTTCCACCTCGTCGATATATAGCCTTGTTTCCCAAGCAGTGTGCGAGCTGCATCTTGGTCGTGCCGAAGAGTCCCAGGCCGCTCTGGAAGAAGCTTTGAAGAAGGACCCCACCTACGCCGAAGCGATTGCGAACCTGCTTGTCCTCAAGGCCGTAACTGGCCAGGATACCTCAGAACTAACCGAGTATGTGATCAGTAAATGAACAGATAACTAGGGTTCTACTAACATATTTGCAGATCATTGGCGAAGGTCGCCCCCAAGCACGATTTCTTGACGACCCTGGAGGAAAAGAGTGACCTATTTGACAAGGCGGCGGCAAAGTACAAGGCAAAAGTTTCTGCGTAATTAGACTGGTAGGCATGCATGAATGAAGACTGTGATTTTGGCGCCAATACAGTAAGAACTTGGTTTAACGCATTTCATCTGCTGTCTGGCAAATATGAGCGTGATTGATCTCCTCCTCGAGCTTGACATTACATGAGCCAGGTGTTACCAAAGTAATTGAACCCCCCCTTCAAAAATTTCCCCATGCGTTTCCAAGCCCCCCTGCTGCGGTTAGATTCAAAGCTTAACCGGACTGTAGTCATTTCGATCATAGCTTGTCGTTTTACTCTTCATCTTCGAACGCTGGTCTCCTCGTTGTTGTCATCAGTACCGAAAAATTCATCGATTTCCATCATCTTCTCCTCTACCGAGAGGAACCGTATCCGTCCAGGAGGGCTGAAATAACCCCGAACATCTACGTTTGGTGCGGAGTTTGCTTTGCGGTGCGGCGGGAGAGACGAGGCGGCCTTGGATTGAAGATAAGGGTTAGCCATGCATCCCTAGTTCGTCGGAGCGAACCTTGGGTTTACTTCTCTATTGCTGCGGCGATGTTTCTTGTCACCGCGACTCTTGCTCGGAGCCTCGGGCTCATCTGATTCGGAATCGGATGGCGCTAGGTAATTTCGAACATGGTCCCAAAAGGCCTTGACCTCTTCGGGATCTCTCTGGTTGGTATTGCCATCCTGAGGTTGTTTATTCTCAGTCTTGGCTTGGATTCCCCCAGCGCCGTTGTGATCAGCGCTCTGTGAGGTTATGGCTTCGCCACGCTTGAGTTGCGGTTGAGCTTCCTGGTTCAGTGTCTCTGGGCCTCTCAATATTTTCTGCAAGTCTTCAGGCAACGGTGTTTCGCCTCCGCTGCTTCTGAAGACAACACGGGTCTTGGAAGAGTCTGAACTAGTCTCTTGTTCGTCAAGGCAACGATAAAGCGGCTTGTCACGGGCAAAATACTGCTGATACTTGAGGAATGTTAAAGAATACCCTTCAACGCCAGGCGCTGTTTGTGGGACATTCGGAGGCTTTTGGTACGAGGAATCCGGTGATGGTGACGACACAGGACTGACTGGCTGCTTGCTTTTGGGTGAGGTGCTACCGGCAGACAAGTTAGACATAGACGACATGGTCGAAATGTCATCAGAAGACTCTAGCTTGGCAACGAGCGCTTTCACAAAACCATTAGCCCCGGCCTTAGCCTTTGGCTCGCGGCATGTCTGTGCAGGTGTTCGCTGTGCAAGGTTTGATGAGAAGCTGCCTGTGAGTCCTTTGTGTTCTCTTCCCCGGTTGATGATGGCTTCATCCTTGCTTCTCTGGCTCTTGGAAGGCGTTGGGAGGCCTAAATGAGATGGGTCTGCCATTGTTGTTAGCTTCCCAGGCCTGTGGCGTCTTCATCGTTGTAGAGGAAAGAGAAAGAAGAGAAGTTGGGAATGTTTAACCTTGCGTGGAATATACTGGCCCTTTGGACCAAACTATTATCACTTCTGAGGTCAGAGGTGAGCAGCAGGTGAGAAGAAGGGTGAGTGTTAAATGATACCTAGCTACGTTTCTCGGAAGTACATGTCCTTAAGCACTTTCACCAACACCAGATCTAGGTACTTCATCGAGGGAGAACAGATGACAAAGCTATCAATTATGGTTTGGGACCATGACAGACAAAGGTGTTGTCTCAAAGAAGGAAAAGACCCTTTAACATTACTATTCATATGGTACCGTTCATAGTCTGGGCCAAACAAAGAGAAAAACCGGTTTCTTAGCAGCTGTTATTCCAGTGCTAGAGCGCCACCAAATGTACATATTCAAAAGCACAAAATGAACAAGGTAGGAATAAGGTTTAGGCACGTACCCGTTACCAGTGGCCTTTGCTGTTTGGCACTGCGGTGAAAGGAAGACCGCCATTGACTTTACCAGCAATCGCTATTCGAGGATCGCAGTGGTGAAATTTTACCATGACGTTACGTAGAAAAGAAATCGGGGATGCATGTCATCACGATTATTGGGAATGGTCGATTATAGCCAAGTGAAAACCGTCACTGCTTATTCTTTTTTTTGGAGGTTATCATTGTGAATTCATCTATACATTCGCTTATCCCAGCCAAAGACGTATCCTGACCATAATCATAAAATTCGTCTCGTCCGTGTGTCCCAGGTTCCTCGTTTCAGGCACCAGAACGCCCCTGCAATCCAATAATCCCAGGGTGCCCTCTATTGTGTTGTTACCGTTCGCTCTAAATTGACAGTCTATTTCTTCTTGTTGGGGAACTTGGGAGATCCAATGTCAGCACCTCGGAGCTTGACATTGAGGACCCGCTCCATGTTTGCCAGGACCTTCTGGTCTGGTGCGGCGGTGCCCCTCTCGAACTCGCTGACGATGGCCTGGGTGGTGTTGCACTTGGTGGCAAGGTCCTTCTGGGTCATCTTGGGCTCCATCTTCTGGCGGGTCTGGGAGATGGCATCGCCAACGACCTTGCCAACGGTGTTGGGCTTGATGATGTCGTCGGATCGGTCGACCTTCGTCAGACGCTGACCCTCTCCGCTGCCGGAAGCCTGTATCAATCGCAATTAGCCAGGCTGTCCTTCTCACTGTGTTACACTTGACCCGTTCGGGTCTGGCAAACGAATAGCCGCTCGGGGAGAGGGGAACAACATACTGCGTTGGCTGTGCCGTACTTCTTCTCGGTGGAAATGATGCCACCCGTTCGTTGGGCTGCGTTGAGAGCGGCATTTCCACGAATGACAGTCTCACGCTGGGAAGCACCAGATCCACGGGTCTTGCTTCCAATCTTGGTGACGTCGTCCCAGTCAGACATTTTGGCGGGTTATTCGATGGAATTGAGTTTCTGGGAGGTTACTGCGAATGTGTTCGACGTCGTCGAGATATAGCTGAGGATGCAGAGATGGATGCAGAGATGAATGGAGTTGGGTGTCTTCGTCGATCGCGTGTGTTGGGTTGTGGGGGCAAGGCATCCAGCTATATACGGCCACGACTCGACCCCACCACCGTCATTTTGGGGCGATGCTGGTTGACTCAACCGGCGGGGGACCCGCGCTGGGGCGGTGCGCGGCCAATGCGAAGGCGGCCGTGGAAGGTGCTAGATTTTTGAGGAAGAAAGCTGAGATCTGGGTCACGTGAGCACGTTGGTGTGGGAGAAGCTTTTCAGGAGCTCATTTGGATACCAGCATCTCTCGAGAGAAGAATGGTCTCCAATTGTAGCAAAATACTTATAAATTAATAATTTCAGGTAGCACTAGAGCTGCATTAATATCTGTGAGCAAAGAGAAAATGCACGGGAATATATGCTAGATCTCTTGGAAGGGCAACCCTTGTCGGCCTAAAACAGAAGTGGCATGGATACACAAGGCGGAATGCTTGACTGCCACCTATCAATTTCAATGTCACCCAGTTGGCAATCCACCACAGCCACCCCCTACCCGGTAGTTGCCAGATCTTAGCATTCATCGGTATGACTATCGACTCTCTGCTGGTAATTGTCAAAGTAGTTCTTCATCTTATACGTTCTTTTTCCCTGTGAGATATTGCCATTGTTTCGGTGTGGCAGCGGGTATGGCACCTTGGAGAGCTTCTAGTAGGTGCCTACCTAGACATAGATGCTAGGTGGCTTTTTGCCTGAACTTTTGAGACTGCCATATCAAGTAGGTAACACGTTGTGGTGCCATCATCACCTTCCAACAGCGCGTTGCAAGATTTTCCTTCCAATTACTTCATTGCCGGTGACGAATATTTCCTTCCATTCCTTGGGATTGACTCTGCATTGCCTCCTTGAGTGTTCGTGGCAGGGGTCATTCTGCTCAATTGTCCTCCGCAATTGCCCCGCAGCCCGAGTCCTTTTCGAGAGACAGGCAAGAGACGAACGGGAGAGGGGGGGGGGAAATCCAATAGAATGCATTTGAAAAGACAATAAACTTCCGGGATTCTTAATGATTGTTAGTCAAGGCGCTACAGACAGATAAGACGTTTGGATAACGTGCCACATCTACGGGAGACACAACATGGAGAACTGCTTTCCTCAATATTCACCACCCCTAAGCAGTGGCCTCGTGAGAACGGATAATATCATTGGGTCGTGCGGATTTGGGTACACGTTCAAGCGAAAGGCCAATCAGCTAGTTCATCGAGCTACAATGTTCAGTCGATAATTCAAGGTCATACAGCAAAGCTGATTACCTCGTGGCTGACCAACTGGTTAGTCAACATGAAAACACCAAGATATCTCTCGAACTGAATATGTTGGGGGAGCTGGAAGTCTGGAATAGGAGAAACGAGGGGTAAGCATCTGAATGTAGGTACTTGCCCGTGTTATCTCAAGCCATAATTGCATGCCCGATGCAACGACTGGGATCGCCAGACGAATCAGCGCCGTGATCACAACCCGAGGTATGCGGTAGTCCTGATGAAGCGCCTACCCGTTGTGCCCCCGCGTCCACGCACCACACCAAGACACACACATCATCGATCACCACAACGTCATTTATCAATAGCTGCTACCCCGCCATTGGCGCATCGGCGGCCGGCCTGGACCAGATTGTGCCCAATTTTGGGTTGGACCTTTACCCCGCTGTACCACCTTGAAAATGCATAAATAATGTGAGGGAGGTAGCCCTCCTCTTACAGTTTTCTTGCGCTACCAAGCTAGATTTTGTTTATCCCCTGGAAAATTCATACTTTTGAACGAATTCCTTAGTGAATATGCCTCTCACTGGTCACTGTCTCTGCAAGGCCGTCACTTACACAGCTGACGTCGACGCACCCCTCCTCACTGGCTACGACCACTGCGACGATTGCCAGCGTCAGGTTCGTCTCCCCTAGGTCTACCTATGTAGCTATGACTCCATTCCAAAACTGCTTCTAACCATTATTTATAGAGCGGATCTACCTATTGTAAGACAAATTCTCCCGAGTGTGGCCTTTTCCAGTTCAATTGGCATACCCTCATTTGTCCGAGCGCAGGCTAATAATACCAGCTCTCGTCGCTGTCGTTCCAAAGGACAAACTCACAATCAATGGTCCTATAAAGAAGTGGGAGGGCAAGGGATCTTCGGGCAAGTCTGTCTGGCGCCTCTTTTGCTCCGAGTGCGGCTCACCCATCGCTCACGATCCTGACGCTGCTCCCGAGATTATCGCCCTCAAGGGTGGCACTTTGGACACGGAGATCAAGAAGAACCTCAAGCCTGTAATACTCCCACGCAGCAAAATATTCCACTTGCTTTCGCTGACATTCCCGCGCTTAGGATACCGAAATTTGGACCGTTGGCAAACTCCCTTTCTGCCAGGAACATCTTGCAAAACCTTTCACCCATATGCCCGAGTAAAGGCAATTCTACCTGGCCGGTGCCAAGTTGATTGCCCTGGAACATGTTGGATATGTCACCTAAATGGGAAACGACCATATACTATTTTGCACTTGGAGCGTGCGTGGGGATCTTGGGTTAGTGGCGTATGGTGAGGTTGCTTGAATGAGATGTGATGCTCTAAGTATCAACAGATGTGATTGCCAGAGTTAGGAGTAGGACGGTTGCAAGGGCAAGGAGTAGTAAAGCCAGAATTCGATTTAATGATATTTATGCACTACTTAGGTCGCGAGTGAGTAAAGCCAGAATTCGATTAAGGATATTTATGCACTACTAAAGTCGCGAGTGAATAAAGCCTGGACTGCGTCAAAGGTTCACATGCTTTGCTAATTTACATGGCCCAAGCCGCGAATAATCCCAATACAACCAGACCAACACTTGCAACACGTGTGTTGGCGTTGCTCTTCGTTTTGAATTCATGACCAAGAGCGTCGCGGGCGGGAACCTTTGGAGTGGGTTTCCCAGTTTTGGTGATGAATCCGCCCAATTGATGCCCTGAGTTGACGACAATTGCTTCGTCAGTGGAATGACCAAGATTTGCGCCGATTGAATTTTCAAAAGCAAGATCGAAATCTTCGGACATGATTTTCGTCTGCGGAGGCAAGCAGTCATGTGAGCCAGAGACACCATCCGCACTGATCACTGCCGAGAGCTGGTCCTCATCGGACTCTATTTCGTCGGTGTCTTCATCCGCGTCCTCTTCATGGGTGTTCTCTTCTTTGTCGTCCTCATCATTGGCATCTTTTTCATCAGATGCTTCTTTAGTGGAATCCACCTCAATAGTCAGTTCATTGTCGAAATCCACCTCAATAGACGGTTCATCCTCGAAATCCTCATCAAACTCCTCGTCAAAAAAGTCCTTTTCATCAGAATCATCATCGTCGGATTCCTCCTCATCTGAAAAAAAGTCCTCTTCGTCAGAATTATCATCATCGGATTCCTCCTCATCTGACTCCTCATCGTCAGACTCTTCTTCGTCAAACTCTAATTCATCGGGCTCTTCGAGTGTATCCCATTTGATGGACACATCCAAATCGGAATCATCTCCATTGGGAGCTACCGAGGCCGATGTGCTTCGGTCGCAAAGACTTTGAACAAGAGAAAGAGTGACATCGTCAATGAGGTAAGGGGAAGAAGCCAAGTCACGTTTGCCGTTGGAATGATAGGTGACTCGATCCCAGCATCTATGGCATGTGATCCAGCTGCTGATGATATCTCTTTCACACAGGCAATCTCTGTTGACACGGAGATGAGACTCAGAATGTTTTTCTTGGCAAGCTTCGATGATAGTCCACATGTTCCGACAAGACGGGTCGATACCGTACTCGCTCTGTGAGGGGAAGGGAGCTCCTGGAACATGGAGACCGGGAACAATGGGGGCTGGGTTGATGCCAGAGGCCGGCCCATTGGCAGAGAGAGAGGGAACACTCATGGCGAATGATTTGATGGAGTGGAAGCTCAGAAGTTAAGATGTATGTGTAATGATTCCAAAAAAGTATGGTGACACTTGGCCAAGAATGGATGCGGAAGAGCTCTATGTTATGATGATGAGAAGAGAAGAGAAGAGGAGAGGAGGAAGAGGCCGAGAAACGAGCGGGGGATATATCTTCTCAAGTCACGTAGGCGTGCCTTCCCTTTTGCGTTTCTTGCCTCCGTCCATTTGGGAGTTCGAGACTGGAAACCGCGTCTGCAGAGTCCTGGCAAACGATAACGTGCAAATGCAAGTGGCGCAACTAGATGAGGTTTCGCGAAGAAGGAGCAACCAGCTGCCGCCTCACAGAAGAAGAGAGAGGACAGAAAGTCCCACCAAGCAAAGAAGCGACCTCCTGGAGCTACGACTGTGGGAGAAAGCTCCACTTTCTGGAAGCTCCTTCTGAACACTGCCAGTCTGGCTCGCCTCCACGGTGAAGCAGCTCGCGGTTCCGCATTGGTATCCGCTGGGACAACACCCAGCGACAGAGCCCCCTTCCTCCCCGCAAAGAAACCACCCGCCAGCACACGTACCTGTCGCAGCGGCTGGCACATTACTGGCAGCAACCACTACTGTAACACCATTTGACACCAGCGTGGTGGAAGAAGGAGCAGGACATGAGTGTGTTTCACATTCCCGGTCAGTTTGGCAGCAGCCGCCGCCATGAGTGGCCAAGCAGCCGTAAAAACCAGTCGGGCAGCCAGTCTGTGTGTCAGGAGCAGAGGTGGTAGTATCAGTCACTGTTGGTCGCCAAGGAGCCTCTCCAGTCGCTGTGGCCGAGCTAGAAACTGTTCGGGTAGCGGAGGTAGTAGGCTGAGTCGTTGACGGGACTGAAGAAAGGCTTGTCGTGGTCTGTGTGCTAGTGACAGTCGTCACGGTAGGCTGGGATGAAGTGGTTTGAACCTGCGTTGTTGTTGGCACAGTCGAAACTACCTCTGTCACGCCTGTTGTTGGTTGTCAGCCCTTGGGAGTCCATTGCCACTCCGTTTCATCGTTCTGGCCCAAAGAGATACTTACATCCTATGCCCTGACAAATGTATCCTTGAAGACAGCAGCCACCACCAAGGGACGATGGACAGCTCACAGCGCTCGTGGGGCAGCTTCCTACTCCCCCTCCACATTGTACGCCGTCCGGACAGCATGCGACGCTGGCCACATTGGAATCTGCGACAGATGTGCAGTACGTCCCCTTCTGACAACACTTATTAGCAGCTCCGATATCCTCGCAGCTGTTCATATCAGACGGACACGAGGATCGCTTCTCTAAAATGGCCAGCATTTCCGCTGCCCTTCGCATCATGCTCTCCCGCGTTTCATCAATGTGAGGCGCAAAGGCTCGCTGGAAGAACCTAGCCGAGCTGTTCGTTCGCTCTGATTCGCCATTTCCATCGTTTACGCCGGGAAGGAGCTGAGTGCCATAAATGTCAATGGGAAAGCTCCCAGGTGGCGCAAATGCGAGATGCTCAGGGAAGATCTTCTCATTTGAGTCAGGCGACAGCTTCTTGAGCGCGGTAGGCTGCGGGTTGGCTGCAACCTGGGTGAGGAGGGCAAGCAGCGACGGAGGCAGCAGTAAAAATCCTTTGACTGCCACCATTGTAATGAGTATCAAATGAAGAATTAAGGTCTTTCTTTGTCGTCGTGGTTGATGCTGTGAAGCTGCTGATGGACGCTGTTGATGATTAATTGCTGATGAATGGTGTAGTGGGCTTATTTCGTCCTTGAATTCAGTATTTCAATCGGAGTAATTAGGATAGGCCCTTTTAAGATCCGAATTCAATTCGGCAAATGAAAGAGTGGTTATTTTCTGGTGCGATGATTGTTTCTCTAGAGTACGGCATGAATTTGCCTGACGTTCGTTTTATTTGGTGGAGGCAGCCTCTTTAAAACAAATCTTGGTGGCTGGGCAACCCGCCGGCCGTTCGGGATTGAACATGGCATCCTTGCGAGATACAACCCGCCAAATTAGAACGTTGTATATCCCCCTTTTCTCCATCTTCGACACGAGGATAGATCTTGTACTATGAGAACTGTGCACTCACCACACTGACAAGGTTGGCACCTCTCTCTTTATTGTCTCAGAACCAAACGCTGTTTGGTGTGCTGCAGCGCTTGGAATGGCTATTTTGGAGCCATCGACGTCACTCTTCCTAAATAGGAAACATTTGGCGTATTGTCGATGCTACTGTTTTGTCTGGGTATATTCATGAGATAAGTTGTCCAAATATTCTATCTTAAAGCGCTTCTATAATTACAATAATCATGTACTATGTTACATCATGAATGTTCTCTGAACACCCTTTTTTCTATATATTGTACAGATTGCAGGCTCATAAAAACTTGGCTAAAATATTGAATCCTCCACTTTCTCTTGGGAAGGTTCAGTAGTGTCTGAAGGGGCTTTCTTCTTTGAAGGTTTAACCCTGGATTTTGTTTGTCCCTTAACAAAGGAATGGCAAAGTAGTCCAGCAGCGACGCTGACATTCAAACTATCGATGCAACTGTCCTGAAGGAAACGAGGAACGGAAAGCTCATAGTCTGCCGCGACTTTTAGGTCCTTTGAGAGCCCGTAGCCTTCATTGCCCAAAACTAGGATGCATGGCTTCTCATTGAGCGGCTGATCATACTCGACATCACTTGACGAGATGAATTTGCCACCATGCTTTTGAGCCAGCTTCTTATCCGGAGCGGCTACTGCCGCATATGATACCCAACCGGCTTTCCTTGATTCTTCGAGGAAGGATACCGGGGAGTCGACTGTGAAGATGGTCATCTCTTCTACAGCTCCGGCAGCAGATTTTAAAACAACTGGGCTGAGCTTGGCAGAGTTGCGATTTGTGATGCCAACCGCATCGGCTCCGAAATAGCTCGCAGTTCGTAGAAGAGCACCGAGGTTTCCCGGGTCAAGGATTTCGTTCAGGAGTAATACATAGGGCTTGGCGGTGACGGAGCTTGACCGAGTAATGAACGATTCAGTGCCATTCACGGCCTCCTCCTCTTTACTTTGATGATCAAGCTTGACGTGAAACCCCAGCCGAGAGGGGTTTTCCTCGAGCGGACCCAAAGCAGTGATGGGAAGTTGAGGGATGGGTGATGTCTCTAGCACAAAGCCGTTGTGGGGTCTGCCCTGGCTCATCTTGTCCATGAGGCGCTGGTCTTCGGTTGGGACAATAGTGATGGGCACGCCTTGCATTTTTGCAAGCCTCGAAATTATTTCGTTATCCTTCGATTCCTGTCGATTTTCACCACCATAAATGTACAGGTTGTAAAGCTTCCTCCTTCCTTGGTCCAGCGCCGCTTTGACGACTGACTTTCCGTATAGGAATTGGGATGCCGCAGTGGTGTATTTGATGGTCATGGGCATGAATTTTCCAAGTCTTTCACGCGGTGCAGGCATCGTCATCTTGAACGCACTGTTGGGATCCTCTCGTCTCTGCCGACTGAATAAGTTGAAACCATCTCTGCTAGATCTTGAATTCGTTGGTCCACGTCGAAAAGCCCTCGGCTGCTCCGTAGATTGAGTATCTTCGACATTGCCGTGGAATCGTTTTGCAAAGTCGGCGCTTGATGGTCTATCAAGCTTGGTGGCGGGTGGCATGTTCGCATTGTCTCGTGGGTATCGTGGTTCACGTCTGAAGCCCCCTCTTATGGGACGAGGCCGTACCGGCTCATCAATCTTACTGACAAGATGCTGAAGTGAGCCATGTTTCATCTGATATACAAGGCTTTTCTTGCCAAATTCGGAGTCAGGGTCGTTGAACTGCTTGCGCCTTGTCTTCCGGCCTGTACCAGTCTCTTCCTCTTCCTTTTTCTTAAGCTTTCTTATTAGCCTCAATTGCTGTCGCTTTGAGCCGGCCCCTTCAAGAGCCTTTTCAGTGAGGCTCTGGGATTCTTTGTCATCGCGGCGTCCTCGCGTGCTTGGTGCCCGGGGCCTCACTTCTCCATATTGGACCCTTTCTGATCGGCGAAGCCCACGATGAATCGCTGACAGGCTGGCGAGGCGAATCGAAGCAGGGATAGGGGCGTGAATGGGATAAAATTTCGAAAACCGAAAGGGTAGGCCCGAGACCTTACTCTGCAGTGAGCGCATCATCGCATCATCTAAGACTTCAACTCCAGTCATGAACCTCTCTAGAGAGCTGGCGCAAGATGCACTTGAGCCAGCTTTTTTTCTGCCGCCTCGGTGGAGGCTCGATCTGGGCGGTGAGGTGAAACTTGCGCTACGGTTGGCTCTAGGGCTGCATTAATTGACGGGACAAGGGTGCTACCCACTTCACGGTTGTACTTCTTTACAGGGGGAAGGAAGTCCTGCTGTAGCACATCGTCACTTCGAGGATTGTACAGATATCCAAAGTTGGAAACAAAACTCTATAGATTCAGCAATTCATAACCGCAAAATTCCACAAGTAGCCGACCACATAACTGAAAACTCCTTGATATCGTCTCTTTAGCAAGGGGTTTGCGTGGGTCAACCTTGCTGACCCACCAGTCGCATCGTTGGTAATTAGTGCCTAGACGCGTTTAGAGACGGGTCGTGTACAGTGCACCTGCTTCGGTATACTTGACACCCATATGATCCTTTCTTCAGTCGCTCTTCACATTGCCATGGCCTTGCTTTCACATCTATTTCGCGCGATATAAAACAATTAGACTCTTTTAATCTTATGCCATGTTTTGTATATTTCCTTTTCTTTCACTTTCCCCTGCAACTACAGCGAAATACACCAAACCGAACTGCCAGACCCGCGCCTTAGCCGAAGCGATTTCGATCTGAACTTGACAAACACGAAGACGTTGCGCGATAGGGTGCTGGCCACAGCCCCGTCACACCCTCAAGGAAGCTTCGACATGAGCGAGTCCGTCCCTGGGAGCTCTCCGTCGCCCAGTTTGCGCCATCAGAGTGTTGAACTGGCCGATGTAACGAGCCCCACCATGGATCGTGGACAAGGCGAACCAGCAACTGGCGCTTCAGTCCACGAGAGCTCTCCGTCCCCCAGTTTGCGCAATCAGAGTGTTGAGCTGGCCGATACAGCGAGCCCTGGCATGGGTTATGGACAAGGCGAACCAACAGCCGACGCTCCAATCCGTGAGATCTCTGTTTCGTCAACTTTGAACCAAACTGTATTGGATATAGTGGACACAGCGAATTTGGCTACGAATTCGGACGACGAAGACTCTATGAGTCTGGATACTGCAGGCCCAAAGCAACAAAACACACAGATCCATGTTGAATTACGGCCGCTGCCCTCACATCTGCGCGCGCAGTATGTCAATACTCAGAGTGATATTGTGGAAAGGGTCATTCAGGAGGAGGTGCTGGAAAATGGGGAGGTGAAATATCTTGTAGAGTTTACAGATGGTCGCGAGGAACAGGTATGTGCCGAATTCTCTGCTTTTGATCTTTGGAGAAGAATCCAAATGCCATCTCTACCTTTCTTCCCACAGTCTTCTCATGCACCTTGCCACTTTTTCACCTTGTCATCACACCACCCTTAGATCTCTTCATCACTTTGAAACTTAACACACCTTCTCCTCACTTTCTTAAAACAGAGACAATACTCCATTACCTACTTACTCAGCTCAAACCTCACCCTTCTCCACTTCAGCACTTCCTGCTAACTCAAATCCCCAAGGTTGATCATAGTACACTGAATAGCTACGAAACCGGAGCCGCTGCGCTGATGGCGTTCTATCAACCTGCTAATGCAGGTAAAAGAAAGCGATCAGATGACGATAATTGGATTTCTGATTCGGATAGCGTTGGATCAGACTTGCCAGACTTTGATCAAAATGAGGAACTCGACATTCAGTCAAGCCCAGATGTCATCTCTCGCCAATCCCGACTTCGGAGTTTGAGACCAGGCAGCAGCCGGCAGAGTTCCCATGCTCAACATAGTCCATCTGACTTGGAAGATGAGAAATCAAAGAAGGATTTACCTACACGCACCTTGAGGGCACGACCTCAAAAGATCATAGATTACCGAGACGAGCTTGCAGGTGATCCTATCCCTCAGTCGGATGGTGATGATGATCCTCCTTTTATTACTTCGGATATTGTTCAAGCCAAGGCTAAGACGCGCCGCTCACGCCTTCAACAACGCTCACAGAGGCTGTCGCGTCGCCCAAAACCATCTAACAAGCGACGAAGTCCTGACTCAGATATTGAGTTCGAGGCCCCTCGCCGATCTTCTCGGGCCACTAGGAATCAATTGTTCATGCAAGACGGGGTAGATGAGGATGATGCGTTCGAGATTGTGGACGATAAAGGGCAAGGAGCGCCTAGAGTCATCTCAATCCGAGAGATATTTCAGCCGTCCGATTCTGCTTTTGTCTCCGTTCACATGGAAACTTGCCATACCTGTAATGGAACAAAGAACAAAGGCCAGCTAGTTCACTGCCAGGGTTGCAGTTTGTCATACCATAAAAATTGTCTTGGTTTCCGAAGTGGCCGAGAGCATATGGTTACGAAAGTTGGAGAAGAGAACTTCGTCTTGCAATGCCGATTTTGTATCGGCGTCCACGGGAAGAAAGATCGAATCGCGCCTAAATATGGTACTTGCCAAGACTGCCACACAGATGGCAAAGCCTGTGCCCCTTTTTCATCCAAGAAAACTGCACGACAAGAGGAAAAGCTTCGCGACGAGAATGGCGGGGTTGATCCCATTACTCCTGTCTCAGAAACTCTGCTCAACAATGCGGATCTTGTCCTGTTCAGATGCAAGGGCTGTCATCGAGGGTGGCATCTTAAGCACTTGCCACCTCACGGCGACGGCTCAACGAAGATAGGAACTGATCTGCGGGCCGAGCAGCTCAAGGATTATTCAATTGACTGGCTCTGCAATGACTGTGGCCTGATGACGCAGAAAATCCACCGTCTAGTTGCCTGGAGACCAACTAAACAAAGTCAATCCTCAGCAAACCCCGATTCCCCTGTCTTGTTACATTCGGAAGTGAGCGAGGATAAAAAAGAATACTTGGTCAAGTGGGAAAACCTCTCTTATGCTCACTGTTCATGGAAGCCTGGAGCATGGGTTTATGGTGTAGTTGCTCCGACATCTCGTGTGTCTTTCGCCAAGAGGGATGCGGAGCGGAGCTTAATGAGCATGAACGAGAAAGACGCCATTCCCGACGAGTATCTGATGCCCGAGATTATCCTCGACATCAAAATGGCGAGCTCTGCCCCAAAGCCGAATTCCAAGGAAGAGCAGCTGGCAAGCGTTTCTCATATAAGGAAGATATTCGTGAAATATCAAGGACTTAGTTATGATGACGTGGTTTGGGCTTCGCCCCCAACCAAGGATATGGAACAACATTTCCACGAAGCTTTTCTCTCTGCTTTTTGCGACTATGTCGAAGGCAAATATTTTAACCACGAGCCCTACTCTAAGATTCGGGACCGGGTCAATAAATACAAAGAGGCCGAGTTCACTGAAGTTGATGTACAGCCCGCGGGTTTGACAAGAGGCAAACTCATGGGCTATCAACTGGAAGGTCTCAACTGGCTTCTGGGAAATTATCACGGAAACCGAAGCGTTGTTTTGGCAGATGAAATGGGTCTCGGAAAGACTGTGCAGGTGGTCAGTTTGGTGGCCTCTCTAGTTCAGGATTCTCCCAAGGTATGATGATCTCACACCTCAACACTTCTTCCGTACTAACATGCTACAGTGCTGGCCGTTTCTCATTGTTGTCCCCAATGCCACATGCCCCAACTGGCGACGGGAGTTCAAGCAGTGGACACCAGAATTACGTGTTGTCACCTATCATGGAGGCAAGATACCTCAGGATTTGGCGTACAAGTATGAACTCTTCCCTGGCGGGTCAACAGAAATGAAGGCGCATGTGGTCATCATGTCATATGACTCTGCTGCTGATCCACAGACTCGAATTCTCTTCAAGCCTGTCCATTGGGCTGGTCTGGTGGTAGATGAAGGCCAGCGGCTCAAGAATGACCAAAATCTACTCTACCTGGCCCTCATGGCAATGAAAATACCTTTCCGTGTTCTCCTAACAGGAACACCATTGCAAAACAACAAGCGAGAACTCTTTAACCTGATTCAATTCATTGACGAGACACAAGATGCAGCGGAACTTGACGAACAGTACCAGGTGCTTGACAAGGAGACTCTGCCCAAGTTACACGAGCAAATACGACCATATTTTCTGAGACGAACGAAAGCTGGAGTCCTCAAATTCCTACCGCCCATGGCGCAAATCATTGTTCCTCTCACAATGACTGTTATCCAAGAGAAGCTTTCCAAAAGCATTCTGGCCAAAAATCCTCAGTTGATCAAGGCTATGTTTGCCAACACCAAAATTAGCAAGAAGGAGCGTGGGAGTCTGAACAATATCCTGATGCAACTTCGGAAGTGTCTCTGTCACCCTTTCGTGTATTCAGACGCAATCGAAGAACGCCATCACGACCCGGAAATCATACACCAGAACTTGGTCCAGGCTTCCTCGAAGCTCATACTTCTCGAGCTCATGTTGCCAAAACTCAAGGAACGCGGTCATAGAGTTCTCATCTTTAGCCAGTTCCTCGACCAGCTCAACATTGTCGAGGATTTTCTTACCGGTATGGGCTACGGATTTCGCAGACTAGACGGCACCATCAGTAGTTTGGAGAAGCAAAGGCGAATCGATGCATTCAACGCACCTGATTCAGAACTCTTTGCATTTCTTTTATCGACCCGAGCTGGAGGCGTAGGTATCAACCTCGCGACTGCTGATACCGTCATCATCATGGACCCCGATTTCAATCCGCATCAAGATCTCCAAGCATTATCACGCGCTCACCGGATAGGACAGAAAAAGAAAGTCCTATGTTTCCAGCTGGTGACCAAAGATTCAGCTGAAGAGCGGATCATGCAAATCGGACGGAAGAAAATGGCTTTAGACCACGCTCTTATTGAAACCATGGATGATCAGGATATAGATGGAGACGACCTGGAATCCATTATCAAGCATGGAGCCCAGGCCCTGTTCAGCGATGATTATCAGAAAACTGCAATTCGGTATGACTCAGCGTCGGTTGATAAGCTTTTGGATCGTTCAGAGATGGATCAAGAGATGCCCGATCAAAAGGAAGAGGGCTCGACAGAGCAATTCAACTTTGCCAAAGTATGGTCGAATGATGCATCCGGATTTCAAGATAGCCTGGGCTTGGAGGAGAGCGAGGCTCCCGAACCCATCAACTCGAGTGTCTGGGATCAGATATTGGCACAACGAGAAGAAGAGGCTAGGAAACAGGCAGAGGCCAACCGGGAAGTTCTGGGCCGCGGTGGAAGAAGACGAATGGTAAGTTACCTAGTTGCCATGGCGCGAAATGAGACATGCCAGTGGCTAGTTTTCTGACATGACTATAGGCGAAGCCGATCAATTACAAACCTGTCACTATCGCACAAGCAACAGGGGCCGAATCTCAAGGGTCCTCAGATGAGTTCTCTGGCAGTGACACGCCCGACGAATCTGAGGATGACGAGGCGGTTCTCTCCAAAGGTAGACGAAAACCAACCCCAACACAAACCATCACCCCAGCATCCACCCCGACAAAAAAGGGGCCACCAAAGAGTAGTAGTAACAACACGCAACAGCAGAAGTCGGCACAGAAATCTCTCAACTCCAACCCAAAGAAGCCCGTCCAGAAAACGGCCAACGGCGAAGGAAACGAGACGCGTACGCCACAGAACAAGCACAAAAAACAGAAAACGCACGGTGGCCATACCTCCCACCTACTTACACCCCCACGACAGTCTCCCAAACCATCACTGGAGTCCCGAATGGCTTCACACCCCAAGGCCAAGGCCAAATCCCACAAAGCGTCGCCGTCCTCCGTTCAAACGGCAAAGTAGCGGTTGAGCATCGAGGCCGTGGTTATCACCAGCACGCACCCAATGCTAATTTGATGCCACCACTTACACCTAGCAATGTACCACTAACGCTACCTCATCCTTCAGAGGCAGATTTACGAGTTGAACTAGATCACTTGAATCGTTCTATGGTGGACCTGAGCACAAGAGAGAAAATGAAGATGGAATTGCTGCAACACATAATGAGGACCGGAGCGGCAAGGGGTACCCGGATGATGACCTAGAGTAATGACGAACGTGTTTGGGATGCATAAATTGCACGGAAGCAGACTCGCAGATGACTTGCGTTGCCCAGCAGTTCCGTGCTCCCCTACCCCTGCTCTTAACCCTTCTATGCGGACGGGAATGGCTAGCTTATGGCTTAACGAAGAAACACAGAGAGGATATTTATTCACACCGCCGGGAAGCGGAATGGCTCAATATGCAGCTAGGGAAGTTGTACGAAGGTGGAGGGGTGCCTGATCTAGAATACAGCTGGCTTAGAATCGATCTGATTGATCCATATCTTTTGGTCCTGTGGCAAGACCCGTTGTTTGCTGCAAACACCCGTCTGCCTCCACTTTAACGTTTGAATCGCACGCTCACATCTAGACAGACCGAAACGCTCATACCGCTGCCGCCTAGACCGGTGATTTAAAAAAAAGTGCGATGTCTTGTTTCTGTGCCATTGCGCAGACACCCTAGTGAATGTGGCTGGCAGCACCACATGCGCTTCGCTGGCAAAGTGACAATCCCGTCCAAATAACGGGCGCAGCCAAGCCTTCCATACCTATATTATGGTCCCCCTTTCTCCTTCATTGTAGTATGTGAATTTGCCCACACGGCAACCATAGTACTCGTCTTGACTCGATCTTGAAAGCACCTACCCTTGACTCTTCTAGTTATGATGCCTTGCCAACAACCCAGCTCTGCAACTGCGTTGAACTACGACTATTATGGCCGCCAAGGCTCGCACAGCTTGGGCAGCACCCGTTATAGTACGCTAAGTCACCAGATCTCTCAAGCCGGTTGGTCTTCTCGGCCTTCTCAAGGCCCTTACGGTTGGTCCAACCCCCAGCCGTTGGCCTTTGACCCCAAGAACTGGTCAACTAGTTACATCTCATCACCACCTTCATCGATCAAGGCGGGCTCCACCGGTTCGTTTGGTTCGTGGGTGGAGCAAGCGTCCTTGAAGTCTTCCTACTACCTAGATAGGGGGAATGGAAAAGTTACACGGCTGGTGCCAGCGGACCAGCTGCCACCGATGAACGAGATTCCTCGAATGGAGAACAAGTCTCAGGGCATGGACGTCCTGCCACCCTTGCCAGGTGATCCGCGTGTAGCGATGGGAGACACGAATCAAACAATCACATTCAAGGTGAGTGATCTCCAATCACACCGAACAAGTTGCAGAGCAGTGAATGGCCTCTGACTGACAGTTACTGCAGGAGAATACAAGCCTCGCGCTTCAGCAGGTACGAAGACAAGCCCCAAACCCTAAAGAACGGATCTTGCGACCCCAGAAAGCTATATACAAAGAATGTGTTAACTGATGGGACTAGGTCCAGAAGCACCACCAGAAGCCGAGCAAGCAGGACAAGGAGTACTGCGACAAGTGGGTTCACGAAGGTGTGTGTGCCTTTACCCAGCAGGGATGTCGGTACAAGCATGAGATGCCATACGACAAGGCAACTCAGCAGTCGCTTGGTCTGTTCCACGGCCTGCCGGCCTGGTGGAAGAGGAAGCAGGCGGAGATGCATCGCCAGCAGGAGTCCAAGAACGCCGCGAAGCGCCGCACCTTGTCTAACCCGTACCAGGCAGGGGCACCGGCTCTTCTGGAGGCGCCTCCTCCCGCGGATGGGGTAAAGGCCTGTTCTGTGCCTACTGCTAGTACCCCTTGGAACAGTGGCTCGTGGGAGGGGCGTGCGAGCGTGAAAGATTTGGCGAAGCATTGTGAGTCTGGGCTTGTGTGTAAATGACCTCGAAGACTCGGAACTGACAGTGAGATAGCGGATTATGCTCTTTCGACTGGCCCGTATCGATGCCCTTACGGTGCCATCCAACCACCTTCTGGATGCCGCAAGCAGCAGTTTAGTCGGCCATAAGCTCGCCATGTGAGCCTCACTGGTTGAGGCGTCAAGTACAGGGCTAGTTGTCGGGAAGAAGAATACGAAGTGAATGAAGTGATGATGTCTAAGAGGATAGAGATAGAGGGGTAGCGTTGTCAGAGGTTACTATCCATATAAAGGGCGGCATACTCCTGTATGAATGCCATATCTATGAAGTACATGACTGGGAAAAGGATATACTTGACAGAACCCGCAGAGATTGGAGAGGGGATTGTACTTTGGGGCAGATGTGAAAACATGTTTTGAGAGAATGGCTAAATGAAAAACTGCTGGCAGTCAAGGAAATAAGCTTAAGTAACAATTCGTATGGTATTTTGAGAAAAATATGACAATTTTCGATGAGTGAAGCAATCTAAGGCTGGGTTTTGAAGGACTAGTTGAGTGGGTGACATAAAACACAATACACTGAATACGTCGCCCACCTGATCTCGAGAAGGTAAAGAACTAGGCACAATGATCTTTGACAACAGCTATCATAGAAAAAGAAAGCGGAAAAATTTCCATTCCCCTTTTCCCTCTCTGTCTTTTAGGTTCCCTTTAAATTAGTTTAACAAATAACTACTACAGAGATATCCTTCGTTCACCGTGATGAGCTGCTTTTTATGTCACCCACTGTGCTACATGGAGTATAGCGCGGGTAAATCCCGGCCAATCACACTACACCAGGCAGCCTTCCCAACGTCAGGCAGGCGCTGGGGATGACTGGAGAGGCGTCAAGCTCCGAGAGCTTGGTCTTTATTCTGTCCTTCACTCTTACTCGCTGACTCCGGAACCTACCAATCCCGCCATCGATCGGTCGTGATGGAATGAGCAGGGTCCTGGTTTCCTCAGTCTGTGGTTTTCTTCGCTTTTATCTCGTCGAATTGTCTGCGTAACTACCTACTGGTCACGCAAGTCACTGCACGCCTAATCACGCCCGCAATTGCCCCTCCATAACCCGACTCTCGTCGCCGGAGCAGGCAGCGACGGCAACCGAACAAGCCACAACAAAGCTCCTTTCTAGATCACTCAGGCAGGCGGGCGTCTCGACTGCAGGATGGAGCAGCTTTCATCCGTATTGACGAGCTATCCGCCAGCTTCGGCCTCGTCCACCTCCCACAAACAGCAGGATGAACTTGCCAGGGTCTACCTCTCCGCTATCGCCAAGCTATCTGCCTCTAATAAAAGGCTTATTTTGGAACAACCGGAGGCATTTCTCAAGGTGAGAGGGATGTTTCACCGCAGGCTCTTTCCAGCCGACTAACCGGAATTTGGTACAGCTCCTTGATCCTGCTAAGAACTCGATCGGTTATCTCTTCGTCCTGAATACTATACTGAATGCCTCCGAACCTCGAATAGGACGACCCTCGCTGCTGGATGCAATTGTCGTCTTCCTTCTCAGTTTCGACCCCATCCAGGTTCGATACGTAGGGAATTACTTACTTTCGTTGCTCGAAGCGGTTGGAACCGGAAAGCTGTTTCCCGTACGATATATTCTACAATGCTCTATTGAGACCCTTGCTGACTTAGGACTTAGCCTCGAGTTGCTGTCGAAGTTCTTGCTACGGCCATGCTCCGTTTAGATCCCAACGCTTCCATGTTTACATCGACACATCTGCTCCTGGCAACCTACGCGTACGAGACGGACTGCGTGGAACCGGCCCTCAAAGTTCTCGAGCGAGACATTACGACCTACCCGATCGCAGCACAGAAGGAGCAGCGGTTCTTATGTGACCCTGAACTTCCGCTCACGAGTTACATTTCGATACAGACTGGGCTGACAGCTCCAGTGAAGGCGACAACTGTGTTGGAGTACGACTTTATCCGTGGTTTGATCTACATGTCGAGGCGCGAATGGACAAAGGCTCGAAAAGCCCTGGAGCGGGTCATTGCCTACCCGACGAAAGATAAAGGTGTCAGCAAAATCATGGTTGACGCGCACAAGAAGTGGTTGCTGGTTGGTCTCCTCAGTGATGGTGAGGCTCCGTCATTCCCTGGATATACATCAGCTGCGGCGAAATCGGCATACAATATCATGGCCTCAGGCTATCGTGAAGTGGCGTCCACATTTAGCCAACCGAAGGCAATCGACTTCGTGAACGAGGTCATATCAAACCGCCCCATCTGGTTGGAAGATGGAAACGTGAGCCTTATCCAAGAAGTTCAGGTTGCATACCAGAAGTGGCAAATCCTCAACCTTCGACGGATCTACCGAGAGGTCTCCATATACAAAATTCAAGAGTCAACGTCAAGCGGCGAGACAGGAGAGCCCTTGGCCAATCCGCAACAAGTCATCAGCCTTGTGCAAAGCATGATTGACAGCAAGGCGCTCAAGGGCGAGATTACAGTTGGTCCGGACAGCGAAAGCTTCCTCACGTTCCAAGGCGAGCAGGAATGGTCGTCGGAGAAGGATTTCGCCAGGGAGATCGCACAAGCTCACCACAACATCAACCTTCTAAGCCAGGAGTACAAAGCGTCGAATGAACGTTTGAGCGGCCATAGGGACTACGTTCGGTTCATGATTCGCGAACTGAAGCGGGCTGACAAGGATGATTCCGACGCGGGTGGTTTTGATGCTCAGATCGAGGATGAAGACCTCATGAATGATATTGTCCATCATGGTTGACATCACAATGGGCTTCTGAAGAATAAATAGACCCGGTTTTACATCTGGGGCGGCGCTGCTTTACGATGAGGCAAACCGTCTCCAACATTAGGGGGCGATATATGCCTTATGAGGAAACTCGATACATAGTCATTTTTACGATGGCCGTAAAAAGCTCAAGGCTACCTAGACAAGATGATGAGCGAATTGTTAATGATGAATATGATTGGTCATGAAGTTGGCATGTGTGCCTGACCCGAGCGAAAGTGAACTCGAATTTTGCTTGACTAGGCCGAATCCTCTGCTTGTCTCTTCTTGCCTCGACCTGGCTCCGAGGAGATATGAGACACATGTGAGGCAGGGACTTGTGTGACACACCCCTTGTCTGTCTCAGTTTTCTTTCTTTTCACTTTTTTTTTTGTAGGTTGCTCATCACTACGTACAATACATTCCCTCCGCTCGATGTTTGGTAACATGTCTTGGGAGACGAAACAGGTGCGTGGGTGGGGGGATTTTGTATTACGGAAGAGAATAAGCACACCGTGGCTGAGAATGGATCAAAGACCGCCATTTCCAAAAAGCAAGTTTAGCGGACTGATCATGCCGTCTACGATTGGATGCTCGTTGCAATCTTCTATCCTGGTCGTTATGTCGGTACTACCCTAGGTAAGTAGAGAGCAAGACGAAACTGGCACCTCGCTGTTCGGGTGCATCAATGGTAAAGTCATGAGGGCTTCATTCCGTCGCAGGCCCGAGACTAAATGCTAGATCTCGGCCTATCTTTCTGTCTACGACCATTCAGATTGCGGGATTCGCAGGAAAAATGCACCTCCTGCATATCTACCCAGGCAAGGGAGCGTAGTGCCAGGAAACGCACGTATGATACAGCAGCAGCGAGTGTGGCTTAGAGCCCGCGCCCACCCCAAGCTGCATCGCGACATGACGGCATGGGTATGACCCGCCGGTGAGCCGCAAAAAACATCCATGATAACTGCGTCCTACGGATGGAAAATTTGCTCTTCGGGTGGGCAAAACCAAAACCGGTGAGTGCACGGAAACGCAGACAGCGCACGTACGTAGCACTGTCGCGTCGTTGTGTGTGGAGGGGGACAGCTCTGCAGCTGGTTGTCTGGTGATGTGCTCGCTGCTGCCTTGTGACGCTGCGGGGTTAAAATAAGGGCCACTGACGGGCCAGACACAGCGGTGCAATTGGGCAGCACGGCGGCTTGCTGGACCCAATTAGAAACAGCACCGGGCCCCTGGCAGCAGGCGAACCATTTGCGAACCGTCCCAGCTGCTGTCTCGACGGGTCTACAGGGTCTTCGGAGCGGTGCTGCTGGTGCTTTTCCTACCATCCAGCCATACGTGCTGGGCCCGCCTCACTGTCTGGGCGGCGCAGCGAGGCGTCCAGCATCGCCTCAATTCCACCCTCGATGCTGTGCTGCCTGACCGGAGCAAGTCTTCAAACGACTGACCTACGTAGCCCGTCTCTGCTCGTTGCTCATTCCAATTCATTACGAGCTGGGATTCCCCAAGTGCGACCGCTTCTCTTTGCCACTGTCTGAATTCTGCCTTTTCATTTCCACATCGTCGGCCTCACTGCCACTTGTAGCTGGCCGCCTTCCTACACATCCAAGAAAAGAGTCCGGTTCACGGTTGCCTGTGGCGCGTGCCGGTTCGTACTACGGCGCAGCTTGTATCGTCGCCTGGCTTCTTGTCCGACCACGCCCAAGGCATCGTTCCCCTCAAACCGTTCCCGCTGTGATTCCTGCCCAGCCGCCCGGAGCCGAAGCCGAAGCCTTCTTTGGCTCAGAGCAGCTTTCGCCCTGGCGCTTATCTCGAGACGTCCGCAGTTCCTGCTCGCTCCCTGACCCTTTCCAGGCCGCGCAGAGAGCCCCAGGACATTTGCGCTTCCTCCCAATCCAACTCGGCACGGCGAAACCCCATTTAGAAGACCACCTGCCTAGCAAGTGAAAAGGTCCTCGGTCAATAGGCCACTGCCACTGGCCCCAACTTCGACCACGCAGTAGATCCAGCCTGGCCTGCATCTCGGCCACTCTCTTCGATGTACTCCTTCATGCACAATGCCGCGCCTGGCATGGAATCCCACGGCGGGCAGTTTGGCTCCCAGGACAATCACTTTGAGGACGCCCTCCCCATTCCAAACCTAGACAGGAGAGATGGTTCCGAGTCCATGCAGAATTGGCTTGCCAAGGATGCGCCTTGGGCTCCTTCGACCGTCTTCAGCAATGGCACAGTCCCATACCTGAGAACTTCACCTGCATTCCACGGTTACAGGACCAACATCATCCCCTCAGACTGCGGCGAGACGCAGCCTGATGATTCCGGTTATGGAAAGAGTATCGAAACCACCTCTATCCGTGGCGATGACCATTATCCCTCCGCCTTGGGCTTCGAGAATGACCTCGGTGGTCTCCAGCTCGTTGCACCAGAAGCACTTGACCAGCAACCTGGGTCGCAATTCTCGGCTGACACTGTCATGTCGCCAGATGGGTTGACTTGTGATTGTTGTAATAAACAATTCAAGAATAAATCCGAGCTCAAGTACGTCTCTGTTTGTCCCATTTCTATCTGCCCTAGATTCTGATAGCATACAGAAAACACTGTGCTCGTAAATCCAAACCATTTACATGTAGCCACAGCGGCTGCAGCAAGAGCCAGGTTGGGTTTGCCTCCAACAACGACCTCGTGCGACACAAACGGACCGTCCACGGCGATAACCTCAAGGGCCGGACCTACATCTGCACCAACGGGGACTGTGCGAAGGAACCCATTCCGAAGAAATGGCCCAGAACCGATAACTTCCGTTCGCATCTGAAGAGGGTCCACAAAATTGAGCAGATTGGCGACATGGACTTGCAGCGTTATCTATATGAGTATGTGTCCCAATAAAGCCTTGCAACTCAAGTAATGGTGCTGACACTTCTCATCAAAGACCCATTCCCGAGGATCTACAGGGTTTGGGAGCCAAGTTACACGAGCCATCGACTCTCCACACTGAATCATTATTCGCCGCTGCACCACACACTAGGGCTGAACAAATTGCCGAGTTTGCGAACACAGACGCTTTCCCAGCAGTCCCCGAGACACCGCTCTACACTCCTGATGGCTCGCTCGAGGGGATCAACCCATACTCTGGGAACGGGTTCCTCGAGGTGCCACAAGATGACTCATTTGGCAGCCACATGAACCCGGCCGCCTTTGGCTCTCATCCTTCTGCAGAGAGCTTTCCGCGCTCGATCACCCCCAGCTCAATGATGAGCACCGGTGCCAAGGTCGAGCCTTCCGAGTCGGCATACGAGGCTAACCTTGGCTCCCAAGAGTCCGTCTCATCAGAGAGCGTCGCAGATGGGGAGCAGTTCGTTGCCCTCGATGATGACGATGAAAATGAGAAGGTGGAAGTCGAAATCAACGAGGACAAGTTCGAAGAATACTTCACTAGCTTGCCCCAGGCCAAGAAGCTCGAGTTCCTTGCTTCGGTGCCCGCAACCATGTTGCAGGCGGCATTGCGTCAAAAGGAAGAAGCCCCCGAAACTGATGCCTCTCAATCCTCCGCCAGCATCAAGGGCAAGGTCGAGTGCAACCTCTGCGGTAAAGTATTCATCAGGCCATGCGAGCTCAGGTATGTACCATCATCAGCATACATCATCAGTAACTTTGGACACATTGCTAACGTGGCACAGAAAACACAACAAGCGGCATGAAAAGCCTTACGGATGTACAGTCTATCAATGTGAGAAGACATTCGGTAGCAAAAACGACTGGAAAAGACACGAAGGTCAACAGCACACCCCGCTTAACACGTGGCCATGTGACAGTAGCTGCGGACAGGTGTTCGGCAGCCGCGACCAGTTCAAGCTGCACCTAGATAGCTCCCATCATGAGATGAGTCCTACTACCAAGGAGGCGAAGCTCGAGGACAACAGGCAGAACATGCACTCCATGTCCTCGTTCTGGTGCGGGTTCTGCCGCTGCATGGTCGCCTTTGCCGGCGACACAACCGACCCCCAGGGTGTCCGGTTCGATCACATCGACGACCACTTCATGGGCCGCCGTGATCAGCCCAAGATGAACATTTCGGAGTGGCTGCACATGGAGGTCGCACACGCCGAACGCAAGGCGCCGGCCAAGCGTGCCTCGAACAAGGAAGGCAACATGCGGAAAAGAAAGCTGAGTGCGGCATCCGACGCACGCCCTTCCAAACAGCCACATACTAGCGTTGTTTGAGACATTTTTCCTTTTCTATTTCTTACCTTTTTTTCCTTTCTACGAGAATGATGGTGCATTTAATGAACGATCTTGGGCTATCTCCATTCTTACTCTATCTCCTTGTTGTTGTTTTTTTCTTCGTTTTTGGTTAGGGGGGATTTTGGATACCGGTCCAGCTCGCTTGAGGAAGCGGTCATACGTTAATGACGGGCGTCAGCTCAACCTATATAACCGATATATTTATGAAAATTATGATGATGACGATGATGCGCGGAAAGCAGGTCAAAAGCGATGGAAGGCGTTTTTGGGAATTTACTATCTATCAGATTCATGTTACCGGGAGAGGTGTTTTTTCCAGCACTCTCCCCTCATTTCACTATAGGATATCTATCTATTTACTCCACCTACCTAGCTTACGAACCTGGTTCGGAATGATCAACAGCCAATTTCCAAAATATCCCTGTGCCAAAAACTGCAAGTGACCTTGATCCTTGATGATAACATCTCAATTTCTTTGCTGTCTTGCCCTGGGCCGCCTGAAATGAGCCCATGCATTACGGGCGGACTCCCAAAAGTCAGGTCACCCAGTTATTCATGCATGTCTCAGGCGGGGGTATGTCTGGACACAACTGTGTGAGTACACGACGGTTTTTTGGGGGGGGGGGAACCCCGCAAAAACCTGGGCGACTACCCAGGCCGGGACCTCACTGTCTGGCTTGCCCATCAGCTCGTAGCCGCCCAGGGCAAGCCATCTTTTCCCATTCTTCACTTGTCATTTGGCGTGGAGCCCGCCTCGGTCAGAGAGAGAGACCTACCTAACCCAGTATTGGAGTGGATAGCGAGTCTTGGGGGCTGAAGGATCCATAGGGGGATTGGGCGTGGCGTTGGCTGAGAGAACATGATTTAGACGCAGGGTGGCAGAAATAGGCATGTGGACTTGAATTTGGAAAGCGGGAATGGTCCAGGCAGCCACTGAAGCAGAGTGTCTCACCCGCCCCATCTTCTCTCACTCACGTCCTGGTCCGGGCTAGATGCGTAAACATGGCTGAAGGAGAAGGGTGTTTGCGAAGCTAGAAGGGTGTTGAGGCGTTCTGAGGGCGGCTAGAGAAGGGGGGGAGGGGAAGGGAACAACCCAATAGCCAAAGCCAGTCACATATCATTTTGACTCTCTGGTTGAGTCGGGCGTCGGTGATAGTATTTTTGTAGGCGAGGGTGCATGGGACTAAGATGGCTGCTGAAAAAAAGATTGCGTATGTAGTGGATTTTGCTTTTTTCCCCATGCGGGAGGTATACCACTTTGCCGGAATCGACGTTGCTATCAAGCGAGCTTGGCCAGTGCGGTCCCTGCACGTCTCACGATTCAGTTGTGGATTCACACCAGGAGCCGATCAAAGAGGAGGGGGGCGGGTGAGAGATGTGATCTTCGTCTCTCGTGCTCGCGCTGGGGAGGGGTTTCTGGTATGGCGGGCTTGGCTTTTTGACAGATGCTGTCCGATGCATATGCCATGATGTTCTTGTGGCACACTCACACACTCACGTACATACACGATTACTACACTGCGCGGCCCTTCCCCGTGCCGTCGTTAGATGGGCAGCTGTGTCCCAGAATCTAGCGCGGTCCCCTTGAATAGCATTTCTGTTTACACTAGCCGGCTCCTGCGGTCAGCCGTCGGTGTTAATCGATGCTGCCGTCTGCTCGTGCGTCTGCTGGTGAGACCGCGGATGCATTTCCTGGCTGTTTCCAGGCGGGATCTTCCTCGAGCTGAGCCAGCCGTCCAGCCCACACCCCAGGCGCGAGATCAAAGCCCGCAAAATCGTGCTTGAGGGTTCCGAATAGGCACACCATGATAAGTTTACATTGAACCCAAGCTTCTAGCCCCGATTTTGGGTCCTTGCGGGGCAAAACTAACCGCCTGGCCGGGGTGTCGGAGTGGGTATCGGGAGGCGTGGATCATCCCAAGGTGGGCCGTAGGGTTGTACAACAAGTCAATAATGTGGGAAGAGTGCACCTTGCTTTTTCCTCCTTTTCCTTTTCTTAGTGATAGGGGAAAAGGGAAAGGGGGGGAGGCGACCGGGAAACCGCCCCATGCAGGCGGTCCCAAAAGCTCACTTCCTGGTACAGGTGGCCGGTGGGGAGGTCGGTACCTAGGAGGTGTGAAAGGTAAGACAACCTGAACGACCAACAGTATAATGCAAAGGAGTGGCGGGGACTGGGAAGGGGGAAAGGGGGGGAAGCGCAGCGAAAGCACGTACCCAGCGATCATCATCTTGCTCCATTTCATGCACGGCAATCAGCAGACAGACCTGGTTTGACATTTGACTGCTCGGAAGAAGCAACTCTCCTCATCCCTGGTGCTTGCTTGAACAATGGGTCTTGTATCCCTGGAGGAAGCTTTCTGGGAACCCATGACCTGGCACGGGCTAGCCATATCTTTGGGAATCCGGCATCTGCAAGTGAGAGGATGGGGATTTTGGTAATATGGCCACATGCAGCAGCCAGCAGGTGGTCCTGTCTCTAGGCAGAATGGCGGCGCATTTCCTTGTCCAATTGCGCTGCCACACCTCGGGCGTAGGCGAACAGGATGATCGATGTAGGCCAGCCAGAATCGAGGACGTGCAGACAGGCGCCATGCAGATTCGACGTGACGCAAGCTGGGTTGTTAAATTAACGCCTGCAGTCCAATCTCGATTTGGTGTGCGCACGTCAACGTCGGTCGGGGTGCTCAGTGCAGAACGGCATCTCGACACAGGGGTGCGCCCTGCAACTGGTGCGCATGTCGGAAATTTTGGCGACTTGATAACCAGACTCTCGACCGGTGCGCTAGCGGGTGGAGACTCTGGAAGCCACCGAGTGTAGATATTCACACATGGCTGCAACGGGCGAAGCAGTCGAGTTGGGAAAAAGCAAAACTTGTCAAATGGCAGTGACGCGACGGCGAACCTTGATCCAAAGTTCCGTCCGATTATAGCGGGCCCGGAGCAGCGATATCCGGCCGTGTGATTGGCTGTGGTCTTGGCCCGCGGGTGGTGGAGCACTACGGCGTGTCCCGACGACGATCGCGGATTACCCTCTCTGGCCCAGTGCTTGCTTAGCGGTCTAGCAGGCTAGTAGGCCCCCCCAAGCCCCTGGCGCACGGCACGCTCAGCCCCAGCGGCACCCTAATCTAAGGTAAGGTCAACTACAAGTGCTGGTGCTCTCAGCATACCGCTTCTGTCGCGTGTGCTCTCCCACCCTCAGCCCGTATCCGGTACTTGGCGTCTCTTCCTGCGTAAATAGTAGGTAATAAAAACCCCCTGGAGGCGGCGGCTGGCGGCTAGCACCACGTGGGGGACTGGCCGGGCGAATGAGCTTCCGCCCTGGCCCCTCTCCAGCGGTGGCATCAGACAACCTTAACCAACAGCTTCTAGGTCATGGCAGAGACATTACGTACCAAGCCTGCCGCTCCGTATCGTGTGTTTCTTACCTGAAGGAGAATCAGGTCGCCGATGTGGTTTGCATTACACGCTAGACCAGCAGTGCAACGGGACAGATCCAGCTCAGATTGACACAGAACGCATCTTACCGCGCCGACAGCCGATAAGCCAGTGTCTCTGCGTGGAAGTGGGAGTGGAAGGCATCAACGCCTGGTCCCGCCTGTCGCTTGGTTGGGTACAGGACTGGCTGCAGTCTCTACCGTCGTAGTGACTATCGGTCCCTCCGTGATGAGACTGACCTACATACTGCCAGCTTACCTACATACCTAAGGTATAGAATGTACCTACCTCAAGGCAAAACACGTACCAGCCAGCAGTCATCCCACCGCCCAGGAAAGAGTAGAGACATTGTAGGCGAGGCGCCGACCAGGCGATCATCTCCACTCACCCCTCCTCCACCTGCATCGTCCCCAGCAAACCTGTCCGTCTGTCTGTCTCGATACCTGCAGATGACGATAGCGCCATGTCCCGCAGCATTCCAACATGGATGTTCCTGTTCTAGTCCCTCTACATCCTCTCGTCTCTATATACTTCTCGCCCCACATGCCATTTCTTCGCCGGACCTAGTTGTTTTGTCCCCTATTGGTTGCTCTCGTCATTTCTTGTCTCCTATTGGTCACTCTCGTCTGGACCATTAAGTACCTTTCATGCTTGGGTACGACAAAGTCACATTCGCGCCCAAATCACTCGACAGAAATCCAACAATGAATCCGATTCTAGGCCTGATCGCCTTGCAACTCCCAGTCAGGCCATCTTCTCTCACAGGCACCATCCCTGATGGTTCTGTTGGTTCTCACTTCCGTATTTTCTTCCCTCTGCTATGCCCTATGCTTTCCCCTTCTCTAGATCTAATGAAAGACAGACTATACCAGTGGTCCTCGTTCTATTATTATCACGGATAATTATAACTATCGTCGCTGAGTTCGCTCTAACGCACATCTCACCTCCCCTCCCACTCCACTACACGCAGACCTCAGCCCCTTACTAGCCTGGCGGCAAGAAGTAGGTCTAGAAAATAAGAAAATAGTTCCATCGTGGAATTTTCTGGGGCAAGAAGATACAAAGATGGGCTCGGGGGACCCTGGAAGCCCATTCGCTGTGTCACAAGCATGGCGTAGCTGGTGCACTACCCGCAGTGAAGACTCGGCCTTGGTTCGCGAACCATTCGCTACTATCTCGCTCTGTCGAATGCCAAGAAGCGAATGGTCAGCAGCCTCCAGGGTGAGAGATCCTGGTCCATGAAACCGGCAATCTGAAAAACCACCCGGCCACTGGATTCAGCTAGCTAGGACAGCTGTATGCCATGTATGTATGCCCAGGGATGTTTCCATACCCTCAGGTGTGCATCTAAGAGTAAGAAACTAAGTAATTGCTGGCTCGAGTGACTTCGCAATGTCCGCGGAGTGAGTTAGACTTGCTGTACCGTGAGGCTCTGCGGTGGGCCTTGGGTAGAGTAGGCCTCGAGTGAGATAGAAGGTATGGGAGTTCTGCTGGCACCCGGGGAGTCGTCCAGTGCCCGGTCCATGTTTCATTCATCAGATTCTTAACCTATTCCCCTTATGTCTCCATTTTCTATACCATACATACATTCTCGTCGTCTGCGAAAAGATATATAACTTGCCCTGCCTCTTTGCCTTTGCCCCTCGGACTCCTCGACAAGCATCTCCCACCTACACACTCCTGTCCCCGTCTTAGTGCCACCTGCCCTTCTCAGACAAGCAACTGTCTCTAGATCCAGTACAACGGATGACCTTTATTACACAAGATTGAGATTTCAAGCACACATCCCCAGACAAGACCCCCCCTTGCCAGAAGCCATCGCCCTACTCGGTTTTTTTTCCCCTACAATCCAACCAATTGATTCCTTACCTCTTCTCTTCTTGCTACCATGGACTTCAACAGTCCATATGGTATCTTGGACGGCGAGAACGGGTATTCTCACGCCGACCCTGACTATCAACCCCTTGACTTGTCGGCTCTCGACCCAACTCTAGGGGAAGACGGGAGTCTGGCCTCTTACGAACAAGCTACAATCCAAAGATTCCTCGGGGAAGACGACTCACGCCGCTTGTGGGAGATGAACTCGACTCATTGGCCTGAAACCCCCTCTATGGGAGTGATCAGTTACCCCGCTACTCCTACACTCGAGCCCAATGATCGATCCTCCACACCCGATTCCCTTCGGCTGCCCTCGCTTCCACCAAACAACTCTCGTCCCGTCACACGAGGGGATCTCCAGCGGTATGGAGAGTCTCAACGCCCTCTGACTCCACTTGACTCTGCTCTCCTGACCTCCGCGCCGGGGGCCTTCAGCGACGAGGAGCATTCCACTCCTCGAGCCGCCCTCATGGGTCTCAGCATCACAGAAGACACTCGAGAGGCAGTGGGAAATACTATCCATGTCCAGATGCCAAACCTGTTCCCATCGTCCAGGCTTAGCCTGGGACCAAATGCCAACAACCCCTTTCCCCTGAGGGAGCAAAACCTCCCAGCCAAACCTGTCGAAACAATAGAACCCGTCTCCCTCATGTCCCCGCCAATGCAGCCGCATTCCCTCCCGAACCCCTCCTTCACAAGACCACTGCTCGCGATCAGCGGTTCATCGAAGCCCAAAAACACCGGCAAGAACAAGAAAAAGAACAAGAAGCAACCACCAAAGACCTTCGGCCGTAACAGGGTCCTGAAGCCTAGTCAGGAGTCGACAGTCAAGGACAGGCTGAAGGCCAACACTGCCAGCAACATGTCCAACAGCAAGTTCACTGCCCCCATCAGCCGGCAGGGCGACTTCTCGTGCAAGCACTGCGACTTCTCGTGCCAGGACAACAACACCCTCAGGAAGCACAACAAGTTAGACCACGCCGGTCCCTTTTCCTGCATCTTCGAATTCGCCGGGTGCAACGACAAGTTCTCCGCCAAGAACGAGTGGAAGCGCCACGTCCTCCGCGGGCACGTCGTCAGCAAGGTCAACGTCTGCTCCTACGGCGGCTGCGCCGGCGACAACGACAAGCCCTCCAACACCAAGTACATCGACGTCCAGGGCAAGCAGTTCAACCGCAAGGACCTCTACGACTGCCACATGAACCGCGTGCACACCTACCCGACAACCGAGAATCAGACCCGCGAGGAGTATGAGTGCATGCTCAAGGCCCTGCTGAGGCGGTCGTGGCACATCCGCTGCCAGACCCCTACATACATGGAGTGCCCGAGCCCCGGCTGCAACCTCTCCTTCGAGGGCGACGACGCCTGGGACCAGCGGATGGAGCACACCGCCCGCCACATGGAGAAGGCCGCCGCCGGCGAGGCTGACGACATCGTCATCGGCGGCGACAACGACCACACCCTCATCGATTGGGCTTCGCTCCCCGAGAATGGTGTCATCAAGCGCGTCGACGACGAGTGGGAGGTCTGCTTTATTTCCCACAATAGGAAGACCCAGTCCAAGTACTAAGAAGCGCAAGTAAGCTTCAATTTTGAACACTTGTACTTCCATGCCTTGCTCCATCTAGTTAAGGGGGTTCTCCCACTTGTTCCACTCCCCATTCTTGGGCTCACTCTCTTTTACTTTTCCTTGATGTCAATCTGCTTTTTCTTTTCCATTGCTGCCTTCTTTTCTCCTCGTCGCTCGTTCTTACTTCCCCTTTTTGGCTTCTTCTCCTTTTTTTGGCTTCTTCTTTTGGCTTCTTCTTCACTCTTTTTGCTTCTTTTTTTGGTTCATGTTCGGTTCTTCCTTTTCTCAATATCGACACTCCTTTATCAATGAAATATTCGCACGGATGCTTTTTTTCGGGAATCTGGCTAGTTTTTGGGTATTGGGCGGAGAAATGTTTTCAAACTCAGAAAAAAATAAGGATACCATCTTCATGTGTTAGCATAGGAGTCGGAATTTCTCAAACTTAACTCTCAGGTTTTATGATGTGTCGTTGGTTTTCATGGGCAATGAGTCTATTATCAGATATGACTCCCAGACTTTGTTTACTGCTTTTAATCCACTGCTAAATAAGCAATACATTCTCTTATGTGTGCGCCATCTAAATATGCTCATCCCGACTCTTTGCGTTTGCATGGGTCAATTGAAAGCGTAGTTTGTATCGAGGACTGAGTAGCAATAGTCTAAGATATACAATTTGTTTTCTCTGAAAGCTAATGGGCTATCCTTGAGTATCTTACATTCGATTAATCATGTCCTAAACTACTAGTATTGCCATGATGCCCTACTGCCATACCGTCGTCTCAAGGTTTGATCTTGTTGCGTTCGCTTTCTCACCGCTCTTCGTCTTATAAAAAAAACCATCCGCCTCAAACAGTAAAAGGGAAGAACAGACCGAACTCAAAATTCTCATAATTGCTAGACTTCCATATTCCGAATATAAAACAAAAGGGGTGTGTATATGAGCTTAGACACATAACACTGGGCGGTTCTTGGGCTGATGGAACTATTCTTCTCATTAAGCGGTTGATTTCACTTCCAGACTTCTCGAAGCCTGTGCATGCGGCTTGCTTCCCATGTTCCTTTGGGCTCGACGTTGCTGCCTTAGCTTGCACTCTATGGCATAGCCAGGCTCGTTTGCCTTGCGCCATTCGATCCATGCTTCGTATGCCTGCTGGTTGCCAGGGTCAGGCACCCGGGGCTTCGGCACTGGGTGTCTCTGAGCAGGGGCATTTGTTGGAAACTGAGATCCTTGAGGGGGGTTCATCGGGTGCAAGGTAGCTGGCTTCTGAAACGATGTGGTAGATCCGAGAGTAGGATTCAGGGGCTCTATCGGTGGCCCTGCAAGCGCAGGCATCATTGCCGGAAACATTGGAGGTACCGGCAGCGTGCTGGACCAGGCCCCGTTCGACATACCGACTGGCATAGGGCCTACATGCTGGGCTGGTGCTGAGTTGGGGGTGCTCCATACCATAGCAGGATTGGTGTACATTTGGGGAGTAGGCTTTACCATAGGCTGCTCGGGAAATTGAGAATGCAAAGTAGGAAGTGGTATGTCCCCCAATGTGGCTCCAGGGTCAAACATGGCGAAGGGAAGTCCGCTTTGGATAGGCAGAGGAAGGGTGTCTTGACCGTACCCCTTGTTATGTACCGCCTCCAACGGCTGCGCAACAGGGCTGGGATTAAAATATCCTTGGAGATCAGGACGCAGAGGCTTCTTTGGTTGGATGCTCTCAGCGTCTGTTGAAGCCCCAGCAACAAGGGAGAAAAATTCTCTGGCTCTTGGGTTGAAGGTAGATCCTGAGGAAGAACTGCTATCTCCCCTCGTACGGGAGCTCAGGTGGCCATTCTAAGGCATGCTGGCATATCCCGAATCCGAGGAAGTGTTTTCGCCCATCCCGGATCCTCCAACTCCCACCCATTTGCTGCTCTTTTCGGGCTGAAAGTCTTTCATTTCGATGCCTTGAGATGTTTGGTCCTTGTTCATATTTTTGTGCAAGCGTTGAAGCATTCTACCAAAGGCATCGGTGGCTCCATCGCTAGCAAGACCACCTTCGATATTTCGGCCTCGTTCGTGGCTCAGAAGGCTCACTTTATTCTCGGGTTCACGTGAGGCCAAAAGACTTGCTTTTTGTTTCATCAGGTTGATGTCTGGAGTAGGGCTCCCGGAAAGGATTATCTCAACCGATGATGATCTAGTCGTGTTTTCGCCGGTCGAGTCTTCGTACATGGAGCTGAATGTTTCGGGTCTCTTCATTCTCTTTGGAGTCTCGCCGGCCCCTCTGAGAGCTGCAGCAAGCTGTTCATGTTGATCCTGACCCAAAAATGAAAAGCTGCTATCCTTTCGAGCTTTATGCGTTCCCAAATGGCGAATCTCTACAACATCATTCGAGTTGGATGCTGTTGAGTAAGTAGCATCAGAACGACCTTGGGCCGCAAGCTGACCACCGCCACCACAAAAAGGAACAATCTCGATGATACTCATCCCCCATGGTTTGTCTCCATTCTCAATCGCCTGGTTCGACCTGATCGCACCTAGGCCCCTACCTCCCATCTCGTTGTAGTTGGTTCCGTCTTCTGTTTTGGCAGATGATGGATGCCAATTTCGAGGCCGTGGTTGAGAGGGATCGGCATTCAAGGTATTCAGAAAGCTTGCATCAGAAGGGAAAAGTTGCATTCGGTTCTCAGCACTGTCTCGCTTTACCGGCTTTTCTCTTCGTGGGGCCTTCTTGGCAGCAAAGTCCGGGTAAGTCGACTCATCAGATCCGGTCTGACTGCCGCGTTGGCGCCAGTCTGGGTTATTCATAGCCTCGAAAAACTTGGACACTGAGGAGCGCTCATCGTTTTCGGCTCCTCCTGCAGCCTCAAGACCAATCCGGGGCGGCAATAGTCCATGGTGGGAGTTTTGATCTTCGCTAGAACTCGTCTGCACGGAACGTCTGAGCCTAAAAGGCCTCGCCCTTCCAGTAACGGAGCCCACTAGACTCGGAGTTAGACCACTTTCAATGGTTTGGGTTCTCTTTCCTTACTTGATAGAGAGGGTTTCTCGGACTTCTTCTTCGTGTTGATCGATAATATGCGGAGCAATGCAAATAAAAGCTAGGGCCGACCCTAGTCACAACTGACAACAAGTTAATTACAGTACTGGCCATTGTCTTGACATGGAGGCAGCTCTACCTAGCAAGAGCGCTGACGCCGGATTCACAGAAGTCGTATCAGAAGAGTATTCGAATGAGGTCACAGTTCAGAAACAATGAAGAAGCTGAAATTTAGAAACTTGCTGCAGAAAAGAACATTCTCGAACTACAACCTGACGGTGCGTAGGATTGAGTTCAATCGCTGTGTCAGAAACGTCGAGAGAAAGAAGGGAAAGTGAGATGAGGCCTTTCGTTCCGATGTTGGGACGAAAGTAGGCCGATCAGCAAAAATGCAGAGCAGCCAGGAAACAACACGCGGTGGCGCTGATGGTAGGAGGGCCGGGCATGTAGGATAATGACGGCTATGATGGCATGAAATTGGGCAAGGAAGTCGTCCTAATTCTGTCAGGAGGGTGCTTTCTGGTTTGGCCGTAAATAGTAGCACGATAGTTGAGCAGTAAGGTTCCAAAAAGGGAGGCGGAACGATGATGAAAACAGAAGATAGCTGACGACGAAGCCAAAGAGCTGGTTGGGACGATCCTTCAAGAAGATCTTGAGGAGGTGTAGATGTGTCGGTGGGTGAGTAGGAAGGGAAGAATGGTAGGCCAGTATTTATATGCAGAAGGTGCTCTGGTACCCAAAAGCCCATTTTCAGCGTACTGGATTTGCTGGAGCCAGGGTGAGAGCGAGGTGAGAATGATGTGAAGTGGTGGCTTTAGGCAGCAGGAAACGCCCTCGAGCTGGTTGCTGGGCTGGCTTCCTCAAGGGGAAAGCGCACCACTGCCAAAGCACCTACTAAGTCATGGGCAGAATCGGTACTTGCTGCACATTGTCCTATTGGAAGTGGCCTGTTTAGCTTCAGTGCATGAAGTCAACGTGGGGATTTCTTTGGTAGGTCCTCAGGTAGAGTTTTGGATAGAATATCTCGCTTAGAACAAGTACAATACAATCGAAAGCCAGGCGCCAAATACGCATCATCAATCTTGCCGCTCATCATTTCATGGATCTCAATCAGACAGCTCCCAATCCTTCTCGCCCGCACCCGCCGATCAAAACTACCCTTGGTAAGCCTGGCCAGACATGTAGGTTCCGAATGCTTTCTGTGGAAAGTATCAGTTCGAGTTCATGAGTGACATCATCACATAAGAACCAGCACGTACCGCGTTTCTTGTCTGGATGTATACAGTACCCGGGCCAGTGAATTTGCAGACAAGACCTTCGCCAGAGGCAATGCCGGAGATGATGCCACCAGAGGCAATTCTCTCCATTACATACTTGACGTTCCAAGCAATGAGGTGGCCGTTGTCAACGATATACTTCTCCCCTTCCACAAGCTACCCAATGAGCGTCAGCCAAACTGTCCGTACCACGGTTCTAAGGAGATACTCACGTCTTTGCGGATGATGGCGCCAAAACTGGTAACCCACAAGAGACCCTTCCCGCTGATCTTGTACACCCAAAGCCCCTCGCCGCTGAACATGGCCTTTCCGAGACCCTGGCGCTTATAGTCCTTGATGACACCTTGGGTCGAAGCCAGATAAGCGTCATGCCCTACGGACCAATGCTCGTTTCCGTTCAGGCGAATACTCGTAATATCGCCAAGCATCCAAGGTGCCAATAGGACTTCGCCGGGGCCGATGAAGGTCGAGGTTCCCAGCTCACCACCAGCAATCATCTTCTTCACACTGAACTTCACAGCACCCTTGAGTGTGACGGTCGGTGACATGGCAATCATAGCACCTAGAATTCAACAAGTTTAGACCCGGTCCACCATACATAGCAGAAAGAATACAGGTATTTGGGGAAACCTACCCGGCTTGCCCTCAAGTGGGCAGCCCATTGCCAACTGAATAGTAAGAATGGTGTTCGAATCACGGTGGCTGATTCGGTAGCTTCCTCCGTTGAACGTTCCAACATCATCGTGTGCAGCTGCTGCGCCCACGAACTGTCCCGCAGGTGGAGCTCCAGCAGTGTGGTTTATAGGGCTTGCAACCATCTGTTGCTGCGGTTGCTGCGGTTGCTGCTGCAGTGGCGATTGGATCTCCTGCTGTTTCTTTTCAGGGAGATAATCTGCGTCCGCATTGGGGAATGGTGGAGGGGCATCTCCTTGGGGCGACGCAAAAGGTGTTGTCGAGGACGGACGGTAAGCCATACCAGGCTGTGAAGAGTGCTGCTGAGGCGAAGGCTGAGCCTGGGCCAGAGGAGCCGAGGGCGGTGGCGGGTATTGTGCCTGGCCGGAATATCGAAGTGTCGGAGATGGTGTGTTCTGGGATGGCGGGGGAGGATACTGTTGACCCGAACCTAACGGCGATGCTTGTGAGGGCGGCGGAGGGTAGCTCGTCGCCTGGCCGGGCAAAGGCGATTGCTGAGCACCCGGGGGGGGTGGGTAGTTGGTCGGCTGTCCGGGCGAGGACTGGGAGGGAGGCGGAGGATAGTATTGCGTCGATTGCGCAGGGGAAGCTTGCGATGGTGGAGGGGCATATTGGGGTAGCTGCGCCGAAGGTGAAGCTTCCAACGAAGCTCGGTCAGTCGTGGATATCTTCAATTGGGCTCATTCTCTGTAGCCATGGGAAGCAACTAACCTGGGCCTTGCGCGCCGGGGGGAGCTATACAGTTGCGGTTAGCCATCATGCCTCCAGCCAGCCTGCCGGAGAGGTAGGCAACATGGGCATCAAGGACTCACGAGGATAATGGGGTTGCTGTCCAGACATTGCGGGGGAGTCGAAGTCGCAGGTCCGGAACCACGAATAACAAGGCTACGAGAAGCAAGACGAGGGAGATGTCTTCGCGACAGTGCACAACGAGATGTCGTGAGGAGTGGCAGAGGTTGCTCAATATGTTTCAAGGGTGGCGGGTAGGCAAAATCAAGGCGCATAAGGAATCAGGTTGCTTGCTTGGGTTGTAGTCCAAGTGGCTCCATCCGCTGCAACCACAGACCAACTACAGCTCCTATCACACCTAACCTATAGCAGGTCGGATCTTAAGGCCCAGGATCCCGCGTGGCTTCTATGAATAAAACTGACGATTCTCTCCCTGCTCGCTGCTGTAGCCGCCTGCTTGCCCACTTACCCTCATGGATATGGTGTTGTGGTGTGCGTAGACATCTCAAATAACTCGCATGCCTGAGGAGGCCTCAACACGTTGCGCACTCATCGCTGCCTCTAAGCGCCCAGCTGCATCGTCTTTGTTTACTTCACACGGCTTACGTAGGTCCGGTCCATTTAGACTCTGGTTGGTGCCAGGGCCCCATCCAAGCTTTCAAGGCAGCCAATCCTGGCTACGACCGACCAGCAGCGCTTGGTTCAAAACGTGGCCCTGAAGAGGAATCAATCAAATGCAATTGCTGTTCGTCCGGTGCAACCTCTAGCGCGGGGAACCTATCTACACCAATGGCCTTGCAGGAGCCAATGAGGAAACATCGAAGCTCTGCGAAGACGAGCTGTGTGCTGGAACAAGCTTAATCATTGGTCTGCCATGGCCCACTGGATTGACGAGATCCGATGTTGTATCTGGCAACTATTTTCGCACTGCCGAGCCGGGAAGATGGGGGCCAAATCTCGAAGCCTTGAGTCTTCAGTAGAAGACCTTCTGTTTTCTACCTAGGAACTCACCTGAACTATTGAAAATGGCAGCCTTAAGACAACCTGCAGTCTGCTCCACGCGTGTATGCGAGACACGGGCCTCACCGTCATATATGCGCACTAGTTGGTCTGCTATTTGTTAAGATGGATTTTCTATTAGCGAACCGGTGTCCCTCACTCAACGTCATGCTCGTGGCATACAGGACGGGTCGGCCCAAGATTGGCACCAGGATCCATCTTCCTCAGAGGAAGGGGGACAAGGCCTAAATAGCACGGACGTCAACAGGCCTAGGTATTTGCATGCGTGAGATGATCGGAGCAATTGCTGCGAGAGGTAAGCAACGGGCGGCACATGCATCTTGGTTCTGGCTGCTCGGCGATCCCTGCGAGAGCCGGCCCTCCAGTCCAGGGCGCTGGGAAAGGCGTCGAGCGTTTCATCTCAACAGAAGAATAAGACAGGTCATGCGAGGGCTTTGCTCTGTCGCCTGAAAGCGGAGCTGGGCCAGAGAGTCGGGACTCTGGCGTTCTCAGCCCGTATTCCAGAATGGCGCTTTGGCATTCCACGTGGAGTCAGCTCTCAGCCCAACAACACGCCCGAGTCAGTCCCAGGCGGCTCGTGCGTGCGAAGATAAGATTGCCATCGATGCGGTGTGCAACCGACTCAGACCATTAATGCGGGACCACGGCAGCCGTCAATACGGAAATCTGGAGTTGATTTGCTGCCGGATAGGTGATGCTAAGGGTTGAGGCTTCTTCTCAGCTGGCCAGTCACGTCGCGCGGAAGAGAGACATCAGGAACCTCAGACACAGTGGGGATTCAAGTTTGCAGATCCTACTCGGGCTGTGTCTCATCTGGTCATGATTGATTGGTGCTGGCCAGAAAGCTATTGGAAGTTGGCTCTTTTCCTCTCGCTGCCAATTAGGGTGCAGTGCCCCTTCACCGTGCTTGCTTTGAAGTCGACAGAGCGACTGTGACGTCTGAGGCAGACACTGGAGAGCAATTCGTGTACCGAGAGCGGAATTCGTGTAAACTATGATGGCCTAGTAGCGGTTGTAGGCGTGCTCTTGGTCCCTCTAGTTTGAACAGGGGGTTCGGAGCAGAGACAAAGTGGGCGCGCCTCTGTCCTCTAGTCTCTCCTGGTCGAAATCTCCCCTGGACATAGGCACAATGCATTAATGGTCACAATTGGGGGTCCGTCTGCGCGGCCGATCTGCGCGCATTGCACCCAAAAGTGCATAATAATACCAGCGACCCGGGACGTCGGTACACGACTGTGCGTTCATAAGACTGGACCTGTCTGCCGGTACCAACTACCAGGGACTGCAACACAATATGGAGTGCCCCTGGATGTATGCAATGTCCTTGGTCGACTGCGATTCATTCAATGCGTGTCCCACCTTCGGCATATCAGACCATCTCTGCTCTAGCTCGCTCTTGTAATTTCCAGCCCCATGATACTGCCGGCGCCGTTCTGGGGCGCACCATCATTGGATCGCGGGCGCCCTAGCGAAGCCCCTTGCAACAGCTGGAGGCAATGGCGTGCATCGCTGGAGCACACACACCTCGCCCTCGAGCGTTTCGATCGACAGCTCGAGGAGAGGATGTGCAGATCGACCATGGCGAGCCATCTATAGCCCGACCAGTTGGTTGGCATGCGATTCCGCTTGGGGCAGGACGGAGGTGGTTTGGGAGCCCTGTGGGCGAATCCTTCAAGAGTTTCGGGCTTAGGAGCCTCAGCAGGCTGATTGAAGGAGCAGGTGCAAAATGGCCATTGGATCCCTGGCGACAGCGTCCTGATTTAGCCCGACTCCCCTCAACGGCTTGGGCCCAGCCTGTTTGCAGGCGCTAGTTGGAACCATCCCCACCGATAGAGCATTCCGATCTTCCAGGATGCTGCATTGACTGGCCATTAGACTTATTGCTTATTGTACTTGCGCTGTTGCACTGCACCTGCAGCAGACCACGCGGTCGTCAGCGGTCCACTGTGTCGGTTCTCTCTTTGTCTGGCTGCCTGCTTGTCTGTGCGTCAGGACGAGTCTCGACCTGGTCCTCTCCCATTGCCCAGAACCAACATCGTGTTCCGTCCGCAGGTAGTGTCTCCCAATGGCCTCCCTACGCCTCCGGCTCGAAATTCGATAGTGAAAAGGAGCACCTGGCCCGGGGTCCACACCCTCTTGCGCTTGTCATCCCCAGTCTGTACCGTCGCAAGCTTGCAACGCCGGCCTGGGTCGGGTATCGTGCAGAGTCGACGCATCCTTGCCTGGGCAGGAGGACTAACTGCCCGCACCAGCGCCAGCACTGGTCCAGCCTCGACGCCAATGCGCACCTCTAAACTAGCGCGAGCTGCTTCTTACCGATTGACAACTCCGATCCCTGCCTGGGCACTACGAGGTAGTCTGCGCAGGCTTGCTGATCAGAGGCTGATTAGTAGAGGTGCCGGCTGGCTGGGCTGTAAAACAAAAAGTCGAACTAACCAGAGTCTCCGCAACGGCGCCAGCCATCAAAAGTCAGGCTACATCATCCTCCAGCTGACGGTCTAAATAATTCCTCCACCCCCATCGCTCCATGGCCCGGCAATCTGGTTGCTTCACCTGCTGTCGACGCCTCTCGGTTCTTGAGAAAGCGCATGGATGGACGCTTCGAGAATGCCCCCGAGAGGACGATGGAATTTCACAACGACGACGTTGACCACCAGGCTTCGTCTTCACTAGCCGACCAACAACTGCCCCAGCATATCCCCGTGGAGACGGGCAGCACCAGACGGCGACGGGACTCGTCTTTATCGAACTGGACGCGGAAACGGCATCGCGCAAACCTCCAAACTCACCTACATATCGAGAAGTTGGCCTACAGTCTGGGGCGGCAGACTCTCGAAACCTACTCATCGGGCCCACCTGTCCAATCGCTCGTGCCGTTATCAACACTCATCCTCCAAGATGGCGACCTCAGTGGCGTAGCCAGCCGTTCAACATCCATTATCGACAGTCGCCAAGGCACCCTAACACAACCATCAGTCGCAACCGACTGGGCATGCCACCCGAATACTCACTTGGCAGTCGTATCAGATCATGTAGTTCCTAGCCTAGGACAGACACCTTCATGTCAACCTGGATCACACAATGGATCAGTTTCCCAGCCCTCAAGCGCCCAAATACTCAACCCGGTCATGGAAGTAGACGAGTCTCCCATCGAAGTAGATGACAATCTCGTGGACCCGGATGAAGGCTATTTTGACAAGGCCCAGAAGGAAATCGATGAGGCACTCTCTGTATTATCCAGCCACCGAAAAAGCGGGCGACTTCCTTACCGATCTTCCCAAGAGGCGGCCTTGAACTGTCCCCATGCTATCCGCAACATTCCGCGCATGCGGAGGCGGAAACACAAGGTTGACAAGCGACAACATCGAGCTCTGTCCGAATCTTCACACACGGCCAGACAAGCAAGAACGAGCGATGCTGCAGGGCCATCCACCGTAGCTATGTCTTCCGACACACGAGATATCCTCATGAGGATCGGCAGAGATCATCGCGCGTCTAGACTGAGCGCGGGAGAAGAACACCCAGGAGTATGACGACTTATTGATTTTTCATGAATAGGAGACGAAGTCAAAGATGGAGCGAAATTATTTCCGGCGAAAAAGGCGTTGCAACACAATTGAGGTTAGACGTGGGGACAGTCGCCAGCAGAGTTCATTTCAACAGCCCTTGGCTGTACTTGGAGGGAATCTAAGGTATGCAAGTACCCGTGTGTGCTCCGCCGAGTGAGCGTTCATGCTGGACTTGAACACATCCACCAGGGGTCCATATTGAGACATTAAAGAAGAACGTGGTTTATCGGCGTCGAGGATTTTGCTATTGGGAATAATTGCGAGTTACATAGCCGGTGTTTGGATATAGGCGTTTATCTTCGGGCTTGCGATTTTGGGAGGAGATACCTACATACCACGGAGTTGTTTGAGTTAACTGTACTAGTAATATACGGTGGCAGCTTGCCACTTTCACCATCATCAGGCCGTTCCCTAGTGAAGCTTTATTTCCAAGGCTTTGGATGGTCTACTAATGGCTACCAAGTAGACATGGAGGCCTACCTATGTCCTCATCTCTGGGAGACACCACTGCCTTCCTACCGAGATACCTACCTAACCTTACCTGAGATGGGTAGGCAAACGTGCCGGAGATATAGAAGCCGTGGCAAATCACGCTAGGCACATGTCTATCAACCTGTGAACCTGCCTAGGTGGGTGCTAGCATCTAACCTTCTTCACCCGCTTCTCAGGATAGACAGCAAACAGGCCCGATTTTGGAGGAGCTGTCACAGCAGGATTGCTTGTTAGAGTTCGGCCGAATTGCGGAGAAGGAACGAACTCTAAGAGGCTCTTTCCTTCCCTCTGATACGCGGTGGCCGTCTCAAACCTTAATCTCGGGATGGTTAGCCCAGGACTTGCCATAAGGCGTGCTGTGGCCTGCGGCCGAGGTAGAGCACTACCTCACTGCATGTGCCGCCTGCCGAAAGCCGCCGTGCACTGACACTCGGAGGCAGGTAGAGGACTGGACCCTTCCCATGGACCTGCCCGATCTCATGCAAGGGCTCGGGCTAGAGGGTTCGAGAGCTCGGATTACCGCTGGTCTGTCTCTAGCCGCCAACGTCTGTTCTGCAAGCTGCCCGCAATGGCCAAAACGGCGGGCAGAATCGAACCTACAGGAGGTGCCTATTGGTTCACCCTGACCGCGACGGCCCGCCGAAAGGGAGACGTCGGCGTATCTGTCAAATGCCCGGCCGCTACCTGCTGCATGCACATGGATGTGTAGCACGAGGGATGGGCATGTAGACGGTATTCGTCTAGACCAGTCCGGACTTGGAGCGAGCAGGCCAAAGACGAGGGAAGCCAAGCCAAGGCAAGGCTTCATTCAGTGTTTCGCCACGGCCCAACCCAACTCGACTGAATTCATTCGCTCACCAAGACGAGGAGGGAGGCTGCAAATCCCATCCGTGCATGTCCCCATCCGTGCAGAGAGCTCTTCAGATCCCTTCCCTTTGCACCCTTTGCGTTCGTCCGCTGCGGATAATGATCGCTCCCTTGGTTTGCACTATGGATCGATTGGTCAAGGCTCTGCGCTGTGGCAAGACGAGGCTGGCCAATCCCGCATGTGCATCCCGGCTCGCGGATGTGGCGGCCATGGGACAGCTATACCAGCTCTCGGGTTGATTAAAGTCAGGTCAATCTAACTTTTCTCTAGATGTGAGCGGGTCAGGTATGTGCATCATAACCAATGCCTGGTTGTCCGGGTTGCTTGCCCGACTGGAATGCCGCCGCTGCTTCTATCAGCTTCAGACATTCCACAAAACCCCCGGCCAAGACCATCAACACCACCCGTTGCTATCGCTACCTGCATTTCCTGAAATCTTCAATTCGGCGTGAATTGTTTTGGTTTCATGTTGATGCCTGCCTGCTTTCGAAAACCCTCATTACCCGCCGGACGCTTGCTTGCTCCTCAGCTGGGCTCGTTTCCCTTGTTCTCCAAAGGCAATGCTCTCCTCATGACATTGACGAAACCTTCTCTGCTCAGAGAATAATCTCGCTCCGTCCTACCTCATCTGGCTTGAGCTATCCAAGGCAGTTGCAACATCAGCAGCCCACTGAATGACTTCTGAGGGTTGGAAGTCGCCCGACATGGGCTCTTGGGGTATGCCATATCGCATCGAGGGGGGGGAGCGCGACCCGAATTACTTCTCATGGCAGGACAACGAAGGCGGTGCCACGGATGACACCAATGATCTCTTTGGGCAATATGTCGACCTGGACAACCTGGATATGCAAGGCCTCTCATTCATTACGACATCTACGGAGCCCTTCGCCTTGACCTCAACCGTCCCAAGGAACACTGCCGACCCGTTTCTGATAGATCAACCTCCTGAGAGCATAGACTCATCGACAACAGATGAACTGGATTTTCTCTCCAATAGCTCTCAGGTAGGACCTCCTGCCTCCGTAACTCACAATGTCAAGTCATGTAACTTTGCTGCGGCTGAGAGTGAGTTGCCAGAGGAAACTGGTCATGAACTTGTCGGTCGCAACTCCATGTCTGACACGGAGCTACCTCGACTCGAAGGTATATCTCTCAGTTCCCCGACGAAGAAGAATGCGAATACGTCGGCCTCTCAGCCGCCGTCGCCAACACCTCCCAGGACCGTCAATCGGAAACCAAATAGTTTTATCCAAGCCGTCGGCGCAACTCTGCGTAAAGCCACGAACCGAGTCAAGAACAGGAAGCCACTGCCAGACAGGCCAGGATCTCCTACGTTCGAAATGCAAATCAATGCCCCCAGGACTAGACCTCGCCAAGTTGACCTCGCAGTCAAAACAGCGTCAATCTCACCCCCCATCCGCCAAGGAGTTCCAGACAGCTTCATCCATGGGTCTTGTGATGATCCGTTCGCTGACATGCCCTCCATGCCACCACAGTCGAATATGCGATACTTATACCAAGAGAGTGTCAGTCCGACAACAATCGACCCCCCATCCATTGACGGGGACGGCACACCATACCACTTAAGCAATGCTAGGTCGGCCGACTCCTCTTGGGATCATCATCAACAGCATCACTCTGGATCAATTTCATCCATAAATGGGCAACAGTGGAATGATGGCGGGATGATGGTAGACCCTTCCACGAATTGGTGGGATTACACCGGTCTTCAGGATTCCCAAAACATGCATCAAAAGAATGCCGAAATGAACTTTGCTGTGCACGCTCAGCAAGCTGAGCTCCCATATAAGTACGCATCTCTTCCTGACACAAGCACTTCGGGTCTCATGATACAAATGCCACAAACACGCCCACCCCAAAACTCGGTTGGCGAACTCAAAATGACTGCGCAAACACACCTGCCCCCTCCGCCCCCAATTCCTGCTACCGAACGCCCGCACCGGCCACCTCGCGCACCATCATCTGGTGCCCGGTACGCTTCATCATCTAGGGCGCGGCATCCCTCCTGCTCACCCGTCCGCAAGGCTCGAGCTCCTTCAGCCTCACCAACTCGCACGCCTGTTCACCCGCAGAGCCGGCATAGCTCCGGGGGCTCTATTTCCTCTGTGCGGAGTGCATCCTGCCGCTTGCCAGCCAGTATGCCTGGAACTCCATGCAGCGTGCGCAAGAGACGCTCTCGAGAACCCAGCGGAAGTGGGGAGATTGGATTTGTCAACTTCACGCCAAATGATGGAACAGTGCTGATGACAGGTGTTGCACCCAGTGGGAGCTCCAAGACAAAAGCAAGGCGTGAGAAAGAAGCCCTAGAACGCCGGAGGAAACTGAGCGAAGCTGCTATCAAGGCCGTTGCCGCAGCCGGAGGGGATGTAGAGCGACTCATGCAACAGGGTTTTGCAATTTAATCAAGCTGACGGAGAAAGGCCTCTTTGGAGAATGCCCTTCTTCTTCTTTTCTATTCCTATGCCCAGCTTCTCAGAGAAGCCATTACGATCACCGCAGCCCGGCCTGCCTATTTCCTTGCCTCATTACCTGTATCCCCCCATGTACGAATTACTCCCAGTTCTCCATTGACGGATTCTATTTCCTTTGTCTATTTTCCCTCCTCTTCTTCTTCAACCTCCATCTAGCAGCTAATGTTTCAACTCCCTTTGTACTTCATCGATACTACTGCGTCTAGACGAGCTTAAGCCATAATATCCAAGACAACGGCGACGGTGAACCGTTTTTGGACAAATCTTTTTGTACTGCCTGCTTTCATTCTCGAAGATATAAAATATGATTTAATCTATAAAACGCATGCCTGTCCGTTCACCTTGCTGTCTGCGTTCGTTCCTTCAGCCGATGTATTATATTAGTAGTAACGACGGTGTGGATCACCCACAGACTTTTGATAGCCTAGATAGACGAGCGTACAATATAATACACACACATCTTGTAAAATTATCACATTCAATCTTTCAGAGAAGGATGCAGTAGTTCTTTTACCATTTTTATTTATATTTTTCCCATGTACCTGTCCTATCCAGAATAGGCCACTAGGAAATAGTAGCAGCCTATTGAAACCAGCCCTAGATACAGTAGGTAGGCAACGGAATCGCGGTTACAAGGTGGCAAGACGGGTCCACGCAAGCCAGGAAGGAAAAGAACAAGAGCAAGGAAAATGCATCCAAAAGAAAGATAAAATCCACCGATACTGTATCGTTCATCGCGATATTCTCTCCGCCACCGTTTATGGTTTTAAATCAAGGAGAAAAAATGTGTGTTGTTGAGGATGAAATCCTGTGTCCGGTACTCTATACTAAACAGCTTCCGGAGCCGACTAAACCAGTCAGAGCCTTTATTTGCTTCACCAACGCCAGTGTCATCGCAGACGCCACTCCCATGCTTGAAAACCCTGCCCGGAAAAAAACATATCGGGATCAGGGGTAATAGACGAAAAACAAGATTGGGAAATTCAAGAAAGGTCCCAGGCAACTCGGTCCGGGAATGTGGCGACTGGCACCAAGCCAACGGAGCCCATCTCTGGGCTTTGTATAGATCGCCAGTTTCCGACGAGACCAGCTGTAGTTGTCAAAGCCGTCGACATTCAACTCAAGTGAGTCGACCTCATTTCTGAGGCAGATGCCTACAGCGAGTTGCGTGGGCTACGGGTAGTCGCCAAAAATTGATACAAAACATTTGGTCATTTCTCAAGTAGAGACACTACCTAGTGGTCGTAGCCAGCTCCACGTTGCCAGGGGCTATTAAGATGGTTAGCTTCATAGTTGTGAATTAAGGAACGCGGAACGTATTACCTTGCATTGTTTTGTTGCCTGAATGAGGCTGGGCTAGCAGTGTGCTGTGTTCTAGCTTGACCCAATGATGTTGCCGAAGCATTATAGGGGCTTGGTGATGCGGATCGGAAAGGACTCTCCGGTCGTGCCGCGGGGAACAAAGGCATTGAAGGGTTCACAGGAGACCTGGCGCCTGCACGCATGTCCATCTGGGACTGGTCTGTTCGTCGACGCATGCTTGTGGCAGACAGAGACTCGTCGTCATCCATGTCCATGTGCTTGTAGCCGCTCTTATCACCACGTGCTGTCGCAGCAAGAGCGTCCAGCTCGGTGGTCGTGTTCAACTGTGACTGAGACTTCATAAACGATGCACGGTCATCAGCCATGAACTGGTAACGAGCATCGGGGTTCTTGCGGAAGAAGATGAGAGTGGTGGAGATAATGATCATCAGAAGCAGCACGAGAGCAAAGACGGCATTCAGAACGAAGAAAATGACACCGACAATACCAACCACGAGGGCAGGAGCGCCAAAAACATTGGTGTAGAGAAGAAGGAAGATAGAGTTGACAAAGTTAACAGCACAGATGGAAATATTGAACGAATTAGTGCTCTTGTCCATCCAGGGGCGGAGAACAGAGGCTGCAATCAAAGCACCAGCTTCAATGATGATGAAGCCAATCGCCTGGGCAATACCACTGCCCTGGGCGAGAGACACGAACAAGGCCTTGATGAAAGTGTAGACCAGGGTTGGGACAACGAAGTAGTAGGCAGAGGCGCGGTACTGGATGTACAGGAAACCCCACTTGTTCAAAGCCTGGGGGTCCGAGAAAAGAATATAGGCCGGGTTGCGATGCATGGCAACAGACCGTCGAGCAATGCTAATGACCTTGAAGGAGCCCCAGCCCAGGGTTCCGATCATACCGAGCAGGAAGAAGACGGCAAGGACCACCAGGGCGGGTGAATCTTTCTGGGTGAACTCCCAGGTGCAGAGAATGCACATCTGGGGGAATCCAATCAGAGTGGCACGGAACAGGATACCCTTGAGAATGGTGAGCCAGCCGTTGCGGAACTCGGCAAACTTCTCACCAGAAATCCACTTCTTCTTAGCACACAGTTCGAGGATACCCTTGAACGCGGCAACAATTAGAATGGTGAAGACAACGAAAAGGATGAAGAAAACCAGTCCAGTCAAGAACAGGTTGGTGGATTCGATCTTCGATCTATAGGCCACACGCTGGATTCCGTATACAAGATAACCGCCAGATTCTGTCACAATGTTTGCGCGCTTGGCCAAGCTTGAGTACGTTGGCAGACTCCTAGGCACCATGGCAGCCGCACGATTGAACAAGCTGACAGTTTCACTGCCGGATCCAATGCTCCTGAGGGCGAGAGCTCTCTTCTCGACCTGGACGGACTTGGTGCCAAGGTTATCGAAAAGAGTTCCAGGGTCACCACCAGTTGCACGCTGGTACCAAGTGAAGATGGTCTGCATGAAGCCCACGTTGATAATACCCATGGACCACTGGAAGTTCTGGGTCCATGACTGAACAATGGGGGGGAGGGGAACGGCCGTCAGACCTACGATGGCCTGGCCTTGGAAGTAGGCGAAAAGAGACAGAGAGTTGGCGGCAATGTGGGAAGCAGTGTTGGAGTGGCCGAGACCCGACACAATAGCGGAGGAAATCAATCCAAGACCAGCGATGATGGCGGTCGCCCACTTGACCCCCAACAAGTCAACAGTCTTTCCGTTGGAGAAGTTGGCTTCGACGCATGCAATACTCTCTGCCTGACCAGTAAGATTAATGTAAACACGAACCTTGGCGTCGATGTCGGGAACCGTGTATGCGATGCCGGGAATCTGGCTGGCGGCATCACCGGGGACGCTGAGCGCGTGCTCAAAGTCCAAGGGACCCGTGTTCATAGGGCAAAGACCACCAAGGTCTGCCGCGAGTTTGCAGGGGTCGATCGTTTCCGTGAGGAATTCGTAACCATAGGCTGTGATCGAGATGTCGAAGGTAACCTTTCCCTGGACTGAGGAAGTGGCCGTCAGGGCGAAGTTGGCCTTGTTGTCTCCGGGTGTGTACTTGACGTCGAACAGAGACGCGGAAAACATGGAGTCGTCCTGGCAAATGTTCAGAGATTGAGACATCAAGGCTCGCTCTGCGGCAGCGACCGTAAACATGGTCGCTGCCGCGGAGAAGAGGGTTTGGCCAATTGACCAACGCATTCTGACGGGCCGCGTAGCTGTCGTTGACGATTCAGGAGGGCGAAGTGTGATCTGAATCTTATTCTTTCAAGGGAACTCGGTTGGATCAGTTGACTCTATTGTTTGGCTGGTATTCGTTCATGCGACGGATCTATGTTGATGTCGATGGCGGATGCGTTGGGAAGTTGATCGGGGAAGACCTGGGTCGAGAGCGACGGCTGGAATGTGAGAAGCGAGCGAGAGGAATACGCCCGAAGGCAAAACGAGGAGTGTTGGATGGCGCGGCAGTTCGGTGGTCGGCAGGTCGACTGAAACGAAAGGCAGAAGAAGTTGTGCCGGCAAAGCTGAAGGAGAAGCTGGACAAAGCGAGTGGTGAGAGGTCGAGGGAAAAAAGACGCTCCCGTGATTAGCCCGATGTGAATGGGTGGTGGCAGGTTGTGATCACATCAAAAGGGCAGTGGATGGATGGAAACGCAAGGTTTGGGTGGAGGAACTGGCGTTGTGATGAAATTGAATGCAGCCAAGCGGAAGCAAAGGGGTAAAGTCAGTCGACCAACCTGCTGTGGCCCTGACCCGGCGGCAATGATTGGGGGGTGTGAGAGACCAGGAATGCACCTTCCCAGCCTGTTTGGGCACATGGCAGCTGGTCACCTACGTTAGTGTCTTGGTACCAGCTCGTTGCGCGCATGATCCGGGTGGCAGTGCAATACCCAAGCTTTGCGCCAAGAATAAGGGGGGGGCATGTACCATTGGCAGCCCCGGCACGGCGATCTCGTATCTGGCCTAACAAAGCTACTTGCAGCCCCCCTTCTGCTACCCCTGACTGCCAGGTCCTGCGCTCTCTGGCTTGGACCAGGAATTTATTGCTCTACCTCTGCTAATTCGCCTGGCTAACCCATTCAGTCAGCGCAGACTAATGCTTGACGAACAGGCCCGCTCAAAGCCCAGTTGAGTCGTTTGCGGTCGCCAAATCAATCAGTCTAGGCGGTGGTGGTCGGGCAGCCTGTCCAGAAGGGCACGGCTCCAGGTACCCGCGTATTTGATGATCCAGGTGCTGGAAAGCGAGCAGCCTTTCGTGTCCGGCTTCCCTCACGAGCTCGGCTATCGTGATCGAGTCACCGCCCTCGTGTTTCCCTTTCTTGGCCGTCGCTAGAGGGCAACCAAAGACAACAGAGGGAAACCGCCCCAGGCCAATAAACACCTCGCACCTCCAATACGCAGATGCACGTTGACATGCAAGAATCCAGTCCATCCGAGTCGATGAGCCCTATACATATTTATTGGCAATTAGTCGCCCGAGCTAGCAGTCTAGCCAGAGCTCTCGTCGTCGTCCACCATAGATTACGTAGTGCACGCGCGCGCAGCATGTGTGCCGCCCAGAAACTGATAATGTGCACCAAGACTGCCGCGCAGGGAGTCAATGACCATCCACCTTGTCGTATGTACGCCACATGCTGTTTGATTGTTTGTTCTGGGCATCTTCCAAGACCATGTGCCAACCCCCCCTCCCTCTCCCGTCCCACTCTTTGCTTCCATATCCACGCCGTTGCCCCCCTGGCCCAAACACGAAGATCAATCACCGCAACAGCCCCTCCGGTCCTAAAAATACGGAAAAGCGGTCCCAGTCTCGTGCATCTGGCGAAAATTAGATGGATCGTGGGAATCACAACGGGCGGAAACGTCTGACAGCAGAAAAAGACCCGGTGGGTGCTCCCAATACCCCGTGGCCGGGGGGAAATAATGGGATGAATGCGATGGCGGTGGATACGGGCCAAAACCTCTGACATGGGCGCTACACCATGGCCTCTCCATGGTTAATGCAGGTCTTCATACCCACCGTCAGGCGGGTAAGTCCAGCCGCTGTCACTCATAATACAAGCCAAGTGAACGTGCAGTGCGGTGGTGGTTTTGCACTGCCTCCATCCCTTCATTCTACAGTCCGAGCAGGGTTCCACCCCGAACAAAGCGAATGATATTACTACATGAAGCAATCCTACCGGCTGGGCCAGCTTCCTTGTTCAAGCAATCCTTTGTCAATCAAAAGACCAAAGGTCGCTCGTCGACGCGCGCCTCCAAAACTCACAATCTCAGAATAGTCGGCTCATCTTTCTATCTAGAATCGTAGAGACACATCACCGTCGACGGTGTGGAGTTTTGCATGCTAAACGCGCTGTGCGATCCACTAGCACAAATTCCCATCCCACCCGCCAATCCCAGCATCCCTACTTCGAAAGCTCGCTGCCAATCAATGCACAGCTGCGTCTCATTAAACAATGCCTCTGAATTCCTAAGCCTACGTCAACTGGCATGTCTTCTGAGACATAATTGAGTTCATCCGCATATGCAGTCACGTACACCGTAAATCCCACCAAATCGCTCAAGATTTTACCTCCTTGTTTCTATTCCATACCCAGGTTGAGGTAAGACCTAACCTAACCTTACCCATGTAAACTAACCCGTACGTAGATGTGCCTGCTCCGATCATCTTAACTGCAAACAAATTAAGCAGATTTTGATCTAGATACTATTCTAATGCAATGCTTAATGTATCGTCTAGGAGGCCTTGATAAGAATCCTAAATGCAGCCCTAAATGCAATCCCAAAGCCTCATGCAATATCCCGAATGCCGTCATTAGATTGAGAGAACCCCAAGACCAGTCCCATTAAGCTCACAGGACATCCCATTGTGTATTCCACGGCTCGTTTCTCTTAGATACGTCCACTCCGTGCTTGTAATTCGTCAGCAGCTCCTCCTGGTCCACGCCGCAGTGAGTCTGCCCATCTCTCCCGATGAACCAGCCCAGCCCGTACGTCACATCCATATCGAGTTTCTTGGCCATTTGCGCGGCGCTAAACTTCGACGTGCCCACGAACGTGTACAGCATCTTGCTCTGGTGGATGAAGGCCAGTGTGGACGCGATGGTGTTGGGCTGTCGGGGGAGGAAGGGGTGCCGCCTGCGCACGAAAACGATCGTCGCAACAATGGTCATGTAGAGCAGGGTGAACATTGTCAGGCCGAACAGGAAGTAGAACGAGCGGATGGTTTCTAGACCACTCTTGACAGCCTCATCCCGGCCCGAGGTCATCATTCCGTTCAAGAAGCCCCGGCCATCGACCGTAGCTAGACCAGTCACCAGGACTGTCAAGAACTCGGCCATGACAGAGCCACTTCCAACGAAGAACATGAGCAAATGGCCATTGAACAATGCCCTCAACGGAAGGTATCCGAAGGGTAAGGCGGTGTAATCCAAAGTCAGGGTTTTAGGGTGCGCGTGTCGTCGTGAGAGTATATAATAGGGTTCCATCATGCGAACTGCCGTGTCCATGGCATTCCATGATAACTTGAGACAGACGGCCAATGCAGTGACAGCCCAGGGGGCTTTATCCGTAACTATATCAGCAGCCGAGAACAAGAAGGCAGGAACAAATCCCATGAAGAGCAACAGGCCGATGATGAAGGGGACACCCCCTGCCGGGCGAAGACTCAGAGGGTGGGGGTTGTTGGAGAGATGAATATCTCGATATTTGTCTCTCTCCTGGCTGCTCGGAGGATTATCAACATCCGGGGCAAGGGACGAGTTGCGAAGAATATATCTGTGATGTTTGAGTTTATGGTGTATATCCTTCGGGGTTGCAGTGTCCATGTCCTTGAAATCCATCAAAATATGGCTCACGACAGCCATGGAAGCCAAGCCCGCGATTCCCTGGACATCCGCGCTCAAGCCCGAACGTCGTCTTTGGAGTATGTAGAAGAGTATACATGCACCGACTGCACAGACGCCGAGAACTGATGTGAGAAGTCGCGACCAAACCGGCGAAAAGGCAATTATCTTCTCTGTTTCAGGGTGAGCTATTCGTTGACGCCGGTCAGGAGTCAGGACCAGCGACGCTGAAGCAAAGGTCGGCACCAGCGAGGCAGCAAACGTAGCCGACACCGACGACAACGCGACTGCGTAGTGACCAACCTTGAGAGCACGGAATGGGCGCCAGAAGCTGAAACTCGTCACGTAGTCGACATTGATAGACTCGGCTGCCAATGCGCCCTCTGGCTTGGACATTTGATAGTACGCCTCCAACCGCCTCACTTCAAAGTCTGTAAATTGCCACAGAACGCCATAAATGACTGCTATCAGCGTGGGCCCAAACTTAATCATAATATAGAGCCAGCCGGGGACCTTTTCAGGGGAGTCAAAGCTGACTAGGGGGTTGGACTTGTTGTACTTCTGGTAGAGCACCTCTTGCATAGCCGCAAGGCCTACCGAGAGGAACACCAGCATCATCAACCACGGCCAGCACATCGGAAATGGTTTCCAATTCGGCTGTGGATAGAAGACCCGAGTTTGTCCATTTTGATCATAGAGAGTAGATCGGCGGGAGTCAACAGGTGCTATCCCTATCGGTCCCTCCATGGAGCTCAAGTCGGCTCCGGCCACAGCTCCGTCTCCGTCTCCATCTCCAGCGCCGTCTTCCTCCATGATTACTTGTATGACTTCCCCCCGCTTATTGGCACGGTCCTGGCCCGCGGCCCTAATGCTTTCGGACCGGCCAAGCCGCCTGCTCGTCATTCGGCTCATCCTACTGGAGAACGACTGGGAGAAGCTGCGCTGGGCCGTAGTTGTCTGTGGCAGGAGCTCTGTGTCCCGGACAACGACCTCGGGCTTGAAGCCCTCGCCAATCCCGCCCGTGAGCTGCCCCTGGGCCTCCTGCTTCTGGAGCATCTGGACGAATTCCTCGTCGTGGGGGCTCATCGGACCTAGCGACGCCGTAAGGTCGAAAACAGGCCCCTCCTCGTGGATGGTGTCGTGCTGCACGGTTGCAGACCCCATAGGTGCTGCCGAACCCAGAAGCGACAGGTCATACTCCTCCTCGTCAATGGTCTGCGGTGCTGAGCGCTTCAAGTGCGAGACCAGGCTCGTTTTTCGCCCGAGCTTCTTAGAAGCGGACCGAAAGGGCTGTCCATTTGAATCCACGACGGGCGAATAGCCCGACCCATACTGGTTGGTCCAGGATCCCGTCCATGAGGGCGTCGGAGGGGTAGTGTGAGGGCTGTAGGAACTGCCATATGTTTCCGCGCTGGTGTATTGGCCTCTCCGGGAGTCCAGAGAGACCATCGACTCGCGGGGAATCAAGGTGTGAACGGGCGCATCGTAGGGATTCGAGTCGAAGTCGCTGAGGGCGGAAATGTTGGAGGCGCGATGCGTCAAGTGGTGGTTGGGGTCATCTCGCATGGGCTCCTTGCTCACGCTATTAAGGTACGCCATAGCCCAGAGGGGTCAGCATGGCGATCAGGCGACAGCGATTCGTCGTGCTCTGTGATCCAGCGGCAGGCAATGCCCGACCGACAAGACCCTGGGATTGCGAGAACAGCAGGTAATAGTGATCTGGGGGGATGCGAGCACCGGTAACGGGTGGTGGGGGCTTACGGCCAGCACTCAAGGTCCCAGGGACGGTTCGATTCGGCAGGGGCTTTCGAGATGGTTTGCGCCGAGATCAGGGCACGGTCAACAGCATAAAAATTGGGAAAGAAGAAGAGAAATCGTGTTCACGGAGCGGTTTACGGAGTGAGAAGACGTTTTACATATGAGCTGAAAGACAGGACTGCAGGAGACAGGCACGCACGAGAGCGCAGGAGAAGCGGCTGAAAGCGCCAAGGAGCTGAACTAGTGCCATCCTGTAGGCTGACTCCTGCCAAACGGTCGGTTTACGGGGGGCCCCGCGCCAGCATCCAGCAGCCATTAGCACTAGAAGCATCCCACTACCGCCATTGGGTAAGGGTGTGCATCCGGAATGCGTTGCTCTCGGGCCAGACGGATCTAGGCCTTGCACATTCACGATCGTGGTGAGGCAGAACCAGCAGGACAAAGCGCTCTGTTCACGGATTTTCCCAGGGCTGGGGCATCGAGGAGGCATTTCTTCAATGTGCTGAGGGGAAATCAGAACGCTAAACACATGTTGGACAATGGGGAACCACCCTGCTTCCTTCGCATCCATCCTACGGGCAAGCACTGCCTACCTGCATCGAACCAGGGGCCATAATTTCTACAGTGATGATCAATACCTTCCCACAGGATAGAACGGATTTTAGAGTAAGCTATGGGATCAGGCACCCGCTCAGCATCATCACACTTGGCACTCCTTACTTAATCCAGGTATTTCTAGACAATGCAGACCATAACAAGTAATTCCCAATACTACGAGACGGGCAGATAGCCCACAACGCAGCAAGCATCTCAGAGGCACAGGCTGAGCTGCATAGAACATGCGGCCTGGATTAGTAGTACTTCTCTGTGACCTTGGGTGGGTATGCTCTGTCGATAGGACAGGTCCTATCGACCTAGTGGCGGCCGCTGGTGCCCAACCTACCCTGTGGCGCTTCCACCACCAACACCTTCACCTATTTGTGGCCGGCATAACAAAATGTGATGCGGCATAGAAAGAGCTCGCAGTTACTGAATATATGCCTCGTGTTTGGAAGCAGAGTTTTTCAATGTAGGAGTCTCGGTCTTCTGATGCATCAACTGACCTTGCATTTAGCAGCATTTTCCCAGCATGACTTGATCTCAACGACAAGAGTCAGCTGCGGAAGGACGGTAGCAGAAAAAGGCTGGTCCTCCTCCTCGGTCAGCCCTACGGCCCGGCTGATCTAGCCATCCCTTCAAGCTTTGTACCTGGAAGTACCGGTATAGATTGCATTCTAGATCGCCCACCACACCAATACGAGCTGAACTTCAGATCAATAGATCGGCGCCGTCAAACCTCGCTACTACGGTCCGGCATAATCACAAATAGACGGTAAGAGCCTGAGCAAAGCTTGTTCTATTTTTGGTATTGCAACTGTCTAATTAGGAGTGCCCCCAAAGCCACAGCTTCAATGGGGGCGTGAGGAAATTTATCTTTCTTTTTATATCTAAACTCAAATTCAGGAAACCCAACGCCTCATAAGATGTCACCGAGTAAGTCTACCTCGGCCGTGTATGGGACAAGGAACCAACAATACATTCTAATGCCGACCAAAATTGCCACGTAATCGCTGAAAACAAGGACTGGAGCCAGTCAAGGGAATCGTTCATAATGCAAGCCGAGTGTCTGATCAACACGCTTTTGTAACCAGCTACCACTACCACCAGAGTATGTACGTGCATAGCAAAATAGGCGCGAGCGACACCCATGCGCCGGCAGCTCCGAGAACATGGGCAGCAGAAACCTGCCCGCAGCAGTTCCAGTCATATGTGACGTTGTTCATCTGGGCTGCAACCTCAAAAACCGAACCGGGAGGGTCGCCGTAATTGTAGTAGTCGACATTAAGCACATTTGGTGCGCGGCCCCAGTCTGACCGGCAGTTGTTGGCAGCCATGCCCAGGCTCCCGTTACCCGTTGCATTGTTGGTCTGGTTGAGTAGAGAAACTGCAGGGACAAGCAGCTGGGTAGAGAAGACATTGAACTCGGCATTCAGGTTGTGGTTCATGATGTACAAGCGATTCCGAGCGGACTCGTCGCTTAAATCCGGCGGTCGCTGTACAGTGCATGGGAAGTTTGCGTCGGTTGGGTCGAATGGTGTCTCCCACACCTGCGAGAACTCATCTAAAAGCCATGGATATTCGTTTTGATCGGCGCTGTAGTCTAGGAACATTATGACACGCTTGCCCCTAACAATAAGGTACTCGAGGGTCGGCCAGTCGTCGTAGGACATGGGCAGGTATGGCGCCTGGTAGGCGTATGTCGTGATGCCAGATTGCTCAATATACGGAGCATACAGGGAAGGATGAGAGTAGTTGCCATTGCCGAGCAGGATGGTCACGACATCGTACGGATGGGCAGCCACCCACTCCGTAACCTCAGACAACCATTCGTTGATAGGCCCAGCATCAAGAAGGTCGCATGATGTGTGGCAGAAATGAGGCACAGAGCCGTTTACAGGAAACTGGATCTGGGCCTGCAGAAAGCGAACACCATCGTCGAGCTGGGTCTTGACAGGCAGTTCTTGGTTGGAGCCAGTGTTGCCAGGCCGAACAAACGGAGAGTTGTGGCACCCCACGGCCGTGATGTTGCTGTACTTGCGTGTGCAAAGCTCGACATAGCCGTTGCATGGCTGAGTGTTTGTTGGCGCTGCAGAGCTGCTCGTTGATGAGACTGTTGCATTTCCAGCTGTCGTCGTCGATATGGATGACTCTGTTGATGACAGGCGCTCTGTATAGGTTCCAGTGACGGAAGCACTCGTCGCGCCTGTCAGAGTAATCTTGGAATTGTACGTAGCATAAATGCTGCTTGGAGGCCCAGTCGCTACACTGGTTTTGGTTCGGGTTCCAGTGAAGAAGCTCAGGTCCGAGGTGTCGGAGAAACTGACAGACTGCGCTGCAGCATGGCCCCAAAACAAAGGCAGTAGCAACACTGCCGAGTGGCCTAGAGATACCGCCTGGTTGAGGCGCATCTTGGATGGTTTTGGTGAGCCCCGGGCTCGGCAAAGAGGATGAAGTGGGGAGTTTGCAAATATGTGTAAGGTTTGTGTGTGTAGGTGAGGTTCCTCAACACCGCCCCATTACAAGCAAGGTAAGGCTGAGAAGATATGGGATGAAGGAAACCCGGGGGATCACCGATGGGAGAGCAATGCCAGTTGGATTTTTGTGTCCAAACTGAACTGAATTGCAGAAAGTTTCCCGGAATGATCTTGCAATGCGAAATTCGGATGGCCTTGAGCTCAAGTGGAACCTATGACGGCAGAGGTCACGCTAAGCGGCATGTAGTGTGAAAAAGTAATACTTTAAAGAAAGGACGAGACACGCGTCTTGCCTTAGATGATGGTTACTATGGGACTCACACACAAATTACGCAGGGGAGCCAAGACTCACCACGCCCCTAGACCTGTCGATGGGCTGTGCTCTGTTATTGTTTTGCAATCTGGGCCTTGGCTTGGCTTGATTTGTGTGCAGATGCCCGTTGATGAATTGTCAGCGGCAAAGGTGGACCAGGACATCCATCCCTTGACAATGTTTGCCTAAACGCTGTAATAGTGTCCGAGTGTCTTCCGGATCCCCGTCAGGTTCTGGGCCGCCTGCCGTGTCTCACTGTCTTGTTCATTAGACCGAATTAACATTGTATGAGGATGGGCGGTTTGGCGGCGACTATCCGTGGGTATCAATGGATACCAATGCTGATGATCCGGTAGATCAGCAGGCATCGGTGAAAACTCAGCTAGAGCCCCCCTTGTGTGCGAGATGATGAACGGCATGGCATGTCTTGGGTTCTGAGTCGTGCCATTTGTTGCCGAGATACCGTTGACGCGTACACTCACAGGGCGGAGCCATCGTGGATACGAGCTTGGGCCCGTCTCCTGAGCCAAGCCCTTGTGGTGGATGGAAACTTTATTCAGACAGTCGGACTGGCTCGAAAAGAGAAGGGTCTTCTCTGGTGGACAGTAATTCTGGTTCGACGAACTTGTGCTTGAGTGAACACATGCACAGAAAAAGATAGCACTTACTGGAGCCACCAGAACATGTCGCTCCAGAAGGCGCCTGTCTGTCCGTGAGCCTGCTCTACAGGTACTATGTGTTAGGTAGGACCAACTTGGAAGGGACAGGGTGGCACAGGGTTGATCTACTGGTCCTCCGATTAATGCCAGATGGAGGGGTGGCTTGCCGCTTGCCAGGCCCTAGCTCGCTGATGCCAGGGGGGAGCGGATGGGATGGGACGGCGGGTTTCATGCAGCACGGCCTCTGCACCTACAGTCTAGGCCAGGTCGGGACTCAGACAGTGGTCTCGGCACCACTAACAGATACGCCAGCCAGTCAGAACGCCCCCTGCCGCATTGCCGTGCCGACAAATGACGTCGATCAGAATTGTTCTTGGGCCGCTGTCCACTGTTCCACCAGGCACGTAGATTTTTAGCAGGTGATGTACCTGGAAGCGTTCCGTGATTGATGCAACAGGTCCACCATCCAAGCTTTCAGTAGCAGCATTCTTGTTTGCCTGGCCTGCCCACTTTGCCTCAGATAACTCTCTGTTCGCCATAATTGCTCCTCCGCCGTGGTTGCTTGTCACCTCTGGGTGCCATGGTTTGATATTGCCCGTCTCTGGAATCTGTCGTGTCCAGTCTCGCCCAATTCACATCCCATCATTCCCCAAGAAGCGCTGCTTGCCAGCAACCAGCTCGCACAATGCGCGGGCCTCCAGCTCGACGCAACACTACTATTGTGGCTGCTCTTTTCTACTTCATCACCATTCCATTCCTGATTATGGTCTCTCTTGGAAACACCCACATCAACCCTATTCTCAACGACATTTATTTTTTCAAGCTCGATGTCTCCCAGATCATCCCCATCTCAGTTGAAAACTCCAACCTACTCAACTCGGTGGCTCGGAGCCTGGGACTTCATGACTTCTATCAGGTTGGCCTGTGGAATTTCTGTGAAGGCTACAATAATGAGTAAGCTACCCATCCCATTCCCCAATGTGGATTTGTTGCCCAACAGCAGCTTTTGAATCATCGTGAAGCTGATTGCGTTTGTCTAGGGGCGTAACCTACTGCTCTTCGCCGGTGCCCTTGTACTGGTTCAACCCGGTAGAAGTTCTTGTCAGCGAGCTTCTTGCAGGCGCCAAGATTGCTCTCCCCTCTGCCGTAACCACCATCCTTACGCTTCTCAGGCTGGGATCACAGGTCATGATGGCATTCTTCACAGCTGGCACGGCTCTGAATTTTGTCTTGATCTTCTTGACCCCCCTGGCGCTGTGCACACGCTGGTTCTCCCTGGCCCTCTCCATCCTAGGCGTAATCTCGTCTATCCTTGTGGGCGTGGCTGCCATCATCGCCACCGTCATCACTGTTGCCGCCAAGGTGGCCCTCACAGCTCAGGATGAGCTCAACATCAGTGCTGATATCGGCATCAAGATGTTCGTCTTCATGTGGATCGCCGCCATCTTGAGCGTCCTTGCCCTCTTCCTTCATCTGGCCATGGGCTGCTGTTGCAAACCCCAGAAGCGGGGTGCTGCATACGAGGATGGGAGGCCCGAGGTTAGGGAAAAGTCAAGCAAGGTGAATTTGCCCAGCTTTGTTCGTCGGAGGCGAGGAGCTGCAGCCGAAGGTGATACGTCACCTTCGAACTAAATCAAAGAGCAAATTCCCATGTACAATCACACTCCCCACCCATCATATGGGTTCCTCAAGCTAGGGGAAGGGTCCAAAGACTAAAGACCGTCATAATCACAAGAAAAAGCAACGACATATAGACATGTATTGTGGCTCCTGTCCTACGCATGCTTGCTATTTAGGGCATAGATTTATAAGAGAGCCTTCAAATCACCGTTATACTATAGCTTTAGATTTAAAATGCAATTCATTTTCTCTAATAAACGACCAAGTCTAAAAACAGGCCCCTTTCATGCCTGCCGATAACAAATACTGAGTTGTGGCCGCAGTGCCAACATATACCAACGCCCTGATCAAATCACATTCTGTATTCCCCCAAATTCCCAACCCGATTTTGTTACACACCGAATTCGTATAATTATCTCAAAATTCATGCTTATCAAGCATGTCCATATAATTTTCGCTTTCATTCCTTCATTCATTCATCGTCTCTCATTCACCCAATCCCCGCACCTGTCAAGGACGAAGCAGTGATTCATCGCCATCACCAGCGTCTTCAGCTCCGAGTTCTTGATACCGTCCACCGTTAACCAGTTAGGATAACGATCCGGCGTGAGCGCATTGAACAAATCTCTGAATGCCGCATCCCAAGCCTCATTGGCCATGGAGATGAGAGAGACACCGAGTGGCCAGATCGCATCGATCCCCACGAGCGTCTGGAGCCACTGCATGTCATAGACCTCCGAGGTCCGGGACACCTCGACTTCGTCCAATCTCCGAAGCTGATGCTCAGCCACGTCCTCGATCCTCTCCTTCTCGGACCAGGTCGATGTCATGGGAAACTCCCTGTTCGTCACGAACCCTTCACTTGGACCCGGCCAATCCTCCGGGTCCACATCCCAGAGCCACCGCTCATCAACCCGGATGATGACGGCGGGCTTTTTGTCTTTTGAGTTGATGAACTTGTTGAGCGGCACCTTCGTGATATCCACACCCTCCGGGAGAACGACGCGATGGTTCAAGGCCTTGAGGCTCTCAAGAAACTCGGCGCGGCCCTCCCCGCTAAGATACCCGTAATCCTTCTTCTCGAAGGTCCACTCGTTTTCTCCTTTTCCTTTTCCGCCCCATCTTCCGCCGTACCTGAAGGCCTCAGTCGGATGAAAGTCCCAGATTATGAGCTCGCCGGGGTAGTCCTCGTTGAACTGGTTCGTCTGCTCGATGAGCTCGTCGAACCACTCACCCAGAGTCCCCCAAAAGGTCCCGTCCCTCAGGGCGCCGTGGCACGCTCGGAACCTCCCGTCCGGACCACCCATGATGCGCGCGTCGAGCACCCGGGCGCCCCCGTTGCGCAGCTGGTCGTACAGCGTGGCCACCTGCGTCACGGTGTTCCACTCGGTGCCCGGGATGCCGCCCGCGGCCTTGTACATGCCGGCGTGGTGGCTGCGGCCGAGCACGATCTCGCGGAGGGGCTTGTCGCCCATATCGTCGACCATGGCCTGCATCCACGCCGCGGGCCCGTCGTTGGTGACGAAGTCCCCCTCCGTCCCGGCGAGGATGAAGCCGACGCCGTACGGTGATATTCTCGCTCCTAGATTGAACTCGGCCCCCTTGTGGTGGTTCATGACCTCGAGGTCCTCAAGGAGCCGGATCCAAGGGTAGTGCGGGTTCCCGGATCGAGATTCCAGCATGAAGGACATGGGCTTGCTGGTGCCCTCTATGTGGTAGGCGACCTCACCGGCGGAATCTTCAAACGAGTCGAACAGGCCGTTGTTGGTCGGCCTTGCGAGAACAGCGATGGACTCGCCGGGCTCGATGTACTCGGGCCATCTATCCTCCCAGGCGCTCATGCGGTAGGAGTGATAGTACCCCTTGCGCCAGCGGTAAGGCGTGGCGTTGATCATGTTGATACACTGACCCGATCTGTAGTCAAGCTCTCTTGAGCAATACCCTATGTCGGCCCTGAAATCTCGGCGCTTTAGTTTGGCCGTGTCAGCCGTGGCAACTGACACGTTAGATCGTTGCATGCTATATTGGCCATTGTTTGGCCCGGGAGACTGCACTGATTCGCCTGCTGGGAGAATAGGGAGGGAGGATTTCCCGGTGGCATCCTCAACAACAACGACGTTGTTCACAGATAGGGGGCCCGGTTGATCCAAAGTTTGGACAGCCTCAGATATTCCAGGGACTGGAGACCCGATAGCCAAACTCGCAGCACATATGGCGAGAAGACTTGAAGGAATCATGATGAATGAGAATAATAGAAACAGTATAGTACAACAGTATAGTACAACAACTAACGAAGATAACCCTCTGGCGTTAAATGAGAGCGTAGGTCATAGGTTGTTGAGAGAAAGATGTTGTACAAGAAATTGTAGGATGTCTGGATATTGCAAAGATGTGTGAGGGGAGTGATGGAAAGAAAGAGTTGCAAAAATGTCAATGTGCTGCTTTGTCGTTGGTTTTATTACCTCTAGGGACAGGACCAAAGTTTGTTCTCTTTTTTCCCTCGCCCCATGCTCGTAAACTCCAAGTAAGAGAGTTTATCTAGGACGAAGTCTTATGATAACAAGGTTGAAGATACAGACATACATCCCTGCGCCCCGCGTTGCTGTATGGGCTTTGAGGCAGATATTGAGTTTCGTGAGATAGTAAATTCCATTGGAACATTCAGTACAGCACCGAAACATATATGAAAGGTCACAGTTGCTCTAAATACCAAACATCCACTGACTTGAACGTCAGTTTTATTGGAAGGTGAGAATTGCTCGTATGGCTGCTGATGAGAGTAGAATACATTGATGAGTTGAATAGTAAAGCTTCAGGAAGATAGGAAAGCAAGAAACAGGGAAGGTTTGGCATGGATTCTCTGTAAGTTTTCCTCAACACCGCCACCGGGCAATTAGTCGGTGTTTGTTGCACCCTCTACACGCCCGACAATGTTGTACCTCTTGGAGAAGAAGGTGATCCAGTCATCCAAGACCTTCTTCTCGCCGTCAGGCAAGTCTTGCCAATTTGCACTGACGTCTTCTGGCTTGACTGATGACTTTCCAAGTGCTCTCGAGGCATCCTTGCCGGCGAAAACTGGTGCGAATCCAAGTCAGCATCCCTGCAAATGCATAAGGCGTAAGATGTGGCGTGAGAATAACTATCACTCACCGTGGTATGAGCCACCAGGTTGATAGGCCTTGTTGCCAGTCACATCGTATACTTTACCCTGTGTTGAAACCATGTTAGATTGACGGCATACTGAGCATTTGCGCAGGGCAAGTAATAGAAGAATGGGGTCAAGACTGTGTAGGACAAAGAGTAAAACCACATGCCTTGATGGCGACATAGCATTTCTGTCCCTCGGCGCCTGTAAAATACCAGTCAGCGTTTTGTATGGCTCGGCGATTCCTCGCTGTAAAGCCAAGTATTCATTTTAATCCAGGTGGACTTACCATTCGCTTTGGCCAGCTCCGCAAGAGAAATTGGGTCATCCTTGGGAGGGTCCAGGTTCACCGGAGCTTTGGGCTCAAACTTCCCACTCATATTTGCGGACAGCAGGAAACGGTTGTATGCGTTGTGTTGGGTGATTGTGAGAAGCTTCAATGTCGTAATTCCGTCTTTTCACAACTGCGAGCGGATGATGGTGGTCTGGAGCAAGTGGGCTCGTTCAGTATTTATCGGGGAGGCGGGGTAGATGCAGGAGCGATAGGGTGGGGATATCAACAGGTGCCGAGCTCTAAACAGAGCCGCTGGAAATGATGCAAGAACCTCTCCTAAGCACTACACCTATGATTCAGACGCCTGGAGTTCTGTGAGGTTGAATTGGCAGGTTGCTTCCGACAAAATAACTAGAATTAGTAATGAGGAACTATAGGACAATTCCTTCCATATTCCATTCCAAACTCATATTATTTGAATACGAGCACAATACTCATCATCATAGTATCTATGGGCCAGCTCTTCTAATTCTATCTTCAAGCACTTCAATTGGTGGGAAGCCCGCAAAATGCCGAGGTGGCGGATAGCCTCGAGCATCCAGCATGTGGGCAACTAATTTCTGTCACCAGGCTCAATCAAGATACTAGCTCATCATCATAATGGATAAAAATCAAATGAGAACTTATATTTAAGCAATCTCACGAGTTTTTAATTTATCCATGACTGCCTTCCAACCCAAGATGATCAGGAGCTTTGCACCTCCTTGGTTTAGAATATTGATAGGCCGTGATTAGTCATGCTCCAGATTTCCTAGGCTCCGTCATGAACCACAAAGAAGAACATCCACCCAGCCCTCCCAAGCCTGTTGACGGCTCGTCGCCCGACATCTAGATTGCGATTCCACCATGTCCGTCGCCGCGGTCGCCTCCCTGCGGCCAATTCGCGGCCAATGCCTTCGCCAGGCTCGTACAGGCCTCCTGGCGCTCACCCTCACATCCCGGTCTGCGACCCTCAGCATCCGCATGACCGTCCCATTGCAACCGATATACCAGCGATACCAGTCTACTGTCAAGGAGGCCGAGCCCGGGAACGAGGGGGACAAGCAAACGGGGAAGAAACCGGAGAAGCAGAAGTTGACTTTCCGCCAGTTCTGGGGGCGGGCACTCGCAGTCAGCCTGCGCAATCTCGCCTTCGCCATGAGCCCCAAAGGCGTGCGACAAGGATTCCGCGAGAACCCCGTCTTGATCAGTGTAATTCTACTCGTGTATGTGCCAATCCCCACCGCGTTATGTCCCTCCTCTCTCAATCCTCGAAACTCGAACGTGTAGCTGACCTGACGCAGCTTGATTTTCTCAGTCATCTATGGCACTATCCAAGTCCGTGCCTTCTATAAGCTCTTCTACAACCAGCAATGGAGCAGATACCCCGAGCCAGTCGCAACAACCCTTCGACGGGCGGTTTACTTTACCACCGTCAGCCCCGACCCAGAACGAGCGCTCAAGTTCTACAAGAAGGCAATGGCCGAGACCAAGCAGATCGGATTGGATCCTTTCACCGATGAGGTTGTCGGAATCAGGATTATGGTCGCTTTCTGGCTCGAGAAGATTGGAAACCTCTCCCAGGCAATCGAGGTTCTCGAGGCAGTACGCAGAGACTGTCTGGAGTGGGTTGAGAACATGGAGAAGCAGGCCGCAAATGGCGAAATCAATGAGCAAGGAAGGCTGAAGGCGCCAGTTCCTTCAGACTCGACTGCACCCGTCTATTCGGCTCTGAATGACGAGACGAAGCCCCATTTGAAAGAGCAAGAGCTCGAGACTCTATGGCGGAGGCGCGAGCGACTCCTGTCAAAGGCCGTCTCCATTAGCGTGAAGCTTGGCGAGATCTTCGCAGACGAGCATGTCCTCGACCCCGACAACTCTCATCTCCACCTAGTTTGGTCTGTCGAAACGACCCTGAAGGAGTTCCGACGACGAAAGGAGGAAGGCCCCAAGCCGGGCGAACAGAGCTGGCTCACCCCCACCGAGGTCGGCAGCACCATGGAATCACTCGGCCGCGACTACGAGCGCAAGTCGCAGTTCCACCTTGCGATCCCGCTATTCTTCCAGGCACTCCACAACTGCGAGAGCCCCTGCCACCGCGCCGTCATCATGAACAACCTGTCGGCCTGCTTTGCCCAGCATCCCCTCTACAGCCCCGCCGCGGGAGGCAACCCCGAGACCGAGTCTCTCAAGGACCTCTTCGCATCCTCCATGCCCAACACCCGCCAGGACTGCCTCGAGGCGGCTTCGAACTGGGCCAACAACGCCTACTTCCATGCCAAAGACGTCAAGGGGGACGATCGCACAGCCGAGTGCGACGAGGCGTGCGCCACCGCCCTCTGCAACTGGGGAGACGTGGCGGCTATGCAGGGCAAGACGGATCTTGCTCGGAAGAAGTACGAGGAGTGCGTCGAGCTGAGCAACAAGCTCGGGTTCGCCGAGGGAGCCAAGACTGCGCAGGATGGCTTGAAGAGACTGCGTGCGATCACATCCAAGTCATAGATAGGCTGGTTCTTCTAAACCATCACAACTCCAATTTCTGGCCGAGTTTTTTCCGCCAGCTGTATTAACGACTGGTCTCTACTTCGTTGTAGGTTGCCTATTTCTCTGGAACGCCAGACGTTCCTCATGTCCTTGTAAGATATATATAGTAGCATATGATGAAAAAGGGATCAATACATATGAGCCAATGATAGTCGACATGAATTCTACCAAGTGAATCATAGCTTGCGCTTAATAGCACATTTTGAATCCCCTAGACAATCATCATTATGTAGCATTGGCCATCTATCTGAATACGAGGACAAAACCACATGTCATTGCAAGAGAAAAACGATCCCTCCATTAACTCCAAGTTGCATGAAGGAGCCGACAAGTTGTAATCCCACCAACAACCCAAATACTCTCATTCTTTAAGGACGTAAATAAAACTCCATAAACCGAACCAAGCTAAACGCCTTGTTGCACGATGTGGCCCTTAAATTGACCATCTTACAAATTCCTCAAGACATCTTCTGCCTCTTCGTATCCAAGCCGTCTGTGCCCGGTTCCACCTTGGGGATTGCATTTGCCGGGACATCAGCCAGGGCCGGGCGCTTCATGGTGGGTTGTTTAAACGAGTTCCTGTTGCTAAGAGGACTCGCTGATATGCTCGGTGCGCCGATCCGGCGGGTCTGGTCCAGATTAGGATGAATCACGTTCCCTCTGGTGCCCTGACTCCCTGGAATTGAGGGTCTAACTGGGGTGAAGCTACTGGTGTTTCCCGACTGCGCCTGACTGCTTGTAGGAGCAACGTGCTGCCCGTTCCTGGCCAGAGGCCTGGACGATGTGTGGTCTATTCCGGGCGTTTTGCGGATCGATGGGCTCTCTGCTTTGGGGTTGAACATTTGTTGGCCGCGTGGAGCACCAAGCTGGGCATTATTCTCCCCGGGATTGTTCGAATCGGTGATTTGGCTAACGGCTTTAGCAGAAAAGAAGCCAACAGTCTCGGGAACGGCTGTAGGGGCTCCCGGGGCTGGTTCATTCGCAAGGGATCGGTTTTGAGGAACGGGGTTTGGGCGCTTAGCCTGACCAGCCGCCCCATTTCCTGCAGCCGATGGAATATATCGGGGTTGAGCTTGGTTGGGCGTTTGTGGTGGGCGAGGCGGCATCGGCCTCGGGGGATTGGGCTGATGCTTCACCGGCGGATCTGGGGCTGGGGCCGTGGTCTCCTCGGGCGGGTCATCCTCTGGCACACAGAAGTCGGCTTCGTCGAGTTCTAGAATAATTCAGCATTGAGTTCTTCAAACGCATCAGACGGGAGCGTACCTCCAATCAGGTCCTCAAACGAGTCAGACCAAGGCAGGTTAGGCAGGGCTTCTGGAGCAGGAGGTACATTAGAAACCTTTTGCTCCTTGACCTCCTCCTTTTTGACGAAATCAGCATGCCGGTGCAGGTTATTCTGATCAAACTTCCTGACTGGCTCCGCCTTGACCTTGATCACCTGCTTCACATATTCCTTGTCATAGATGCAGTTTCCCAGGACGTTCCCAAAGCTTCGAAGTGCTCGCTTCAATCCGTCCGTGGTACCCTCCTTCTTGGCCTTCTCAAACGCCATGGCCTTGTTCTTTGCGTTCTCAATGGACCCGTACCCGACATCTTCATGGTAGGTCCCGTCTCGGAGCGTGACGCGAACGGTGACAGACAGGCCAACATTTACCTTCTGGGACTGCGGGTTCTCGTCGGCATAGTCGACCTGGATCTGCTGTATGGAAGACGACCATCCGTTGAAGCCAAATACTTCGTTCGCGAGGGAGATGCACTTCTCGGCCGTCAGGTAGTGGACGCGCTGGCCACCTGGGCCTGCCCGTGCCGAAATGTATTCCGGGCCCAGCTGTCTATCGAGTTTCTGAGAGATCGTTGCAATCTCCTTTGCCGTCCATGCTGAAATCCTAGGCTTCGTTTCTTCGAATGGGTTCTCCCACGATTGGTGCTGATCGCCTGGACTGAATTCACGATTGTGTTAGCTACCAGTCACCGACACGCGCTAGTAGAGAAACGTGAACTTACGCAGGCATAGCGACGATCTAGAGAGACAAGGCAATCATTTAAGATTGTAAGCTCCTGTTCAGTCGAAAGTATCGGGAGAAGCAAATATGTAGCGCCGGCGTGAATGACTGGTGCTGGGTTAGATCGGGTTCTGATGCTGTTGCCTGCATTCACGCGTCGCGGAGTGGGTGGGTAGAGCGAACGCCAAGTCACGTGATTAATATATGACTGGGCATCCCGTACCTTTGATAACGGGGAAAGCATCCGATGAGACATACATAGGTACTGATCATGCAAGTAAGGAAATTATTTCTTGTCGTTTTGGGAAGCTATAGATGTAAGGTTTTAGCGATCTAACATCAGGAAACGTAGGGCGAGAAAGTTCAGCTAACAACACAACGTAGATAAATTTGAAGTGGTAATATCAAGTCAAACAACACCAAATGAAATACTTCAAGTTCTAGAGAAAACAGTACCAGAGACTATGACTATGTTTCCCAGGGCACCCGCCCTGGTTTATAAAATGTGCATTGTTTTTGTGCCATTTGTTTCTCAACAACCCATCGTCTTGGTCAAAGGCCGCCCAAATCAAATGCCCCTGTAAGAGAATGTGGTGTAGAAACTTGTATAATGAGTAACACCACAAGATACAAAACGCCAAACCATCCTTATAGCCGTGAAATGCAACGCTGCAAGTCTATGCTGCTCCTTGATGCGAAAATAATCATCATATGTCGTTATGAATGCTCGTACCCTCGATGCAATGCCAATTTCCTCCGCTTACTATAAAGTCGTCTTGAAGCTGAGTTGCTTACCATGGCCCTACACGGACAGGAGAACCATAAGCACCAGACATTAGTTGATTCAGGATAGATTCCCGCTCGTTGGGACCAGAAGCCGGGTTCATGTTGTGACCCATCCATCCGACATTATTGGCCATTGCAGAAACAGCAGTCTGGAGACGATTACCAGACTGCTGGTTATGGCGAGTAAGCTTCTCATCCCAACCAGCAGAATGCAGATTAAATCCTCCTCCTCGTTTCGCAGCTTCGTTCACTACAAGCTCCCACGCCTTTGAGATGTCTTCATAGGCATTATCCTTGTGATGGCGGTAAGCCTGCGGGTTCCAATCAGGGAGTTCGTGAAGTAGACCGGTTGCGTAGTCGAGGAATTCCAGGGACTTGGTCGGCTGGGTTTCATTGGGAGGGAGGAACTGGGGCGTGAAGTCGGACAAGGCATCCAAAAGAGCGACGAGAGAGTCCTTAACCCTGTAGTAGGTGTATTCCGGGCTGGATTCACCATAAGGAACCGACTCCTTCAACTTCCGACGATAGTCGTCCAAAACAGTAATGGCCGAGTTGACGGTGGGACGAGGAGCACCAGAGGTTACTTCCTGGCCAATTTCCGGGTGGCGTTCGCAGATACGTTCCAGCACAGTGCGTAGTTGGGCGGTATCCAGGGTTTCCAGGAGTCGTGGGAGGCTGAGTGGCCTGCCGATAACCTCGTGAGATCGGAATTTTTTCGATGGTCGAGAAAGGGTTCGAGCAGAAATTGCGGGAGAAGTAGATGCCATAGACTCGTCACCATCCTCATCGGCCTTTCGCTTTCGGGTCGCCATGTTTTGGAGTGGAGAGACTGAATTTGCGTTAACAATTTTCCCTTCTTTGAAACCTCGATGGGAATGAGGCGGTCGAAAGAAGCATGGGAGAATTCGGGGATAGAACTCACCAGATCGCTGAGGAGACAAGCGAGGGTTTTCGTGCTGATGGGGGAAAACAGGAGGCTGCGGTGACAGCAGAACGTTCATGATGATCAACAAGGAAGAACGGTAAGATCAATGCGCAAGTCAATCGAGCCAAACAGCAATACAGCAGCGACAGACAAATGTTGCTCAAGAATGCAGTTCGACAACAAGTAAGGTCAAGCTCTAACGCAAATAAAAAATCTCGAGAATTTGTGGCCGTCGCCGCCGTGCGTTGGAGGTTGTGCGGGTGGAGTTGTTGTAAATGAGGAGTCGGTAGGTATGGAGTGGTTGGGCTGAAAAGGCTTTGATCACCCTCGCATAAAGCGAGAGAGAAAAGAAGGAGAAAATGTCGAGGCGGTCAGCTCTGAGCCAGATGGGAACCCCGTCGCAGCTTATATGAGCGTGAGACTGTGACGCAGGCGGCTAGTAGGTTCGCACAAGCAACAGGCGAGAGGAGTTGCGTTGTTGTGGAAGGGAAAGTGCCGGGACACAAGGGCGAAGCATGAGGAGATCATGGTCTCAGGTGCTTAGTCCTGGGGGGCTAAGCGGACGACGACGCTAAGCTTCGCACGTGACGCCAAGCTAGGCGCTTGTTTACAAGTTGCACCCCCGATGGCCTCCCAAGGTGCCACTGCCCAGCTGCATCCCCTCCATTTGGTAAACTGGGTACTCTAGCTGGCACAGGTGTGTTACAGCATTGAAAACACCCATGCGTAACGCATTGTGCATTTTCTTCCAACGTACCGAAAGGGGTAAAAGGTCCTGGAAGTAATCTCGCTGGCGTACGGCCCTGGAGCAAACAACCCACACTACCACCTTAATACCAGCACTTGGACTGCCCTTGTTACCGCCAGTTCACCAACATCCGCATGTGACTTCACCCCCCAACAAAGTACCACTAATCCAGTTTGCAATGGTGTACGCCGAGAGGCTACCTGCTTTGGGAGTGACGACTCAGTAATCAGACTGGGTGGTGTTCTCAATGGGTGTGGTGGGCTGCGTGCCACCACGTAGCTGCAATACGAAGCCCGTCCTCGCTCAGGATAAACCGATTGTATCCTCATCATCCAATTTGTGGCATGTTTATCAAATCCCCGATGCCTTCAAACTTCCCCAGTATATCTTGCGGCAGGGGTTTGCTGCAAACCGACGCAAAGTTGCATCAAAAAATATTAAGGCACGGAATAAAATGCATTAGAAATTTTGTGAAGAAAAATCGTGGTATGAACAGCTGAGTAGTATCAGTTGGAGGCATCATTGATGATGCATCGAGACCTAGAGCTGATGAATCTTCTGGGGAGCGGCAAAAGCGGTTACGTTGCCTGGCTACCCGGTGCCTAGTATCCAGAGCACGGGTACCGTCCACTCCTCTTGGTCCAATAATCCAACTGCAAGCGAGGACCCACATCCCGCCAAGCTCACTGCGGGGCCCATCAAGCCCCACCCCAGGAAAACGGCTACTTATCTTATCAAGTATGTGAATTGAGGTTGCAAAGAAAAAAATCCAAGCCACCCAAGACGAGGCCGGCAAGGACAAGGACTCGCCTCAACACCACAGTCTGCCAGAATTAATTGGCAAAAATTATCCTTCCACCCTCCCAAAACACCTTGGCTTGAACATTTTACGAGCCATGGCATCCAGCGAGGAGAGGTCTGTCAGTCCGGAGGCCAATGGCGCCGAGACCAAGCCCAAGTCCTCAAGCAAGCGCAAGAACACGACCGACGAAATCGAAATCGACCTTGCCGCGCCCGAGCCCCCCTCCAAGCGCGCCAAGCGTGCCCTCAAGAAGGGCAAATCCGCGTCCAAGAAGTCCGGCAAGGACGACGACCGCGACCTCCTGGACGGCGAGGACGAGGCCGCCGAGGCCGACGGCAAGCCGAAGCGGTCGGAGCACGGGGTCTGGATCGGAAACCTCCCCTTCTCAATCACGGCGACGATGCTCAAGACCTGGCTGGTCAGCAACTCGGGCGGCGTCATAACCGACGAGTCCATCACCCGGATAAAGATTCCGACGACCAAGACCACGGGCCGCGACAAGGCGGCCAAGCCGGTGAACAAGGGGTTCGCCTTTGTGGATTTCTCTGAGATCGGACCAAAAGTCTCCGCCATTGCGCTGTCGGAGAACGACCTTGCCGGCCGTAAGCTCCTGATCAAGGACGCAAAGTCCTTCGAGGGCCGCCCCAAGAAGGAGCCGGAGCCCGTGGTGGCGGGCGAGCAGTCAAAGGACGGGTCTCTTCAGCAGAAGGATGCGTTCAAGCAGCACGAGAACGCCAGCAGAAAGGTCTTCGTCGGCAACATGAGCTTCAAGGCTACCGAGGAGGATCTATACCGAAATTTCGAGAAGTGCGGCGAGATTGAGTTCGTCAAGCTCGCCACGTTTGAGGACACTGGAAAATGCAAGGGGTTCGGCTGGGTCAAGTTCAAAGAGCCCGAGGCCGCCGCCTGGGCCGTCAAGGGTTTTGTCAAGATCAAGGAAAAGGTGGAGACGGAGGCAGATTTCAAGGACGAAGAGGATGGCGATGACGAGAAGCCACAAGAAAAGCAGTTCAAGACGAGAAAGTGGTGGGTGAACAGGATGTTCGGGCGGGAGCTGAAACTAGAACTGGCAGAAGATGACCATGTACGGTATAAGAAGCGATTCGGCAAGGATGCAAAGAAGGATGACGGGAATGAGGGACGTGGAAAGGGCAGGCAGCCTCGCTCAAGAGGTCAGGATTCGAATGACGGACCAACGGAAAGCAAGGAGCTTCGGGCTGCTGATGATATTCAAGTTGCCAAATTGACTGGAGCGGTGGTGAAGTCGACGGGAACAAAGGTCACGTTCGATTAGCGTATTGTTTCTATCTCTACGGTATTTTGGGTGCAAAAAATATATCCGTCATGTTCCATTACTCATTGCATTGATCTACACTTGCGCAGAGGTTGGTTTGCATCGAAATGACGAGGTGATAACAGCACCGGTTAGCGCGAGTCCCCTCACCCCGCACAGTGATCTACCATATAAAGTCATTGATTCCAGGCATGTTGTTCAGAAAACACCACACTCAATATCTTCGGTAGCAAGAAAGATATACATCTCACAACCAACATGTACGAGGCTGTAATTGTCTTTACGCTGGATACCACCTGTCCATGGTACGTAGGCCCCATCCTGGCTCTAGAGGCACTCGATATTAACCCAACAACAGGACATTTCTGGCCAAGAAGAGGTGAGATCTATCCATGTCATTAATAACTTTCCCACCCAAGAAATGGAACCAAAGTAACCTCTAAATCGGCGTCCAACCCAGGCTCGATGACGCCCTCGCCAAGGTCCGGGCGTCCCAAGCTTCCCCGGACGTCACATTCACCGTCCGCTACGATTCATTCCAGCTCCATCCGGATCTCCCAGAGACTGTTGACAAGCAAGAATGGTACCTCCGCAACATGCACATGGACAATCCCGACGCCCAGAAGCTCTACCAGGCGCACATGTCTGATCAGTTCGAGCCGCTGGGCATCACCCTGTGCTTCGACGGCACCATAGGGAACACCTTCCAGGCCCACCGCGTGATCCAGTATTTCCAGGAGGAGAAGGGCCCGGATACTGCGAGCCGCCTCGTTGACGGCCTCTTCATGAGATATCTCACGGAGGCGAAGAACCCAACCAGCGAGGAGACGCTGGTGGAGAGCTGTGTGGAGGCCGGCATTGACAGGGAAGAGGCGACGGCGGTCGTGCGCGACCAATCCAAGAAGGAGGCCGAGGTGAAGCGGGGCATGCGGGATGTCGCAATGGACATCGACTCCGTCCCCAGCGTCAGGTTCGAGGGGAGGCGGAGAGACATCACTGTACGGGGGGCGAAGGAGGTACCTGATTACATCAAGACCCTGGAGACGATCATCAAGGACAGTTCTTAAGCAAGGTTTTTGAGACAAAGGACAGTATTTCAATTCCAGGAGTGTCGGGGCTGTAGTTGTGTGTCTGGCTATTCCAGAATTCGCACACAAGTAAACGTTGGATACATGAAGAGAAGGGAGTAATAAGAATAAAACAAATGAAAGAAATGGTAAAGAACGAAAGAACGACGCTGTCGTAATCATCATCATTACAGTAAAAAAGTCATAATCGTAAAAAATCAGCGACCCTGTAGCCCCCAGAAATAAAAAAACCGAACCGTTAGATATTATACCTTATGCCCTCGCGAAAAGCAGAGGTACCATAAGGCTCTGGGATTCTGGGCCCCTGTGGTCCTCGATGACTTCCATGCCACAGCCAGCAAACTCCCGGCTGGCCATGAACCTGCAGGCCGCGACGGCTTCGGCCTGCTGGTTAGTGGATTTCCTCCCGCTGTAGAATTCGCGGCTGAGCTTCGTCAACACCGCTTGTTTGGCCTTGCGCAGGGCGCTTATACGCGCGCCGGCATCCTCCGCGAAGTGACGGTGGGCCTCTTCCTGTTCGATATTGCGCTGCACAGTGGAGATGCTCTCGTCGGGAGGAGTTGAGCGACGGCCGGAGGGATCATATATTGCCGGTTGTAGTAGAACCGGCTTGGGGTCGTTGTTTAGAATTGGTCCGATGATGGGGATATGCACAGTAGAGGCGCGGCTGCCCTCGTACTCGAAAGATCGGTTCAAGGTAGGGGGGGATTCCTTGCGTTTGTGGCGCCGGAAGGAAAGTGAAGATTTGATGGAAAGTGGGAGCGGGAAGGATGACTGCTCAGAAACCTCGGAGGATGTATAGTCGTCGCTGTCGTATTTAGGATGCTTTCTGCGGCGTCGCGAGTGCTTCCTAGTGAATTTCGTTGTGAAGCCAAGGCTTGACTCTGATCCGTATGTTGATTCTTGAGGCAAGCCGTAAAGGATATCTCGCTCTTCGTCGCAGAGATGGAAAGCGTTAAACTCTTCGTCGAGGAGGTCTCTGCTGGCAGCCTCAGCGGCAGCACTCGGGAAGGAAAGATCTTCCGAGCTGTCGCTGCTGACGAAGCTGGCTTCTGACGATGCCGCGGTGGAGCTGCTCCGCGACCATAATGAGTCCTTGTCCAGGGGAGACAGAGCCTCATCCCAGTTGCCCTTGTTTGTGAGCACGACATTTGCAAAGTCGAACTCCTTGACGGTATCCCGGTGTGATCTGATCAATCCCTTGAGCTGCGGCGCGTTCATGGCCGCATTGCGGATTTGTAGGAAGCGTAGCTTTGGGAAGTGGATCTGGGACCGCATTGGGATCTCTGGCAGAGGTGACATGGGGGATGTTACCTCGTGAAATAGTTTCCTGGAGACCTTGCCCGGCGCAAAGAGAGGGTCGTCCGAGAGGGCCACTGGGCAGGGTCCTTTGCTGCCTCGCCATGTGAAGCTCAGCTTCTCAAGCGTTGGCGCAAATGAGCGAAGGTAATCATCGATGACCTTCAGGTGATCAAGCCCGGGGGATGCACCATAAAAGTCCCAGGCTTCGACTGAAATGTACAACTTCTTGATCTGCTTCCATCTGCGCGAAGAGGATGGAACAGACCCATAGCCTGGGACATGGCGCAAGTAGTTGAATGCGCCAGGGTGGACTGAAGACAGGGATAGCTTAGAGAGCTTGGTCAAAGGTGCGCGCTCTAGAGAGATGCGTAAACTGATGAGAGCGTAGTCAACAATGTTCCTTCTGTACCTCTCTTGAGGCTCTTGGCCAGGACACCAGACAGTCAGATGTCTCATATTGGGCATCGACTTCATGGCATTGATGAAGCTGGGAACATTGGTGGCGGAGTGGAACAAGGGAGGATATTGCTGCGTCAAGATCTCACCCAGCTGTGAGTTGCCGTATTTTGGGCGGACCAGGACCTGGCTGAGACTTGTAAGTGGCGTATATAGAAATGAGATCTCATTGCCGGTCTCTGGGTGAATCAGTGGCGGGAGAAAGGTATCCTCGGAGTGAGGAAAGTAAAAGGTGAGATGTTCGATGTGCTGGCCGATGCGAGCAAGTGCTGTAAGTCTGCATTGTTTGGTGAAGGTACTGGGGGTGAAGGTCACATGAACGCGAGTAAAGAGACGCTTTGTGACCTGGCTACAGCAGGAGGATGAGGTTGATCGGAGGGCACAGATATCTGCAGTCGACAGATATGGGAAGAGGTGGTTCTTGAAGCGATCGCTTCTCAGAAGGGTGGAAAACAGCTGCTCGGTGGAGGACGCCATGACTCTGGCATTGCTTGGGAACCAACTATCTGAATGAAATTTCCAAGATGCGCAAATGCAAAGGGTCCGAACACTAGCTGAGGGTACAGGGCTTGCAATAATTTGTTTGTCTTGGGTTCTTCTTTGGGGGTCTGGAGTGTGGCGGTGCGTTGCGGTGGAGGGCAGCAACGATAGGTTGGAACAGGAGAGAAACAGATGTCTCGGGGCTCATATAACAATTGAAAAGAACAATTGAAGAAAGAAAGCAGATTTGGGACCAGCCAGTTGAATTCACAAATATCATACACTTTACTGTGGAGGAAAACAAAAGCAGGAGAGAGCACGAAAGGATGGCCGCATCGAAGGGCCGGATTCTTAAGTTTAAGAGCGATCAATAGCAGTCCCACCCAAAATCAGCGTCGAGGCGAAGGGTCGGAACCCTGTCGTGCCCCCCTCTCGGTTGCTCGAGAGAGGAGGAAGCAAAAGATCCGGTGCATCGCGAAACCCGCCCAAGCCAGAATCGACTGGCCAGTGAGTCACGACAAGCCAGACGGTATGCATCTAGACGGGGGGGATGGGACCAAGTAGTGGTGGTGCCACGGGAGGTTTCGCGACCGTGTTGTCATCGCGCACGCCACGCTGGTTGGCCGGCAAAGGCCTCAATGCCCCGCATGCAGCATGGCCCCCCCCGTGCCGGCTGCAGAGTGTCTCATGGTCGCAGCAGCGCTGGCCAGTCGGATGGGCATCGGCTTGAAGCTTGCAGATGGTGGGGAAGATGGACCAGGATGGCCGGGCCCCAAAAAGGCAAATGGCTGGGACGAAGGAGCGACCCTTTCGGGCCACTTGCCAACAACGCGGGATGTGGGTCCGCTCCAGAAAAGAGGCTCTGGCCAATCACACGCCCGGCGCCGCGCTGCTTGCGACGCGACAGCCGTTTGATCGACGCGCATCGCTTCGCGGCTGGCGCCTGTAGGCGCGATGTGTATAAGTCGGATTTCACAACATTGGCAGCAGTATATAAGGCGCCGCCGGGGGCGTTGTTGCGCGACGTCTGGGGCGTGATATTCGCGCAGTTGCTACCCCCAAAACAGGCCGGCCTCGAATTTTCGGATCTTCTCTAGGGGAATTCGGTGCAAATCATCTGTGCAGCCCTATTCCACGCGCTGTAAGGAGCCAGACCTATGCAAGACCGCGCTGGCAGCCTCCGACTCGCCAGTCGGTGTCCTATCCACGATCAAGCACACCGGACCGGACCCACACCACCCGCCTCAAACATGGAGAGCATTTGGCCATGAGCACCGCCCGTGGCATATAGCATGGCATGATCCCCAGGGCCCTGGATGCCACTGTCTGCCGCTGCACCTCCACCACCAGACAGCCTTGGTTTCGTGACTGGTGCTGCATCCCCCAAAAATTCCAGCTGCCAGCAAAGCCCGCAGCCCCTGCTTCGCCCGTCCCGAAACCTGTGTGATACACCCTTCAGAGCCCTCTACTGCGTATTCGGTAACTGGAACACCCTGTTGGTATGTAGTCACTGCAGTCCCCATTGACGATTTGTTGTCCTGCGGATCTGCGCCAGTCCACTGGAACACAGACCGTTATGCAAGCCAGGTATGATGAATCAATCCAACGTCGGCCGGCCTACTTGAAGAAAATTCTTTCAAACGACCAGGCTGGCCCTGAACTACATCCCTCCAGGGTCCAATAGCTATCCCCAATTCCGCCTCGTAGCATCTCAGGCCGGGCCATGTTCACTAAGTTTAGTTCAATGCGGTACCATGCACCCACTGACGTGGCTCGTTGGGGCCGCCTGTGCGTTGCGTTCGTTTGTCACACTCCAGGGATCATAATTTTCTGTTTCCCCTGTCGCTGTGGCTGTTACACCAGGTCTTCTTAAGAACAAACGAGATGTGAGATCCCGACCGATAGTTACGGATGCTAGTGTTGGGTATTTTTATCTACCCTGAAAGTGACTAGATCACTATTTAGATGACTCGTATTCGCTGTCCTGCCATTCCGATGAATTTTTTCTTTTACACCGAATAATGATCCCTGGAAAATGTGCGTGCTAAACACTATTCATCCCTTGTATTTGATTTTTTTTTCGCACAAACTGCTATGTATGACTCCAACGCCTGACCCTGGAAGACCGACTATTGCGATAGTTATGGGTTACCATGTAAACCCGCGGTAAACGTGTATTGAATGACGCCTTTGCAGACGCTCCAATGACGCGCTATTTCTTACCGTTTGTGTGGTATTCTATAATGATAATTTGCCAACCGAACAACATTCCCATAACACTTTTGAAACACCCCTGCCCGATGCGATCTCCATAGAACTTGACATATACACAATTGCATTAGAGTTCAGCCGGTGGCTCAAACCTAGTTGTTCCTCCCACGGCCTCCTCTGCCCCTACCCCTTCCTCTGCCACCACCACCACCACCACGCCCTCCTGCACGTGACCCACCTCTGCTCGATCCAGATTGATTGGATGGGCGCCCGCTGTCTCCGTTCCAGGATGTTGGCATTTGGTGCGGTGGGGGTGGTGGCACGCGATGATAGTCCCGACCAGGGGGACGGGGCGGTAATGACGAAGGTGGCCTCGCTGGTAAAGAATCAATGGACGACGCACCAGGGGGTGGTCGAGCATCATAAGATGACCGCAGATGTGATGGAGGGTCTGAAGGTGGAGGTCCAGGAGGAAGGGGAGGCTGCCAAGAAGCACCAGCGGGCGCATTCCGTGGCATTTGGATGTTGCTCGCCATTCGAATGGCGCCCACATTGCCACGTTTGGCTGGGGGCCTCCTACCCAGAAACTCGACGTCTGAGTCGTCGCTCTCTGAATAATGAACTGCAGCACCCCTGGCTGCACGGCCTCTGATTTTTACCTGTGATTTCTGCGCGACACTGGGCCCATTAGCCAAACGGGTAGCTTCTCCTTCGACGGTCAGTGAATTGCAGCCCGAATCCACATATCTGCTTCGATTTTTGAGGGACCACGTGGGGTTTGATGCTGAACCTCGCCTATCCGGACAGTCGGACGAGTAGTGCAAGGTATCACCACATAGTCCGCATGATGGCTGGAGCTCCTGCACGACCTGGATGGGTGAGTCATCAGGTGAAAATGACCGCCAAACCTCTGTGCATTCGTCCTCGAGGTGATCGTCAGCGCCACAAAAGCTACAGGCCAGTCCCTCCTCCTTGGTCAAGGCTAGCTTCTCTTGACAATCAGCGGCACCATGACCAAGTTGACGACATTTCCCGCACCTGGCCCTGGTAGGGCAGCTAAAGTTCCAGTGCCCGTCGCTGCTGCAGAACTTACAAGCCGCCTTGGAACAATTGGTTGAGAGGTGTCCCGCGCCCCCACACCGAAGACACATGATGGCGGATTCGCTCGCGCTGGGAAAGTATTTTCGAATCATAGCCATTTCTTCCTCTGCAACTACAGGGTGGCTTGTGTCGTCCGAGGTCCTTTCACCAACAAGGTCTTGTTGGGAAGCAACGGGATTTCCGTTGGGCTCTAGGGTACTTGGCGCAGTAAGGGGCGTTCCAACCGGTGGCTCATATTCCTCCTCGCTCTCCGAGACAAGGTCTATGGTCTCCTTTGCCGCTGGGGGTTGCTGGTTCCTGGAATTACCGGTCTTCGGAGGCGGTCTAGACTGTTGAGGAAGGTTCATCGACCTTACTTGGCTCTCAAGAGCTCCAGATTCTTCAACTTGTTTCGCAGCCTGCTTAGCGTTCCGCTTCTTCTTCGTCTTCAAGCCTGAATTCATATCAAGGTAGTGCATGTAGGCTGACTGGACGAGGGTCGGCGTCAGCAAAGGTCCATATGTGGCATTGTGAACGCAAAAGACGGTCACCCAGTCTTTGAAACGAACGTCCCACGAACCCTCCCTCTTGTTAGAAAAGACAGGAAGCACAAAGGTGGCGTCCTTGTCGTTGTATAGCGGTCCATTTGGAGGAATGAATGCCCCGGCTTGCTTTGGTTTCGCAGTGTTTTGCACACTGTCCATGGTTACCCCCGGTGCTGAAGGTTGGTCTAGTTGGTCCCTCGTTTCGTCAATCTCTCCCTCCTCGGACGCGCCAGAGCCCGTTGATCCGGTCCGGGTGGACGATCTAGTTTTTGCACGTTTGTGCGGGTGAGAGATGCCTTCTGCCACGTGCGAACCATTCGAGGCGCGGCGCGACCTCTTTTGACCCTGGGGGGCCTCATCTTCACTTGAGGATAGGGTGAGAACGTCACCAAGGAGGCCGTCGTCTTCCAAACTCATAGTGAAAATAGCCCAGCCAGCGGTGGTAACCTGTGCAGCCCGTTTGCACGTGTCAAGGGGATATAGGTACCTAGGTATTGTGTGAAAGGGAGAGATACCTGCGGTTCCTTAGGCCGCTGGGAAGGCAAGCGAGTCCCTCGGGTACCTACTGTGCAATACGCAGGAGCAGCCCGGCTAGTTTGAGTACAACGGCCAGCACTGAAGCGCCCTGGATTTGAGTTGTTCAGCCAGTTGACACTATCCGAAGAGTTCTCCTTGGTAGATGCTCAGTCCTAAAAGACTGTCGCGCTGGTGGAGAAGCGCTTGTTCCGCCTGTGATTGGTATCCACCCACCGGTGGTGCACCGATACACCTGTCCTCTCGCCTTGACCACAGGTCTGGGTGCGTTGAGCTTTGAGGAATCAGGAATAGCTTGGGAAAATCGAACTTGGCAAATCAGCAGGGCCTGCAATTTATGTTCCCCAGGTCGTGTTGCGTCAGGCCTGCATGCAGATTCGGCCTAAGGCTCACGAAACGTTTCCTGATACCTGAGTGCCGATAAAAATTTACTGGTCCAATCAACGTCTTCACTTAGCGTATTACCGAATATTAACCACCCTTGTCATCCTCCGAACCAGTCTTGCCAGAACATTCCGCAGTGACAAGCAGACACACCGATACTCGTGACCGTTGTAGCTGTCTGCTTGGGCTGCTCTGAGGAGGTACTTGTCAATGCCCGTGATTTGCTCATATAACTTGGCCGGGCTACCAGGCCGCTATGCTAGGGCGGGCTCCTAGATCCATCTCCGGAATACGGTCGGTCCTGCTCTGGGCTCGAGGGGCCCCATCCCTGGCTCAGGTAGAGCGGCCTGACGCCTGCCGACCCCTTAAAGGTCCAGATAGCCAGCGAGATCGCGAAGTAAACGAAGCTGCGCATAATCACACGATCTCACGAACCAGCCCATCTGGAATCATGAGCAGTGCAGGGTAGCACGGGCGATGCTGGCCTCGATCAGCTGTCGCATCGAATCGGCTGTCACTCCAGACACATATTACAGCGGGCGGGGCAACTGCCTGCTTTAGTGAAGCTCCCCCAAGTTCCTCGCAACCTACAGGCAATAAAAGCCCCCGATGCAGGGCTGCAGCGTGGGTCCCTGTAGCCACCTACCGATTGGAACCCCTTCCTGCCTGCCCATCGAGCGACATTGGAGCCTCTCATCAATAGGAGCAGTCCCACGCGTCACCTGTCATTTTCACACTTGCCATCATCACCAGCATCATATTCCCCCTCATCCGACCCCCGACTGGATGAGCCGCCTGCTCTAATTCAATCCTCCCTGTATTAATCCGTTTATCTAATTCTAGCCTTTCGTTTATTCATTTTGCAATTTCCAGCTGGCCTTGACATCATCAGGGGCACGCCATTACTTATCCTCCCTCCACTTCCAGAACCATATTCTACACCACCCGCATTCAAACTTCACGCTGCCGCCGCATCTCAAATCGCCGCCCAAGTTGCACCCGTCATCCAAGGCTCTTCATTGACCGTTCGCTCGCCTCCCGCAGTGCTTCACTTGGCTTGTCCCTCTTTCCCACAGCTACCGCCGCCCGTGGAAGAGTTCTAGATTCGCCTGCTCCTTTATATGAGCCTCCCCAAACAACCCGAAGCCATTACCGACAATACCGCCAAGCTGTCTTCCCCAATCCTCCTCCAGCGCACCGTCACCTTTGACGCGGGCAACGACCCCCCGCGGAACGGAAGCGCCTATCTCAACATGTCCGATCGAAACACCGGGGCTCGAAGGAGGAGATCTAGCAGCATCCTCCAGGTCTATCATGAACCCCCCGAGACCCTCGAGCAGATCAGCGATCAGGCATCTCTGCCGAACTTGAACGCAAACTGGACTAATGCCAAAGGTAAACCTCCTTAGTCCCTTCCCCTCACCTATAGTCGTCCGCTTCAAGGCCAAAGTGGCTGACATTCATACTCTCTGCCTGCGTTGTGTAGGAGCATGGACGATTCACCTTGTCCTTATAGCTGGCCTTAAAATCTTCTACGACGTCATCCCCGGTGTCTCGCAGGAGACCTCATGGACGCTGACCAACATCACGTATATGTTTGGCTCATACATCATGTTCCATCACGTTCGCGGAGTTCCCTTCGATTTCAACAGTGGTGCCTTCGACAATCTCAACATGTGGGAGCAGATCGACAACGGAGCTCAATACACCCCGACCAAGAAGTTCCTGCTCAGTGTGCCGATCATGTTGTTTCTACTGAGCACGCACTATACCCACTACGATTTGGCATACTTCTCTATCAATTTTCTTGCAGTACTTGGGGTCGTTATCCCTAAACTTCCTTTTGTACGTTGGCTCAAACTATCGTCGCTTGTACCCACACCCTCCAACCCCCCCATATTCGTTTGTTTGTTTATTTATTTACTGCCCATCCACCTTACATGGTATCCCTTTTTCAAATGCTAACCTTCCAATTCCTCCAGAGTCATCGGATGCGCTTCGGGCTTTTCTCAGGAGTTCCCGAAGAATAGGTCATGGATGTATGTGGGCGTTTGGGTAAGATACCTGGCGGGGCGTACCGATTTCGAAACTGAAAAAGAGAGGAACACAGGACGCAAAATAAGATGGCAAAAGATTGTTGATTTAATCATATCATAGCGAACATTTCCGCAGCGCAGGGCTTCGGTACCTTGTACTATATTCACACCCAGCGCTAAGGAGATGAATTGGATTTTCTCTCTACACTACCTATTTCTCTTCAGGCACTCACAAGTGATGTTCGCGACTCCCAAGGACCTTGGTGGCTGGGGGATTTAGGTTGGCCATGGAGCCCCTTAACCCGCAAGATGGTTTGCTCTTGCAGGTATAGTGGTTTGGCAAAGCTTGTTTTTCATCCTAAACGACGATCCAACTGGGCCATTGGCTGGAGGAGGATGCTAGTTGCGGCTCACTAGCTCCGACACGCTCTATTTATCGCGATGTTGAGCAATTGAGTTTGGCCAGTTGATCTCCCTCACTTGCCAGGCAACGCGCTTTGCCGTCAGGAAGACGCGATGGCTCGAGTGATTTCGGGAGAGTTTCCCTCTATAAAACGAGGCACTCCGTCAACAGGTTGAAGAAGTCAAATCGAGTCTATCTACACTCGTTTCCCCTACCGGCGCTGAGTTTCCAAGCCCTCTGTTCGTTATAACTTTATTTGTTAAACCGCTCGCTCACCATGCGTCCCAATAGTATCTTGGCTGCCCTGGCCATCTTCAATGGCCTGGCCTCTGCCAGCGCTATTATTTACCCCAAGCATGGTGAAAAGGACATCTTCAAGCATGATGGCCACAAGGACCACCACAAGTTCAAGGACTACTTCAAGAACCACCATGGGGACAAGCACCACAAGGACAAGCACCGCAAGGACGACCACGTTGAGGTTGACCAGTTCAAGTTCAAGGATGACTTCAAGCGCCCCCACAAGCATGAACACGGCAAGCCCTGCCATCATCATCACCATAAGCCCGAGAAGCATCACCACCATCACTGCGAGGGTGGTCACTGTGACAGGAAGTCCTGCCACGAGTGCAACGGCGAGTGGGCCAAGCCCGGATGCCAGCACTGTAAGCCTGAGAGGCCTTGCCACGGCCCCGACTGTCACCGTCACCACAAGTACGTGGACGTTGAGGTCATCAAGGAGAAGTCCAAGGACAGGCCTCAGCACGTTGAGGTAATTAAGGAGCTCAAGGAGAAGGAGAAGGAGGTTCTAATCAAGGAGCTCAAGGAGAAGGAGAAGGAGATCATCAAGGAAAAGGAGAAGGAGAAGGAGAAGGAAATCATCAAGGACGAGAAGGAGGTCATCAAGGAGAAGGAGAAGGAGAAGCCGTGTACCAAGGTGGAGACCAAGGTCAAGGTTGAGACCAAGGTTGAGACTAAGCCTTGCACCATCGTCGTCCAGAAGACCACTGCTGCTCCATCTCCCCCTTGCACCTCTCTGCCCGCTCCTCCGGCCAAGAACGTCACTCCTCCAATTCCTTGCCCTAAGCCTCCGGCTCCTTGCCCGGTTCCCGTTCCCGTACCCCAGCCGGCTCCTCAGCAGCCTTCGCCATCTTGCCCCCAGCCTCAGCAGCCCAAGCCCTCTTCGGGGCCTGCACCGGCTCCGGCACCTGCTCCTGCTCCTTGCCCTCAGCCGCAGCCTCAACCCAAGCCGCAACCGCAGCCTCAGCCTCAACCTCAACCTCAGCAGCCTTGCCCGCAGCCTCAGAAACCGCAGCAACCTCAGCAGCCCCAGCAGCCCCAGCAGCCTCAGCAGCCTCAGCAACCCCAACAGCCCCAGCAACCTCAGCAGCCCCAGCAGCCCCAGCAGCCTCAGCAGCCTCAGCAGCCTCAGCAGCCTCAGCAACCCCAACAGCCCCAGCAACCTCAGCAGCCTCAGCAACCTCAGCAGCCTCAGCAGCCCCAGCAACCTCAGCAGCCTCAGCAGCCTCAGCAACCCCAACAGCCCCAGCAACCTCAGCAGCCTCAGCAACCTCAGCAGCCTCAGCAGCCCCAGCAACCTCAGCAGCCCCAGCAACCTCAGCAGCCCCAGCAACCTCAGCAACCCAAGCCCTCTTCGGGGCCTGCTCCTGCTCCTGTTCCTTGCCCTCAACCCCAACCTCAGCCCCAACCTCAGCCTCAACCCAAGCCGCAGCCTCAACCTCAACCTCAGCCTCAGCAGCCCTGTCCCCAGCCGGCTCCGGCTCCTGCTCCTGCTCCTGCTCCTGCTCCTGCTCCTGCTCCTGCTCCTGCTCCTGCTCCTGCTCCTGCTCCTGCTCCTGCTCCGGCTCCGGCTCCGGCTCCAGCACCAGCTCCCGCACCAGCACCGGCGCCGGCACCCCCAGCCCCTATTCGTCCACCACCAGCTCCTCCTTCCAACAACATCAGCGGCCCCAGCAGCCCAGTTCCGCTCCCCGTTGCTGCTGGTGCGAAGAGCGCCATCTCCCTTGGCACTCTCGCCATCAGTCTTGTTCTGAGCTACTTCCTGTTCTAAGGTGGTCAAGAACCAAGAACACCCAGAGATTGGGTCTCATGGCAATCTCTATAGGCGTCGTCCTGCTATTCCGTTCCCGGGACGACATATCAAGCAAAAGGAGCGAGAGAAAAGCGTAGGAGGTGACAAAATAGGTGTTGATTTGTAATTAAAATAGGAAGGGAATCTTTGGAGACCCAACTTCGCATAATTGGACTAATTTGTTGCAACTACGAGGTGCTCTCCCAGGCGTGTAATTGGTAGCGTTCATATTTGCCTCCAGAGGTAGAATAGAGAGTGATACTGTAGCTACACATACCTATTCTAATGACGCCGGTCTCACCACTCCGAAGAGAATCCACTCTGAATATAAGACTCGTGACTTTATGGCATAGCTCGACGCTGCACATTGAACAGTCATAAAGTCGTTCAATATCCAGTACTACGTGTGGGTGAGAGTAACTTGGCACTTTGTGAATCCGACACTAGGTAATCATGCGCTTTCAGTATGAGACTTTATTTTGAATTGTTTTGTATTGAATTGTTTTTTATAATTTGTCTAGTGAGGAGATCTGAAAGTCTAGTCCGCTCCATATAGAACTGTACTTTGGCCCAACAAGCCAGAAAAGGAAAAGAAAAAAGAGAAGAAGTAAAAAAGAAAAGAAGAAGAAATGGAAAAACAGGCTGTCGCTCTTGCTGATCCGGGAAATAATTAACACTGCTAACTCCGAAGATTGGGACAGAGACAAAGTGTCCAAGCCATGTATTGTTGCGCTGCTGGATAAAATGAATCCCCTGCAACATGGGATACGCTTTTTTGAGGATATGTATAGATTCAATGAAGGCCGTTCAATGGCTGGGTATTTAAAGAAATGAGAAAATAAGGAAATGTGCCTTTCTACTGGTTAGGTTAGTACTTTGTTTTCTTGAGATGGGAATCGAGGACTTGCTCACCTATAAGACAACTATGGTCTACTGAGAGCCATAGTATGGGACTTGCTCAACGGGCTCCCCCTTTAGTAGGAGACGTTGTCGCCGACCTTGCGCTCGGCGTTTCTTCGCTCGCGGCGGCCGGCGCAGCAGGTGAAGAGCATGAGGATGAAGGCGATGGCGGAGGCGATGGCGACGGCCAAGGAGAGGTAGTAGGTGACGCCGTACTTGGAGGAGCCGACCTCGGCGTCCTTGATGGCCTTCTCGAGGCTCTTGAACATGACGGCGTCGATGACGAGGGCGCAGATGTTGACGCCCGCGGCGAGCAGGCTGACGAGCGTGGCCATGATGGAGACGCAGGTGCCCTCGGGGAGACTGAGGAGGAAGGCGATGAAGGTGACGCCGGAGCCGATGGGGTGCATGATGAGGGCGACGCTCAGGGCCTTGAGGCCGGTCTCGGTCTCCCAGCTCCAGCTGTTGGTGGGCTGGGCGATGGTCTTCATGATGTCGGCGGCGTCATAGCCGATCTTGGCCTTGGTGCATTGGAAGCTGGAGGGAGAGATGGGTTCAGTATACTTGAGGTCGTCCAAGTTGCCGCCATGTATGAAGAGACTTACACGCTGTCGACCTCCCAACAGTATCCAAACACACCGAACCAGGCATTGTTGCCCGTCGTCAGGCTGAGGGTAGTGAATGAGAGAGACTTCTGGTTCGCCACGGGTGCGGAGATGTTGATGACGATGGTGAGGATCAGGGCCGCCATAAGGATGAACGACCCGATGAAGTGTACTGCGCTTCCGAAGCTCATTGTGACTGATGTTGCTATAGTTTGGTTGGTGTGTTTGTTCCTCTCAATGGTTCCCGTGTTTCTCGAAAGCTACTTTGGATGTAGGCTGAGTTTGTATACAAGTGATGGTAGAGGTATGCAGGTATATATAAAGTCGCACAGTTGTCGGGTGTGGTATAAATAAATGCGAGGGAGAGCCGATGACGACGACCTTTCTCCCTATAGAATGTCTCGCAAGGTCCGATGCAAGGAATGTGCTATGCTTGTCTACTGAGCCAACGTTTGTCTCGAATGTATTACTGGGGAGGACCGTCTGAGACTTTATTTATAGCGAACAGGAGGATCTTTGGCTGGGGTCGATCTGGCCAAGGCTTGCGCACAGCACGATCGACCCTTGTCGCATCCCCGGCAGCTAAAAATTGTCAGCCCCAAGCTGAGCCTCCCCTGCTCGTCTGCAGCGTCATGCAGCCGGCACTTGGGGGAGGTGTCCACGGCCTGTGTGGCTGCAGAGAGTCAGAATGCCGTGGTGACACGGGCGTTCCGACGAGCAACGAGCAACGCTCGCCGGCCACTGTGTCAACGCTGTCTTGGAGCCCGTCCGGCACTAACGCAGATACTGTGTACAAAGACGCAATCACGGCCCGAAGCCGAGTCGTGAAAAAAAGGAAACAGAAGAAATTGGAGCCATCAATCAAGCGTCGTCGTCACTCCGCCCTCCGACTGTGGCTGGACTGCTGAGCCAACAGCCAACTAAGCTCAGCGTCTCTCAGCCCTGGCGAGGCGTCGAAAGCACTAAATCGGGGCATCCATCCATCGGCGACCCCTGATCCAGCAATGGTTTGACTATCGCTACGCTCCAGACAGATGCGGCCTCAGACGCGGATTACTGCATCACTCAGATAGACACACATAATACAGGGGGGCTCAATTGCCAACATGACAGACAACCTCTCGGGCTGCAGTTCGGAGGTATGCATGAGCCACATGAAGCATATAGCCCCTGGTTCTGCACGAAAATAGAAGCACCAATCAATCCATCTCCCGTCTGTGGGGAGCCATGACACACGCCAATAAAGTTACTTGTGTGGATCATTCGTGCTGAGAACTTGCGTGCTGAGAACTTACGTTGGAGTCGATATCATTCACGTTGACAGGTGAAGCCATGAAACCATTGTTCCCACTGTTGGGATGAATCCCCGACTGTATTACATGTCGCATTACTCTGTACCATCGCGACCGATGTCGATCAATGTCACCGCCCTGCAGGCCAATGTTCCGAGTGGTGCCCTGGCCTTGATCTCCATACGAATTGATCTGCCCTGCTGCTAAGTCGGACGGTGGACGAGGCCTGTTTGAACCCACGTGTGTTCCAGGTTATGTAGCGCCGTCCCTTCCAAGGACGGAGCAGCCAAAGAGAAGTTAAAATTTGATTGTTATTATTGATTTTTATTCAATAAATGTCGGTTCTGGGAGCCCTGAGTGCTGGTCCAACGAGTAAACAGACCCCACCTCCTAATTGCTCATTCGTATAAACATGACGAGCCTCTATGCGGCGTTGGTCGCTCAACGCGTGGCACAGGCCGAGGTGAGGTAGAACGTGATGAGCAAGAATGGACAAGAATTGGCATCAGATCCCTGCGAGTCCCCTGTGGGGTGTCTCCAAATTCCATCTTATTGATGCCACGCGTACCCCAGGTCTGCTCATTCTCAATTTCTCTAGTGGTTGAAGAGTCGTGTGATCCCACCCACTGGAATTCTAATCTTATGGCGTTCCGGCCTGATAACGGCTGTATTTCCCAACTAAACTCGCTGCTTACTTCGAGCTCGAGTTGGCGTAGGTTACTGGTCTTTTATTTGATTAACAGTCCCTCATGTATCAAGGTGGGCAGACTGATGGGTAGTTGGGAGGCTCCGAGGTCCACCGGGACTTTCGTTGCCCTTGTCGGGTGTATTTCCAGTAGGCGATGATGACCGTGTGGCCCGTCTCGCACCACCAGATAATTTCGCTTTCAACTGCCTTTGTGCGTTTATTTCTTCCGCGGCATGTTGAATTTTTCTCGGGACCCAATTAGACGTTGTGCGACGGGACGTGATTTTCGGGATGGGGGTTCGAGTATCAGCGTCGCCATCCCATCTCGATAATCCCGCCTTTGCTACATTGTTGGGGAGGGACTGCGCCAGAGTGCTGGACATGAATGTCTCCCCCTGGGCCAGGTTTTTCGGCCAAGACTGGTGCAGTTGCGTGTTCGCAAAGGTTCCGGCGTGGTTGTAGTCGCGTTCGGCATAGATGTTTATCTGGAAGGTCCTCCGTTCCTCGCTGGTTACAGCTTGGTTGACACCGCTTCTGCTCGCATTGATTGTTGGTTTCGTTCCGTCGAGACGCCGGGGCTGGGCCAGGTCGGAGAACGAGAGATCGGGGCTGTCTCCTTGTTCCAACGTGTACGTCATCGGGCTTGCTGCGAGGAGTTTACTGGCCGTCTCGGGGGTTTTCGCGACAGATATGAAGTTGGCGTGGTAGTCCTACCGCCCACGAGATCTCGTCAGTAATAAGTCAAGTCTGTAATCATCTGCGGTGGATGCTGGCGGGGCATTGCTACCGATTCCATGCCAGTTTCAACTTACAGGTGTCCTCTTGAACACTTCAATTGGGCCATGTTGTTCCAGCACTTGTAGGATGGACCTGCGTTCTGCAAAGGTCACTGGAGTTGGCGAGACGAGAACGCGGAAGCTCCGATCTCGATACGAGAGGTTCCCAGTCACCCAGCGACTTCGCGCAGCCATGATTGGGTCTGATCAGGTATTCCCTACTGTGTATGCTGCTACCTGCTCAACAGCTGGGGCGCGTTGTGATGCTGGAGCCTTAGAATAGCCTCTTCACTTCTCAATGGGGTTCGTACTTGGAGATTCCGCCTGTGGAGCTTTGAGCAAAGACACTGCATTATGCGCAAGCTATAATTGGCTACCCTATACCTGTATGAGTGTATCAGGTTTCGATGAAGGCATCAAGCCATGTTCATAGGAATCAGTCACTTTTTAAAGCACATATGCGACTACAGACACCTTTGGGGTGGGTTTTTGAGTTTTTTAATGTATCATGTTCTTCTATGCGTTGTTGTCAACAAGCCGGAAGCCTCATATCCTTGACTTTGATACATTCCCTGGTTCGTGGCAACTGTCGTTTTAGAGCACTTGGCAGAACGAAGAAATGAAGAGAATAACACGTATTGATAGACCGCGAGAATGAAAAGCTACACGCGGCTCAAAGAAAAACATCAAAATTAAAAATCAAATATGGCGGGACAGAGGTTTGAGGACTGGACATGCTGCGTAGATCAATCAGGGCACTTGAACGGCTGGATCCACATTGGGGTTGGCGCTACATGTGCCTGTTTCGACCATTGTTCGAGAAGCTTGAGCTGATCAAACCAGCCATTCGCATTTACCTTCAACCTTACTACTGATCGAAAACAAATCGCCTAGCTTGGCACCTCTACCACTACAAGCAGAAGACGGTTCCGTCATTAACCACAGGCCACCGGGTAGCCCTCCGATGTATTGACTGATGCGCCTAGCTTGCGTTTCGCGAGTCTCAAGGCGGCGATCTCGTCTTGCCCGAGCTTGGCAGCAACTATCTCGCCAGCCTTAACAACCGAAGGAACTTCCTCGCCCGTCATGTCGACCCCGACTCCCATGAAGCACGGCGTTTCCCAACAAGGACGCACGCCCTCACAGCTCGCAGCCGCGACACCTCCAGTCTCGACACCCTTCTCCAACCCTGCCCAAGCAGCCTTCTCCCCCCACGGCCCACGGTCCTCCCCCCAGCATGTTAAGAAATCCCCGGCCACGATCCTGGGCAACATGCCTCCGGGCGCCTTGAACTTCGATAGTCCCTCGACGTTGGCAGCATTTGGCGGCCAGGCGTTTACCGACCACGAGTTTGAGCAGCAGAAGCAGCGCTTCGAGCAGCAAAACCAGCAAGAACGCGCGTTCGCATCCGAGGCAGACAAACTCAAACGATTAGAAGACATCCTGAGTGTTCTCAATGTCAGTACAAACCACCAAGAAGAGTGACCTCTCCCACAAACGACAAGACGCTAACAATTTGTAGAAGAAGAAGGGCCTGGTTAGCGAGGTCGGATTGGAGCGTCTCGCCGAGCGGAACGGGTTCGATTGCCTGAAAGAAGACACAATAGTTTCAGGAGGCCGAAAGCTGAAAACACTGGTCATAGCAGGGTCCAGCACTCAGATTGACATCGTTTTGGACAACAACATCGTTCAGCATGTCACTCTCGCCTTTCCCGGGCTGCCAGAGCCCACGGCACGGCTTATGGAGCCGGCGAGCCAGATCCTTCTCCGGGACTTGAAGCTGCGGCCGAAACAGAGCCCATTGACCAAGGAGCTGGATAAATTCGCATCAAATTTGGAGAGATTGGCAAAGCTTGATCAGCTCAGTATTGTGGAGGCTGGCTTCATCTGCCACGAGGCTCTGACAGGCATCTATAAAAGTCTACAGAGGCTTCACGAATGGGACATATCGAAACTCCGAGAGCAGCCTTTATATTCTGGAAAGCCGCAGCAATTTCTGGCATTGCAAGCTATGTGTTCGGGACATGGTGTCCCTCTTTTGCATGCACGAGATCGTGTGGGATTAGCTTTGCAATACTGGAAGGAGCGCCGTTTTCTCCCACCCTCGGACGACAAGACTGCGGCATATGCCAGTGACGAGGAGAAAGTATGGTCTATGGTCATAGAGTGCGCAGCTATGGAAGGCCTTTCTGAGGCCCCAGCCAGGGTTTCGGACGATTGGATCTCCAAGACGATTCTAAAAGGAGGTGTCATGACCACCGACCCCCTGGACATTCACTCTTTGGACTGGCAGGAACCTGATACGGTGGCCCTACCTCCGCCCGAAGAAGGAAAGAAGGATAAAGGCGTGGACATACTTCAGCCAGATATGATGACCACCAAGCGAGTGCCCCAGGTCAAGTTTACGGCGACGTTTGACCCCCCGGTCATTCTCACCCACAGCGACTGGCTTCGACTGTACGAGTTTGTCAATATCGAGGCGCCGACGCAATTTTCCTTCCCACCTACTTTTGATGTGATGCACTTCCCTATACCCCCAGGATCGACTCACGACCCTAGCGAACTGCGTACCATTACGCGACAGAGGCGGGTCCGCGTCTTTGACAAGGACGGCAAGGAGCATGAAAAGACACACAAGAACACCCTATTCAATTATAAGCGAATTTATGGTATGTCGATTCAAGAGCTAAACTTTGCCCACCCAAAGCAGCTTCTCGCCATGCTGCCACTCCTAAGACAATACGCCTTTCTTTCTATTCTGCTGGAGAATAGCTTCGGCAGCAAGACTCAGAATTATGAAGCGAACGGTTCCCAAGAGAATCAGGATCTTGGAGCGGACCAGATCAAGAGCACCAAGACAGAGGACGCTGAACTGGATATGTTCCTTCAACAATCTCGTGAGAATGGTGCCAAAGAGCCCCAATCAGCTACGGAACCTGAGGAAGGGGAAACCAATATGGATGTCATCCTCTGGGTCCATCCCACTCCACGTTTGAAGGTCGTCTTCCCTTTTAGATCGGCAACAGCAAATGTTGAGATGAATATTCTTCAGAATGGCATTGTGGAAATTACTAATGATAATATCCTTACCCCCGAGGGCCAGGACAACGAAGAGACTCGAAAAGATAAGGGAAAGGCACTTACGAGAGCAGATCTGGGCAAGACTCTCGAGTACCTGGAGGATCTGTGCAAGTGGACAGAATGGATTCGCACCAGGCTATCCTGAATCAACCTCTCGGAGAGGCTTAGAGTGCAACCGGCATGTATTGATACCCCCCGCTAATACCAAAATATGAAGACTGCAATGTCTCTGTTCCCGAGTCAGCTCCCTTCCGTCCCATCGGTAATTTTTATTGTGTGCTCCTTACACGGTGCTTTCCCGCCGCGGGTTCTGGGTGGCTTGCGCCCACCTGCAGCAGCCGGGCGGGGATCGACATATCGTCTGTCGACTTTGGTCGTATTCAAATCGTAATGTCTCAGGCCCAAGATCCAATAACCTGTCAATACCACCGTCGGGCCCGATCCGACGCCGCAGACCAAAGACACTGCGGCTGCAAGGACCCTCCCTCCCCGTCTGCGCCCATCCACATCCATCAATCGCTGATCAACACCCACTGGGCACCATCATCACCATTTACGTCGTGCATTTCTTCAGCCTGTCCCCATGTCGTAGCGTGATTCGCCATGTGAGAACAGAGCCTGGCCTCTCCCGCCCCCAAGCGTTCCGTGCTAATCTGCCTCGTGCCATGCGCCGTTCGGTACTGCTTGTGCCCCCCGCGGGTGCCTGCTCCGTGCAACCCAACCACGTATTCGAAGGAGATTTAAGAGGCTCGCACATGTTGCGCGTAACACAAAGGGCCCCGAGCCTCTCGCCCTCTTATCCAAGCCTTCTGTCGATTTTCATCTCTCTCTTCTACCTATAATGAGAGTCTTGACATCCCAACATTTGGGAACCAACATCAATCGGTTTTTTGCTTTTTCCTGTTTTCGACTCACAAGCGCCGTCCTTTCTTCAACTCTGAAACCAGTCTCCCCACACATACACACCACCAACCCCAGAGTGTCAGGATGCTCAAGAAGCCATATCCAACCTCCTCTCCCCTCAGGACCACACAGTCTACAGACAACATGCCGCCGGCCGGTCCTCACACATCGACTCCTCCTCCACCGCACCCACAGCAGCAGCGTCAACTAAGACGCAGCCTGCGCACCGTACCCTCCGATATGTTCTCGCCCGTCTCCTCAGGCCCTTCCTCCCCGCCGCCGCCGGTACCACGCCGTCCAAGCAGCGCCAACCCCGTCCGCGAAGAGCAGCAGCATTACCCCCCGTCCTCTTCCACTGCCTCCTCGTCAGCAAACGACGACGACGACGGACCCCACAGAGCCTCCCTCTCCGTCCAGCCCCTCGCCGTCTCGCGGCCTCGCCCGGACTCCACGATCCTCCCCGGCTCGGACGGGGGCGACCCCTTCCTCCTGGACCCGCGACACTTCACCGCCGTCGTCCGCCGCGGCGACACCGTCCAGTACTGGCTGCCCGTCGAGCTGGTCATCAGGGGCCAGCCGGGGCGGAGGTGCGTTCCGGAGGGTCACTGGGAGCGCCTCGTGGACCTGGCCGAGGACGTGAGCGTCTGCGCCAGCACCGGCGGGAATGTGCAGCTCGTGACCGCCTGGTGCCATGCCAGGGAGCTAGCTAGGAACGGGGAGCATGCGAACTACGAGACTGCTCGGGACTGAGATGTTTACCTTGGCAATGGTGGCCTATCTGTGGACGCTCATTGCCAACGAGAGAATCGAATGGCCTGTAAGAGCCATGTAGGAAATAAGTCTGGGATAAGAATGTTTTTTTTTTTGGTCGAGATCGATGGGCGATACGGATTCGGCGGTTCACAATGGCTAAGTAGTCCAAATGTAGACATATAATTAACTTCAATTCGAAATCTAAAGAGGGACAGCCGGCCTTTTAAATCCAGGTGAAATAAAAAAGAGACAGTTCATAATCCAGTGGGGCGCATCTATATTCTCAATTCTGTTCCCAGCCTAAACTACACCAAACCGCGTTGGGCTCTTCTCCTTCAAGACAGAATCCAAAGCCACCTAGATGGAGAACAAGTAGACATAAGAAAATTCTCCGAACATTAAGTAATTTGAAACATGACGCTGCTGTATAAAGCACTCAGGACGTCCAAAACCTGGTATCGATCGTCTACAGGAAGAAAGCGAGGGCAATACCCATGGCACCGACCAGGCTGACACCAACCTTGGCAGCACCGGCCTTGACGGCGCTGGTGGTGACAGGAGAGGTGCTGACGGGAGCAGTGGCCTGGTTGACGGCGCTGGTAACGACACCACCGGAAGAGCCGGCAGCCTTGGAGGTAGCGGCAGAGCCGGACTGGACAGCCTGGCTCTGAGCACCGCTCTGGGCGCCACCGGTGGGCTGGCTCTGGCCGCCGTTGGACTGACCGGGCACGAGGGTGACGGTGGCGGGGGCGCTGGCAACGCCAGTCTTGGTCTTGTCCTGCTGCTCGCAGACGGGGCAGTAGGTCTTGGTGACAACGGACTGGGTGGGGACACCGTTGGAGACTCCAGTGGTGGTGTAGGTGGTGGTGAAGGTCTCACGCTTGGCAGTGCCAGTGGTGGTGGCAGAGACGGGGCAGACGGTGGTGTACCAGGGGACGGTCTCAGTGATGGTCCAGCTTCCCTTGCCGTTGGCGGGGCAGTTGACGACGGTAGGAGGGCACTGGGTAACGGTGCGGACCTGGGTCTTGTAGACGGTGGAGGTGGTGACAGGGACAGCAGGGCAGACAGTGGTGTACAGATCAACAGTCTCAGTGACAACATAAGGACCGTTACCGGCAGGGCAGTTGGTGACAGTAGGAGGGCACTGGGTGACAGTGCGGACCTGGGTCGTCCTGACAGTGGAGGTGGTCATAGGAATGTCGCCGGAGCCAGTGCTCGTGACACCGGCACCAGTCTGCTGGCCGTTTCCGCCAGTAGGGTTGGCATTGCCGCCGGTCTGCTGGCCGTTACCACCAGTGGGGTTGACACTGGCACCGGTCTGCTGGCCGTTGCCACCAGCGGTCGAGGAAGTAGAAGCGTTGCCATTGCCGCCAGCAGTAGAGGTAGCAGAGGCGTTGCCGTTACCACCAGCAGTGGAGGTAGAAGCATTGCCGTTACCACCAGCAGTGGAAGAGGCAGCACCGGTGTTGGTGGACTGGCCAGCGGTGTTGGTACCTGTAGCACTGGCACCAGGGGTGGTGGTGGCAGAAGCGTTGCCTCCGGGAGTGGTGGTGCCAGAAACACCAGGAGTGAAAGGACCGGTGGTGGAGGCATCGGGGGTGCTGGTGTCAGACTCAATGATGGTGGGCAGAGGAGTGAAGTCTGAATCTGTGGCAGAAGGAGTGACCTCGGGAGTGGTGGTTCCAGAAGCTCCAGGAGTGGTGGTGCCCGAAGCGTTGCCTCCGGGGGTAGTGGTGCCGGAGGCGCTGGCGCCAGGGGTTGTGGTGGCAGAAGCATTGCCTCCAGGGGTGGTGGTGCCGGAAGCTCCAGGAGTGAAAGGACCGGTGGTGGAGGCATCGGGGGTGCTGGTGTCAGACTCAATGATGGTGGGCAGAGGAGTGAAGTCTGAATCTGTGGCAGAAGGAGTGACCTCGGGAGTGGTGGTTCCAGAAGCTCCAGGAGTGGTGGTACCCGAGACACCGGGAGTGCCGGTGGCGGAGGGAGTGGCTCCAGGAGTAGACACATCTGAGGCCGAAGGAGTAGCTCCGGGTGTGGAAACATCAGAGGCATCGGGAGTGCTGGAAGCAGAAGGAGTAGCTCCGGGGGTAGAGACATCGGATGCCGAGGGAGTAGCTCCTGGAGTAGAAACATCTGAAGCATCGGGAGTGCTGGAGGCAGAAGGAGTAGCTCCAGGAGTAGAAACGTCAGATGCGGAAGGAGTAGCTCCAGGAGTAGAGACATCCGAAGCATCAGGAGTGCTAGAAGCAGAAGCAGAAGGCGTAGCTCCAGGAGTAGAAACATCAGATGCCGAGGGAGTAGCTCCGGGGGTGGAAATGTCCGAGGCATCGGGAGTGCTGGAAGCAGAGGGAGTACCAGCGGGGGTGCTGGAGGCAGAGGCACCAGGCGTGGTGGAGGCCGGGGGAGTGCTGCCAGGTGTGCTCACATCATCATCATCGCACTCATCATCGGGAAGGGGAGTGCTGGTGGCGCTAGGAGTGGCAGTTCCGCTGGGAGTAGCTGTACCGGTGGGAGGAGCAGTTCCGCTGGGAGTGCTGGCAGGGACACTGGGGGTGCTGTCTGGGGTGCTGACGGGAGTGCTGAGATCATCGTCGTCGCAAAAGTCGAGATCATCATCGTCGGGAATTGGCGTGACAATTGAGCTGGCAGCGGCGGTGGTGGTGCTGATGATAGCAACGGAAGAGGTGTCGATGCCACGCATCTCAAACTTGACGGCCGAAGCACTGCTGGACAAAGCCAGGGCCACAGCCGTGACCTTGAGCAAGGACGGGGCCATTTTGTGTGCAAGAGAGTGTGGTTGTGTATTAATTATAAGTTTGTATGAGCGAGTGTATTGACGATTGCTACGTCAGTAGTAAGTGAGCAACGGCTCTGTCGACGAGGACTGAAGTGCTTGAGGATGATATCCGCGTGGGGAAGGAAGGAGGAAAGAAACATGAGAGACGCGGGCAGTTCTCGCTTTTGAGAGTGGCCGTGACTGCGAGCGCAGAGCATCCATCCAAGGTATGGAGCCATGCCCATCTCCGCCGATGAGACTATTGAAGATGGCTTCAACGAAGCCCCCACTAGAGCTGCAGGAGGTCGCTGGCTCAGAACTTCGTCATTGCTAATAGGCACACCCTTGCAAGTGGGTGTGGTCGAGATCGATGCCCATGCTGGCTCGGAACGACCCAATGGGAATGGTCGCCAGGCCGGTGAGTCTTGCCCGATCTTTCTGGCCAGGGGTGTATCCAGACTCTCTATCTGCCCTTGGCGGTCAGCCTGGCGTCTGTGACCGTTGTTTATGTCGACCTAGCTCCACGGCTGAGGTCGCTTCCTCTTCCTAGTGTGAGCGTGGTGGTGTGAGGCTAATGCAGGAACGTCAGTGCACCGTCTGCATTACCCGTAGGCCTTTTCCCTTCACACAGCTGATAAGCCACCTGGGCGAGAGTCATGGCCTTGTTCATCTCATTGTTTGACGGCTGGTTTTTGCAGGGTGTGTGCATAGCCCTGTGTAAGATTGCTCTAGTCCGTAACGGTGATTTCTGATGACAGGAAATCATCTAGGCTGTTTGCTGGTGTAAGTTCAATATATCGGTCAACAATTGCCTCGAGATGGGTTGGATCCAGCATATGGATTTCTCGCTCTCATCTCTGATATCGGGGTAGTTCTGTTAGGTTTCTCCCGTTGTTCCGATCATGTCTTGGCCCATCTGGATCATGTAATTGGCTCCAAGGTCTTGTCTTGCTCATCGTCTCGCAGCAAACACAACACACGTGTTGTTGCTACCGATTGTCCATGCTAACATGGACACGGACCCCACCTAGTTTCGAGGTTTTCACGACCAGAGCAGTGGTTAGCAAGGATGTGAGCCAATCGGACCGCAGCTTGTCTCCGCCCAGTGGAAGATAGCCTCTTTTGCCATGCAGCTAAGTCGTAAGCAGGCACCAGCAGCGCGGTAACCAGCTTGCCAGCTTCCTCGTTCAGTATGAGGCAGACAATAAAGTCGCTCCCAGTGTGCTTCTTGGCCACCGGAGTTCCCAGATGATGGGTGCCAAAATCTCTCTCGGCCAGGCGAACCGAAAACGTGCGCGGCTAGGATGCCGATCAATACCACATCGATAAGACTTTGGCAACGATCGTGATCTTGGTAAGCGGAGATAGCATTTTTCGCACCGGGAGCACAGGAGCTCCAGCAGACTCAGCTCAGCGGCTGACAACACAGCCGCGATCAGAGCTGGCAGCGGAGCTTCGTCGCGGCCGCCCATTGTGTCCGCTGCAGGGCCGTTGACAAAGGCGAAAGGGGGCGCAGAGTCAGGCCGGGAAGGCTTTCGTGGATGTGCCCGTCGATGGAGCCGATGGGCCTCCAGCAGTTTCAAAAAACAGGTTATCGAAAGCCACGACCCGTTGTGGCGCCCTTCACGGCTGCGTGGTGGAAGTTAAGTTAAATTGGTGGCTGAAAAGATGCACTGCGGTTGGCCCATCGCGGGCGGGTGCCTGCCAAGACCTTAGGGCTAGCGCCAGGGCCAATGGATGGCGCTCATGCCGCCACACCCTGCTCCACAGCGCACCTGCACGTCGAGGCAACTGCAGCCTTCAGGGGAGGTGCAGCTGGGAGCTGGCATCGATAGTACGCCAGGCTATTCGGCACCTGCGAAGCAATATTGCCCAGATGGCTGGCGGTTATTGCTCAGGCAAATGCTAGCTGCTTTCTGCTCGTCTCCAGCATAATATCAGTTGCATAAAGATGTCCATCCCTCCCCTCCAGTGCCCACCGTACTTCTCTCTCGTGGCCGGGCACCAGCATCGTCTCCTGAGCGTTTGTTCCGCACCTCCCGTGCTATCATTCATTTCCCTCCCTGAGCCTGCCACTGTGGACGCTATGCCCTCTACCAGCTAGAGCATGGCCGATCGGGAGCCGGCAAGCATGGCCGCATCAAGTTATGAGCTGCGATGGTGGTCACTGATAACCCCTGAAGCCCACTGATCATCTCGCCCCCACCCGTGCAAGCACGCACATAAATCGCACTGCAAAAGCTTGGTGCGGCGATTATCTGTGTTTCTCAGCCTGGGCCTCCGGGAGTCAGCCAGGGGGCCCTTGACCTCGCTTGTTCTTGGCTTCTCACTGCCGAGCAGAGTGGCGAGCACTGACCGGTCTAGGACGTTCTACACAACCACGCACGCTGATTTGAGTCACTTCCGGGTTTTTCTTCTGCTTTCGTCCCGGGTCCGTGGCTGGAGCCTAGATCTGGGCTAGCATGATTGATTTTCACTCGCCCTCACCCAGTTGTGCAATCGATGCCCATCAAATCTCCACATTGTAAGCCTAACCATCCAGCCTTCCGCCCAGCTGGAAGCCGCGGACGACGCCACTGTCAGATTGTCAGGGGACAAGATGTAGTAGTTGAGATAAACAAAATTTTGTTTTCAAAGTAGCGTTTCGCGTATGTAGGTAAGCCGTGCGTGTAATTGATGCCCTGCCCTAAGTGAAATGAGATTCAGCCGTTCAGGATGCTACTTGCGCCATCGGGTCCTCTCTGCCTGCAGGCAACACGTCGAAACTCGGACGACTTGTGTGTGTGACATTCTGAGGGCTGTTCCTGCGGCCGTTCCTGCAGCTGTACCTGCAGCAGTCACAGCGAGGCGTTCCGACGACATTGCGTCGGCGTGCTGCAAGGCCCCTTTAATGATTACTGTGGCTGACGGCCAACCGCCGCCGTTCACGCTCCTTTCCCAACTATTGAGCGAGCTAAGGTGCATTTGCTCCCCCTTGCCCATCCTAGGTCACGGCTCGCCTGCCAGTCTGCACGCTGAGCGTCCTTTTCACTTCACCGTAAGGCAGATTGCGTCCAGTGCCTCCTTTCCCGAAGGAGGAAATGTGATGGCTTTGTCCTCTTTTGTCTAATAATAGTATTACATGTGAGCGCTGTATCGTTTGGCGAACCTCGTAACCAAGATAGTGGCGTTTGCAGTGCATTATTGGTGGTACAGAGGAAAGGGGCCCGCGGCGACCTTGGGTCCTCCTGGGCTCCTAGTCTCTTCTTCCCTCGAATTGGGAGTCAACCGGATCCTCGCCTTCCCACTCGTTGATCTTTCCTTTCGTGGGCGGCTTGTCACTGTCCTTGTACAGGACGACAAAGTCGCGGATCGCTGAAGCTGCCGGTCTCTCGGCCTTGCCCTCGAGCGTGGCCCGCCGGACGCGAACCCACGTATGCTTGTCCAGCAGTATGTAGACAAACCCCCTGCGGTCCAGAGCGATAAGCTTCCTGAGGCGCTGCTCCCCCTCGCCCTCCCGCCGAGTGACGACCTCTATGGTCGCCCTGAGGGGGCTCACTTCCTCAGCCGGCACCTCCATCACGTCATGGAAGATGAGCCGCCGGATCCATACCTCCCCCTTTACCGATGTGGCAACCATGGTCCAGATGGCCTGTGATATCTGGACGCGCCGTCTCCAGTCCTCAGCCGTCCAGCTTAGCCAGTCGATCTGCGTGTCCGCCTTGGTAATCTTGGGTGCGTGCTGCAGCGGCTGTCCCTCCAGCTCCTTCGCTTTCCACCCGGCATCCACGTAGGGCGGGACGTGGACGCCATCTCTCAGCCCTTGGACTAGTAGATCCGCGCCCTCCATTGCCAATTTGCGATTCACACGCGACAGCGTCGGGTGTTGTATGATTCTCATACCCGGCGACGGGGTTTGAGAAAGCACGGTGCCGTGATCAATCTTTTCTTCATCCAGCGTCTGGAGTGACGCCCCCATGAACTGGTCTCCCCGCAGCACAGCATGATGAATGGGGGCCGGCCCACGAAGACTAATTGTTGTGTCAGTGATGTGATGAACTTACACCGTGCAGGAAACATTATGGAGTGACCACGTACTCTGGGAGGAATGAGGGATGGACATTTAACCCGCCGTATTTGACACTTCTCAGTATCCTCCTGGGAACGAACAGCCCAAAAGAAACGACCACAATCAGATTGATTGATTTGGGTGGCTGCGTGACATTAGCTTCTGCGCGTTTCCCGACAATAATCAAAAGGCTGTTTGTAGGTCCTGGTCTCCTTACCTCCCAGTTGGTAAATGTGTTTATTGAATATGTTGAGAGCCCCAACCCCTCCGCCGCTCTCATCATCGGTGCTACACACTAATTAGAACTGAACCTAATAAAGAAGATCTGGACATCTCTATAACAAGGTACACGCTGACTTACTGTCGATCTTCAACTTCCGTCCTCTCCCACTTGGTTTCGGGGGAAGCAGCACACACTCAATGCTCTCAACGAGCCCGTTGTTGTATATCATCTCCTCATGAAGCGCATGCAGAGACTCGGTGCTGACGTTGTCCGTACCGCAAAACAGGATGCGTAACGGTTCTGACATCTTCCCGCTGGTGGTCCTGTACAGGCTGGGTTCATGCTGGCTTTTCCACCTCCTTTGCGCAGCCCCCTGCCTCGCCAGCGCGAAGGTCGATCTACCGAGTGAACGAAGCATCTCTGCAGATCATTGATATGATTGACGCAGAAATAAATAAAGAAGAGTGGCCCGTTCTCGCGACGTGCCGTAATTGACGATGCTTCTGGGGCTGCAGCCTTTTTCCCTTAAGAGTGGTGACACGGTGAGAATCGCGTTTAGTGCATTGACGGTTATATGCATATTTCAACTCCAACGATGCGCAAGTCGTTGATGTGCCATAAACAGGATATTTTCATCATTATCTAATTAAAAATGTACATTTATTCTATCGTCCAATCGCAAGCTACTGTCCAAGTGATATCATCCAGCTTCACGTCCCAAAAGGGTTGCCAAACAATAGCTACACTGCCCTGTGTAACAATGGGTTTCCTCCCAAGATCCACCACTCTGCCCTCGCCCGCGAGAATGAAGTTCTGTTGTTCCTGCGGCTCGCCAGGTTTGGTTCCCCGAACAAGGTTCATGGCGGTACCGGGACGCAATTCGTCCACCCTGATGCGAAATGTAGACTCGACGTTGCCGTCCTTCCCCTCCCCCTCCCGTACCTCTGAAAGCCACCCTTGCAGCCCTGCAGCCAATCCCCCGGGGACATATTTCTGTCCGCGACGTCGTGGCGAAAAAAAGTCGGGCAGTTCCGCGATTGGCACGTCGTCTTCGAGAGGCTTGAAGCGAGGGGGTGCTCGGAATGTGGGTTGCTGAGGGCCGTTGCTCTGCATCGCCGTCTCTAGATCAGATAGGTCGGGGCTGCCCTCACTTCCACGGTCCCCAGCGAAGTCGGACCGCGGGGAGTTATCCTCAATGACCTGTTGGAGTGTCTCCTGGAAAAGATCCTCACCCAGTTGATCGCTCGCTTGGGGACTAGACGTAGGGAGGGGTGAGATGGAGATTTTGCGCCTCTTGGCCAAAGGTGAAGAGGGCATGGGTTCCTCCAAGTCTCCATCAATGGAATTATAACGCCATGAGCTTTGCGCCACTTCGTCCTGGGATAGTTCGTGAACCAGAGAGTCTGAAGGTATCACGGACTCAACCTCAATCGATTCCTCCAGGGACATACACCCTCGAGTCCGCCGAGGGAGCTCCTCATGGGTCACCTCCAACTCTCCGAGACTCTCATGGTCATCATCTCCGGAAGAAGACTCCGGGCCGGAAAATCCACCCAGATCATTCTCATCCACATCCTCAATACTCCTCGATGCCTGGGTTGCCCTTGTGCCCGAGGAGGCGAATCGAGGCGTGGGCTGGAACCTTGGTGCCTGAGACGACTGGGTTGAGCGCTTAGGCAGGAGGAATTTGCTCGTTGCTGGTGTCTATCGCGGAGCGTCAATTTCTCTCTTCAGAGGACTCCGCGTGGATTGTACCCTCGCGGGACTGCTACTCTATGTAGGGTAGCGACATGGTTGGAGTTGCCTTACTCGCGGTGTTGAACTCATAGCGTCATGGACTGTGGGCTGCACGCATTGCCCAAAAGGCTTGACTTACCAGAACGCACGGCAGGGGGAGGCACAGGGAGATAAAGTTGCCTGGTCTCATTATCAAACCGAATGTGCGACGGCCATTCTTGTTGAAAATGTACATATGTTCAAAAGAGGTCGTGCAATCCAACCAGCACAAAGAGGGTGAAACCTGAAGGTAAGACGCTCTTGTGCTTAACTAACTCTAGGTATTCTGGTGGGGCAGGTCATGGCACACGAGCCGTCGTAATACAAACAAAAGTGTCAAGCGGGCACATTTCGCACAGGTCCAAAGTGTTTGTTTCGTTACTGCTACAATTCCTCTGTAGTGACGGAAAATAAAAATATTCACAATTCAAGTTGGAATTTTCTTCTTCATATAACCACTATTAAACTACTCCTGGCTTGCGCTCTCCCAACCTCCCAACCATCATCCTCTCCTAGCTGGCCACCTCACAAGGCTGTTAAATGATTTCATGTTTTCTTTCGTAGGCGTACATAAGGTCGTCCCAAGACCTCTTCTCATAGTGCCTCGCAGTGCAGAAAGACCGCGGAATAAGATATCTCAACACCAACGCCGTACTGGGCATCTTGTCTGTGCCCTCTTTTAACTCTTTACCCCTAGCCCAGTATCATGCTGAAAAGTATGCGCCGTTTTGACAGACGAGAAATTAACGAAAAGAAACGAAGCATTATAAGAGAATGTCCCACAATCATAGTACACTGTATTCCTCCCCGTGAAACAGGCCAAAGTTGACCACAAATACGAGCTGATAACGCGATGCCAGTTGATGGCCGAAGTGATCCACTACATTCCCATGGAAACGGGCGTCGAAGTACAACCTGGTTTGTGGTAGATGCCGAGGCCTGCAACTGTCATGAAATTCGAAAAAAATGCGAGAAATGCAGATATATTGACAGAAGCGCCTCCCGATTCTAGTACAAGGGTGGAAGAAAGTTTAGCCATAAGCAAGTTCAAAGCCTGAAGCATGGCCTGGTTTTGTGGGTTCAGAATCTTTGACAGGGTGCAGCATGATTGAGGGGAGGCATGGGCGGCCATGCTTCCTCTCCCACTGGGCACCACCGATGTTGGTGTCGGTCCAGCCCATCCAGTTGTTGTAAAGGCGATTGGGTGGTTCTGCACGATAATACCAAGTGACGCCCTGATACCGTCGCTCGCGTCCCCAGCCCATGGGACTGCCGTATCCACCGCTCTCGCCATGGACGCCGGGGTTGAACCACTTGTTGACAAACTTGCCGTCCCACTCTCTATCCATGAATACAGGGTGAGGAGCAAAGACTGCCTTGAAACCATGCAGGAGTGCCACGGTTTGAGGGGTCATCTCAGAAGCCACGTGGTTGCCGCGCATGTTCTCCACGTGCATGACATCTAACAAGCGCTTGGAGACTCGAGACTGCGTAACAATAGTGGTACGGCGAGGAACATCTTCTGAATGATGTGTCTCATCATTGTAACCCCAGACATGGGACCCGATGATCCAGTTACTGTGAATAGGGTTGAAGATTGGCCCGACGGTAATCATGTCAGCTTCCTCTCCAACACCCCATGTGTAGTCATCCTCTTCGGGGGTCTTGGTGGGTGGTTTCGGGCCGACAGGGTTAATAAATGGTAGGTCGGGGGCGCCCCATACAGTGCCGGTCTTGTGGCGAGATTCGACGTCCTTGCGGAACGTCGTGTCGTAATCACCATGGTACTCTGGGACATACCAGCGCTCGCTTCTTTCCCATAAGCCTCTACGTGGCTGTTTGCGTGCGAAACCAGACAGTTTCTCGAGGAGATCATAGTGATGCCCGGTGTAGCGAAAGTCCATCTCCCAATTCCAAATGAAGTCGAACTCAGGATGGTCGTGGCTGAACTTTTGGACTGAAAGCCACTGAGCTGTGTGGACGGTCCTTTCGTTTTCGTCCTTGAGTTCGGTGTAAATGTCCCAAACGACCTCGTCGTTCCAGAGAACGGTGATGCCGTGGAATTCATCAGGGATGTTTTCACGGATGACCCTCTGGTGCGTCTCAGAATCGTCGAAGATTCGCAGCTCGCGGTCCTTGACATGGACGAGGAGGAAAACTTCATACTCTCCTCCAGACTTCAGCGACAGTTCGTTGATCATAGCACGAATCACCTGTTTGTCATTCTCGGTGTATTTTTTCCCAGTATACGACCGAAGTAGAATCGCTGTGCGGTTTTCCTTGACGAAGTCGCTGCTGTCGGACCGAATCTCGGGATAGGCCTCCTCAGTAAACCGTGTCTTGATTTTGGGAGCACCATTTAGTCCATGAGTTACAGTATCGTCTGGTTTGGATGTCTCGGAGTAAGCTTCGAGATATGGGTTCTTGCGACTCTTCTTGAGATCGAAACGTCTTGCGTTCTTGTGAACACATTTTCGCTGGAGGTCACCCCAATTGACATTGTCCCAGTTGATGGGCGCGAGCTCACCACCGGGGTTCTTCTTCTTTTGTTGTACATAGCCATATTGGCCTAGACGTGTTTCCCGCTCCCAGCAGAGATTGGCATCCATGTCCAAGACGTCGTAGCTTCCAAATTTAGGGGATGGGAATCGGCTGGGACGTCCCTTGAAGACCATGACATCTTCGACAAACTCTCCAGTGGCGCCGATGCAGGGGACGTAAGGCGCATGGTTGGCGGTCTTCCATGTGTCACTGTTGTAGTCGGGAAATGGGTTAAAGCGAACTGGCTTGTCCTCAGTGAACTGCAGATGAACGTTGGGGTCTTCCCTCAATTGTTGTGCGTGCTTCGCAGTTCGGTTATCCTTGTAGTCAAGAGTTTTGACCGTGTTGCCGTAGATCAGGTTCGACGATGGTGAGCTAGCAATATATAGGTCAGTTTCATGATAGTCCAGTCTCGATAATTTGATCGGGAAATACTCACTCTGCGGTGATTCGGTAAGAATAGCGCCATAATTTCCTCATGTCTTTTTCAGCTAGAAGCCTGCTAATGGTGCCCGCATCTCGCTCCTTCCCATCGGTCTCGTATCCTGGTTCGACATCGTCATAGTCTTCCCTATCATCTGCTTCCTTCCAATCCCTGATATCTTCAATGTCAACATCCCATTTGTTCTTGACTTCAGGGACATCGAAGAACCCGGCACCCGGTGGCTTGTTTTGGTCGACAAAACTGTCGGGCTGTTCAACGTGATTGTCGACCTTATCGACTTGATTGTCTACAGGCTTATTGTTGGCATTGTCGTTCGATTCGGGGTTCTGAAGATGCGGTACAGGGTGGAAGTGAGGCGCCGATGACGAGAAAAGGAAAAAATAGCCGGCGGAGACCAAGAACAGAGCGACGAGCAATGTTCTCGGTCGCGCCCGGGCCAACAGACGGCGTGGCTGCGTATTTAACATTTTGTCCATCCCACGCAGGCTCGAGGGAGGATGGTGATATGTGGTAAAGCCTTGCTGAGTGTGGCCAACCCGAGAGGTCAGGCCTGAATCCGAGCTTGATATGAACAGTCAAGATCAACCCGCGTGACGAGATTTATCGAAAGCCTCAATGGTGCATGATTTGAGTATAGACAGGACTGCCAGATATATGATAGTACAGTAGCGACAGTGGCAGAATTGAACAGCGCCCAGACAAGAAAAGTAATGCGCGGGTCTGTCAGGGAGGGGTCGGGAGTCGAAGCTGTCTCTGCTCGTTTGGATCGGTTCGCGGCGCAGGGGTAAAATTAGGACACCGTTCCGGGTTGGAATAGAAATGGATAAAAGAGTGACACGACTTCTGTCAAAGAAGTCTCAAGTAGAGCGATACTGGAGGCGATCACTGCGCAGCTGCGTCCAACTTGCGAACGAAGCGGGAGTAACTCGAGAGATGCCACCTTGTGGGATGGGGGTTGTAGGAGGCGGAAGAGATACAGGAGGTGAGAGAAAACGATGATGATTTGGAGGTTACGATTATTTAGTCTCTTGGCACTTTTGCTCGTGCCAATGGCCCAATACCACAGTATTACCGCCTACCTTAAGGGGGTAATGTGGCAGGTACAGTTGGCCACAGTAAATTCCCAGGGGGTGGGGGTCCTGCGGGTACTACATATCCATCCATTAATATCAGGTAGGGGGAAATGCCGGAAGCGAGGCCAATCCCTCCAGACTGGCAAACTGGGAGCCATCCAGGAATCAAAGCTGACGGGAATTTCCCATACTTTTCTGGTGCGTGGGTGGGACTAGACTCCATCGCAATCCTCCACGTTGAATTACTATGTACCATCTCCATGCCGCGAGAGAGGCTTCTTGAGAAGACTTCCTCAGCGCGCTCCCCCTAATACGATCGTCATCCAGGAGAACTGGCTGCGCTAGTGGTGGGGCTTTGATAGGAGACAGCGAAACATGAGGTGGATAAAAAGAGGAGGAAACCTGTGTTCTGCACTGTACCACGGAGTCCACGCGCGTGCTATGTCGATAGTCCCATAATAGGCTGTGTGTATGGATGGTCCCTCAGAGCCGTCAATAACCTTGGGCATTGTGGGTTCAGGTGGTGACCCAGCGTATGATTCCAGAAGTTTCAGGAGTCCGCCAATTGACCATTGGTCCCTGGACATACGTATACCGAGATCCCTAACAATTTTGATACAATCCTGACGCCACGGAAACCCGCTGACAGAGTACGTGTACAGTGGCGTGGAAACGAAGACATGGAATGCCGAATCGATGCCAAAATGACGGTGTCGTTATCTCCAGCATACAGCAATAATGACCACCTTACAATTTGGTACATAGGGGCTGGAGGCATCCGACGGGTCCAGAAGGGTTGTAATTACACAGGTAGTCTATCGATCCCACCGCTAAAACATCCATCCATTTGAGCAGTGGAAGGCAACACAGCGCCTGGAAGCCGGTAGAAGAAACACCAGTTGCCTCGCACAGCAAACCGTTTTTTACGTTCGCCGCCTTTCGCTCTGAAATTAGGTACGTGTAGTTGGGCGTGTTATTTTGCCACCGCCTCGTACCAAGCAGTGTCAATTCTGACCAACATGCTGGATACGAGCGCAGGTGCCAGTACACAACAAGCCTCTTTCGGGACCACCAATGGCATTGTTAGGTGACCGCCACAGCCAGATCACGGGAGTTGGGTCGTATTATGGCCATGCCCCGAGAATAAGCCTCACCCACTGGCAGATTGTCAGCAGTGCCGAGCTACCCAGCAGAGCGAGTCGACGTGAACTTGGTGAGCTCTGGCAACACACCCCTGCTTATCCTTGGACGTCAAATACGAAGATCCATACTCGGTAAGGTAGGTCGTCCGTGAACACAAACATGTCCAGCACTCCACGGCTCCCGTGACATGGAAGATGTGTCCTTCTGAAGCATGCGAAAATTGAAGCTAGGCCTGGCTGCCAGCTGCCGCAGTAGGCGCCGTCGTCCAGTCTACAAGCAATAGCGCCCTGCGAGGCTGTCTGTCTTCTAGCCCCGATTGATGGTCAGCTTTCTAGAAATCGATAGCTCGTGCAGCGCAGTAGGGGATATCAGGGACAAGATTGGCTGGAGTATCCATCTTTTTTTAAAATGATTTCATTAGTATTAGATAGTACTACTCAAATTAACAAATCAGAATATCCAGTCGCTAAAGAAGACGACCAGTTCGTCCATGCATTCGTCCCGGTCCAAGCCTTTCATTGAAGACTGACCGCCATACTCCAGAACTCCTTATTGGTTGATGCTGAGATCGCTCGTCAAAGCATGCCACGAAAGCCCCTCGATTAAAGAAAATAGACCAAGCCAGTAATAAGACATAGAAACGGTTTAAAGATAGAGAAGACAATTGCGATCAAGCATATGATGAGGGGCTGCTTTGGGGGTATAATCAAACAAAAAGGTAACAAAAAGATCGAGTAAAAATGCCAACCATAACTCCACATCGCTCAACATAAGTTGTACAAAAGTGACGGATAAATGATACCAAGAGTGATAGTAAAGCTCGTAAGATGCTGACCATGGAAGCATAGATTATTTCATCATGACATCAAGCCCAGTCTCGTTGAGCGTTTGTTCATGATGGGGGGACCTTGCCCATATGCATTAGGTGAAAGGCCCATACCTGGGCCGGATCGCATCGCAGTTGGAGGACCATATCCAGGGCGGGAGGAGCTGGGTCCAGTTCCGCGCGGGCTGTATGCCGTGTATGCTGCTCCATAAGCAGCGAAACCTGGTCTCTGTTGTGGTTGTGGTGCTTCGTTCGGAGAGCCTAGGGGAGAGGGGCCATGTCTTGATGGCTGCGAGTATGGGTTGTGATTAAGAGGTGGCCTGCCACCGAAGTTCCTGGGTTGAGGAGGCTGGCTTCTGTTTCTGTTCAGAGCATCTTGCTCACAGTATTGCTTCCCGCCTACCTCGAAGTAACCATCCGAAAGCGATCGCCCACAATCGTGACAGCAGAAGCAGCCAATGTGATATTTAGTCGAGACTTCATCCTCGATGTAGTGACCTTCGATGCCTCTGTCACACGTTGCGCAGAGGCTACCGTTGAGCGTGTGGTAGTGTCGCTCACAGTACGGCTTGTCATTGAGCACATAGAATTCGGCAGAAGTGAATGGTTCCGAGCAAGAGGCGCACACGAAACACGCCTTGTGGTACTTCCCCGTCAGCCGGCCATCGGCGGAAGAAATACTCTTGCCTGTGATGGCAAGGTTACATGCTTTGCAGTTGCCCCTAGATCGAGGTGAGGCGAGTGGTTGTTCGGGCGACGTTCCAAATCGAGGACTTTCCGGTGGGAAATAAGAGCCCTGAGGAGATAGTTGAGGATGGGTATTGGAACGAGCTGCTGGGATTGGTGTTGGAATTGGCGGCGTCATGAGGTGGTTCGAAAAGCCTTGGCTTGCATCGTCATGTCGGTAGTTTTGCGAGCTTGGGCTTGGGCCGTCAAGTGGGGATAAGCTACGGGGTGATTTGGATATGGGAGAGGGCGATCGTGGTGCAGCCTTGGTATCGACCTCGAGGCCCTTTGTTTGCATGCTATCCATGGACATTTGCACGTCGCCAATTAGCTTGTCGATATTAGAATCACTCGAGGCTTGGCCCTGAGCCTGGTAGCCTGCTGAACTTGTTCGCGAGCTCGCATAACTGGGTTGACTAAACCCAGAGTAACCTGAGGATGTGGAATCTGAAGGGGTGTGGTAAGGATTGCTGATGCCAAACTCGGCCGCGAGGTCAACAGACGCCAGATTCATAGAAGCGGGTTGAATTAAGCTCTTGCGCGGAGGCGGTTTGCGAGAGGTCACCGGTCCCATAGATGGTTTCCGGCTATGGGCCTCGGTTTGCGCACCCAGCCGGTCATTTCGTGTTCCTGGAGCTGAGGGCGTGCGTGCGGGAGTGTCTGTTGATTTTGAAGCCTTGGGAAAGGTCTCAGAGCGGGTGATGTTACCCAATGGCGGAGGAGTCAGCGCTCCCTCCGTTCTTGCAGGTGGACCAAAGCCATCGTAGGTCGTCTTCATGGGAGATTTCGGCGGCAAGGAAGCATCGTAATGTTCGTCTGAGGAAACCGACGATCTCGATCCATGGCCGCTGTCAGGTCGTTCCAAGTTGATCGAGACCGGCGAGAGGGAATCCTTGGACGTCTTCGGAAATTCAATAAGCGACGGCCTCCGCTCAGTATCGAATGGGCCTGGGGCAATGGTGTTCATTCGCTCGAGGAATCCAGCACTCGGAACACCTGGGCTCGGAATCGGCTCTGTTGTAAAGCCATCTTTCTGGCCGAAGCCCCAGCCCAACGTGGGTGTAGATTTTGCGCTTCCCCAGGTGGAGTTTAGTGCATCATTATGACTCGGCGGGAGTTCCAGACTCTCGCTGGAAGATGGTCGCTCCTGAGAGTCAATTGGAGTGGTATCCAGCGCCCTGGTGGTGGAAGGCGCATATAATTGATCTAATTATGTCTGTAAGCAAATGGCCGGTTCCTTTCCATATACGGCTCTCCCAACTGAAAAGAAAGACGTACTAGCAATGCCAGTGTTCACAGGCAAAGGTTTACGGCCAAGCTTTGTTGGTGGAGCCGGATCAGGTGGGCGACTCATGGTATCGTATTTCTCTAATAATGGTGATGCTTGGCTTCTTGTCAGCATCAAGTTTATAATCGAATCGGACATGTCGATCGGCATACCTTTCTCCGCTGGTTCTGAGGGGCTGCAGATATGTTCCCCCATCATCGATATCTCGACCTGGGCACCGCATTGCGAGCATTTGATGGTCGGCAGTAACACCGACTCCCTGCCCAATGCCGCCATGGTGATGGATCGAAGTCTGAGATTGCTATGCTTGGTTCTGAATCGTCATCGGAATGTTTGTGTGCTAAATTCGGGCTCGCGAACTGGACTGGTTAAAGAGCGACTTCGGGTAGACGTGGTGTGCGATGGGTCTTATTTCTGCTTCGGTAGAGTCCTGTCTCCTTAGACCATTGGAATCCCAGAATATGAATGAATGAAAATGCAAAGAATTAATGCGATCAATGGGAGGCGAGCGATCAAAACCCTTCCTCCTCTCTGCCTCCCCGAGATCCCAATGGACAAAGGCGCAACAACAGGCTCGAAGCTGTATATGTAGGCAGATTGTCGTCAAGGAATACGCTTCATGCTCGGGGTAGGCTGGCAATCGGATCGGCAAGCCAAACACGCAAAACAAAAAAAGGAAAAGGAAGATTAGGTGAAGCCGATGACCTGAAGATCGGACGGCGACATGGGAGAATATGAAGAGGCGGCCAGCAACAACAACCAGGGACTTTGATGTTGTATTATTACTTTGCGAGGTACGTACCACGACATGGAGGCTCGGAGGACCAACTAAGACCTACCTTAGCAGTTAGAAAGACTGGATCTCGGTGCTTCAAGTCACCTTACCTACTAAAGAGGGTTGCTAAGGGGTGGGACCCCTGCGTTTCCCCTGGCGTTCGCATGGGCGTGTAATAGGCGTGTCCCTGGATCTCGACAGGGGTCCCATGCAATCTAGCGGTGGTACGAGGATAAGGTAGGAGGGATATTTGTACGAGCACGTCCCAATCACACGAGCCCATCCAACGAGCCTCCGTGTTGACTTATTATTCATCTGGATGCTTCCCGATGGACTTTGGGCGCGCAGGATGACGAGAGACTGGCCGTGGGCGTGCCACAGCCACGCCTACAGAGGAGACATGCTTCAATAGTATTGGGTTGACGCACAGCCAAGTGGACATGATTGAAAGGGACGTTCGTGTCAAGGGACACCCCACACGATACTAGTAAGTATTTCGCCGCCTGGTGTCTGGCCTGGAGCCCTCCCTTGTGGGCGGAGAGATTGCAGAGCAACATCGTCAAGGCCAATGAGGATGAGGAAGCTTGCATGAGCTGCTCCGTCCAACTGCCATGATCTCAGATATCATCGACCACACTCGAGGCCTCACCTATCCTGGCCTGCTCATCGCTTGCCTTCTAGCCCAGCCGCGCGAGCACTTGAGCGGCTTTGCACAGATGTCGCTTTAGAATGATGACCCCAAGAATATGCCTCCGGAGAAGCTACTGTGAACGTGCATATGAGACCCCTAACCGGACTAAAAGTCTCCTCCATCGCAGGAGCAAGACCTTAGACCGCCACAAACGAGCACAGACAGGGACTGGACGCACCCTTGGCTCGCCCTGGCTGAAGCCCTAGCAAAAGCATGTTGCCTGTCATGCTGCTGTTCGCTGCTGGCCCCTCTTGGATCAAGCATCTAATTAATAACGCTTCTTCATCAAACTCCATGTCCGAATGGGGATGCCCCAGCTCCCATTGCCAGAGACTAGCACACCGGCAATTTTTAGTCACCTCGTCGATGGATCCGACGTCATTTAGAACAACTGGCGGCCTACTTAGGAGCAACTATCTGCACTGCCGTTTGTGCTATGCGGGTTGGCATGCCTCTATGAATGGTCACGCTGCACATGGCAGAGCGCAACTCTCAGGCAAGCCACCAGCGCTGGCCTCGTCTTATCGCTCCCACCATCGTGAATGTGGCCTCGCCGTGGATTGATTGTGGCCAGCGGGGCCTGCTCGCAATGTGTTCAGATGACTGGAGTCTGGCACTGATTCCACCGAATGAAGAGGTGCCCTAATGCCTCCTGCGACATTGTGATACCCCTGCCCGCAACACCACCTTATTCCACATCTACGGAGGGTCCATCCTCCAACAGCGATCATCAATTCCGTTTTTGGCCCGAGGGTGTCATCCACACCATTGAATATTAATCGGCGCCAATGAGACAGCACAACGGATGCTGGGTGCGAACCACGGGTTCGTCGTCTTCCAGATTGCGCAAAGCCCTCCCAGCCAATTGAGTGTCCGGTCCGTGACTCCGTCGTAGATGGCAGCAGCAAGCCACAATCGTCAATACTCAATCGAGGCGAAGAATTATTGGCATGTGTGTTGTTGGCGCCACCACCAAGCCAATAAGCATCAGGGAATCACCTGCATGCTTTTAGCCCAGCCATTGAGCCCAGCCTATCATGTACTCTCCTCCGATCGAGCTATGCAGTGGCCCGTGGCTCGAATTCATGCCTCGCTCTCGTCAGATGGTGTAGAACAGATTAATGTCCAAGTCACTGCGTAGTGACGATGATTTTCGACTATAATGTCCGAAACCCACCTTCCTGGGACAGCAGGTAGCATCGTTTTACCATTCTCACTTGAGACATGCCCCCCGCGCCGAGCCAAGTGAACTTCTTGTCCTAGTAAGTGAGGAGCACACAGGCACAGGCTAGTCGCTTATTAGGGAGACTTGCCAACGTGCTGGGCCATGCCTGTGCCGTTTTGGTAATTACCAGCCAAAGACAAGACAAATTGATCTCCACCAGGAGCCAAGGGGCAATGAACGGAGTCCCCTTTCGCACAGACAACATCAACATAGCGCCAGTCTGTCCTGTTAGTGCCTTCGATCATGATCGCCGGCCAGCACGGACATTGAGGGGATTGCCCGAAGTGAGCGAGGGACCCGGCCGTCGACAGCATGCCAATAGGATTCTGCATACATAGATAATGTATTACGACGTCGGTTGGATGCACCTGGCACATCATCGCTCGTGTGCCTCGCCCGCAACATCCGACCTAGCGCCATTCGCACATCGTAGCTGGCCTTTCCAGTGCGGGCTGCAGGTATATCGCGCGCCGACCGCCGCAACCGCAGCCCGCTCTGCCCAATTCCGGGTCTGCCCAAGTGTCGTAGAAGTAACGGACAATTGCTCAATCCCGATAATAGCTCTCACCGCTGTATCAGTGCTGCTCTTGGCAGATACAACACCGTTATCTTACGTACCACTTGCCCCAACACATCGCATGTTATCCACTTCCGCACAACAAGGGAATACACTATAATAATCTACCCAGCTTCCGACACTTCCTGTTCTTCTCTTCCTTTCTTTCCAACCCACAAACACTATCGTCTTAGAACCCCAGTTTCTTGCTCCAGAACAACCCTCAATCAAAACCCCATAGTCAATCCCTCGCAGCTTACCACCAGCTGGTATCACTGCCCCGCTACCCCGCGATCTCCGATTCGGACTTCGTCAACAGCCACATAAAGTACAGATCGAGGGCTCATAACCTCGATCACTTAAGTCGCCAAGACGTTCTCCAATCTCCTTAACTCGTAAGTCCCCTGAGTCTCAACGAAGACTTCGAATGGCCTGCTAATGTCCTTCGCCAGCGTTCACAACCCGTTCAGCGGATCCCGCCGCTCAGCCGCCCCTGGTGGAGCAGCGGACTCGATCGATACTCAGTAAAGGTCCAAACTACAACAAGACCTTCTGACAATAATCTCCGGATTCCAATTAGCCAACATGGCCCCTCACGCAGAGGAGCATGCGGGATCCGCTAACGGGGGTAACTCCAACGGAAACGGGAGCACTGTCCAGACTGCCGCCTATGATGTCTTCACAGTCAACTCTCCCAATGTCACTTACACGGATAACGAAATCAAGTCCAAGTACACCTATCGTACTACTCAGGTCGAAACAAACCCGGATGGCAAGCTCGTGGCCACCCCGACTGAGACTCTGTACGACTTCAAGGTCGAAAGGAAGGTGCCCAAGACCGGTATGATGCTTGTCGGCTGGGGCGGTAACAACGGTACGACTGTCACCGCCGGTATCATTGCCAACCGCCGCAACCTCGTCTGGCCGACCAAGGAGGGACAGCAGGAGGCCAATTACTATGGCTCCGTTGTCATGGGCTCCACAATGAAGCTGGGAACCGATGCCAAAACTCACAAGGATGTCAATATTCCTTTCCACCAGATCTTGCCCATGGTCCACCCCAATGATCTTGTCATTGGCGGCTGGGACATTAGCAAGCTGAACCTTGCTGAGGCTATGGATCGTTCCAAGGTTCTGGAGCCCGGCCTCAAGGCTCTGGTTCAAAAGGAAATGGCCTCTTACGTCCCATTGCCTTCCATTTACTATCCTGACTTCATTGCTGCCAACCAGGAGGACCGTGCCGACAATTTGATCCAAGGTAGCAAGGCTTCTCTGGCCCACGTTGAGCATTTGCGCAAAGACATTCGAGAGTTCAAAGAAAAGAATGGTCTTGACAAAGTCATCGTGATGTGGACCGCCAACACTGAGCGCTATGCTGACATCATCGAGGGTGTGAATGATACCGCTGATAACCTCCTCAAGTCGATTGAGCAGGGTCACGAGGAGGTTTCCCCCTCCACCGTTTTCGCCGTGGCCTGTATCCTTGAGAACACTCCCTTTATCAACGGATCTCCCCAGAACACCTTTGTTCCCGGTGCTATTGAGTTGGCGGAGAAGCACAATGCCTACATTGGCGGAGATGACTTCAAGTCTGGTCAGACCAAGATGAAATCCGCTCTTGTTGACTTCCTCATCAGTGCCGGCATCAAGCTGACCTCCATCGCAAGCTACAATCACCTGGGTAACAACGATGGTAAGAACCTGAGCTCCCATAAGCAGTTCCGCTCCAAGGAGATATCCAAGTCCAATGTCGTGGATGACATGGTTGAAGCCAACCATGTTCTCTACAAGAAGGGCGAGCACCCCGATCACTGCGTCGTGATCAAGTACATGCCCGCTGTAGCCGACAACAAGCGTGCCTTGGATGAGTACTATGCTGAGATTTTCCTCGGTGGTCACCAAACCATTTCGTAAGTCTAACTAGATCCCGTACGTACGGGACGTGATCCATTGACATTTCCCCAGGCTGTTCAACATTTGCGAGGACTCTCTGCTGGCCTCGCCCCTGATCATCGACTTGGTTGTCATGGCCGAAATGATGACCCGTATCCAGTGGAAGGCTGCCTCCGCCAATGGCTCCGACACTGGCGATTTCAAGAACTTCCACAGTGTTCTCAGCGTCCTGAGCTACATGCTCAAGGCTCCACTGACTCCCCCCGGAACTCCGGTTGTCAACGCTCTTGCCAAGCAGCGCGCGGCTGTCACCAACATCTTCCGCGCCTGCGTTGGTCTCGAGCCCGAGTCTGACATGACCCTCGAACACAAGCTTTTCTAAGCTAGTTCCTACTTGATCTTTGGCCTTTTTAGGCGTCAGACCTAGCGTCCAGTTCCTGTCCTTTCCGAATTGAAATCTGATACGTGATGGTCTTCATCATGAAACACAGTCGTTACCGAGAAACCAATATAGCAAACTAAATTGGTGGAAATGGTGCCATTGTGCGCTCGCATATACAAATACTAGCTATTTCTCACCTCCCAAAAACACCGCTAGACCAAATCCGTGACAATATGTGTGATAGAAAAGGTGATCTCAGATGCCACTCGGAAATAACCAACCTTGGTAGTCGCTGCGTGGTGCAAGTTGAAGGTATCCGACAAAGTGCAATAGCCAAATGCCACTCCGGCATAACCTAGAGTATCGTAAAATGAGGAAATAGCCTCAGTTTGAAAAATAGTCACATTTTATATCAAATTCTGATTCTATGTGCCTCGATGGTGTTGGCCTGCTATATGTACCTAACAGTTGAATTATGAGAATGAGGGGCAACAGCCACTGTGATGGCGCTCTGCTCCCTAAGGTGGCTGATGTCCGCTGTAGCGCACGTGATCCAGCCTCCAAAGGTGGGTTACGTTTGCCCATCAACCCACAACCGCTACCTAACCAAACCACCAGCTACACTCGATCCTCATAGTAGACCCAGCGATGCGCAAAGCCCAACCGTCAACGGGGCGATCGGTTATTGACACTTAAGCTCATACAAGCTGCACCTTCGCCACAGGTTCTAGGCTTTCAACTCTAGCTGGTGTACTTGCAATCATGCGTACCATTCAGGCTTCGACCCGACACCAGTCAACCTTGGCTTCGCGAGCCATCGTTGTAATCATCGAGAAATCAGCAATACCTTACGTTTAAATGCCGGTTGGCCAACGACCGACCGTCGTATATCTATCGCGTATTTCAGGCGTGCATTACACCGATACTCGATCCTGGTGGCGGTCACACTGGGACCAGGACTACATATTATTCCCTCCATGCATGTTTCTCCATGTCAAGGGACGCGGGCGAGCGCATCGCTTCCAACCGTCGGTGTTTTTTGGAACTCCGACCGTGCTGGTTGCTGTGAGTTTCGATAGTATTTTCCTAACTAGCTCGCTGGTGACGAATATCGGATAAGCTATGTCGGGGTGGCCAATTTTGTTTGGCTTTCCCCGCCGTTTAGATCACTACGTGATGGCGCAGCTGGGATACATCCGCCTTGCCCATGCGCCCCCAAATACTCATCCAACCCAGCAGGCCTCCTAGCCGTGACCAAGATTCCTCGTCAACGGGGAACTAATAAGTTATTCGAAGGGGAAACAGAGCAAATGGCCTGTGGGGGGCTACCCCGCATGGACGGACTGTTGTGCAACTACGGAAACCTGGATTTTCTCTTTGCCTCCTGTCGCCTTTTTTGATGCCTGGCTGTCAGCCTACCTGTCGGTCAGCTTGCCCGTCAGACAAGTCGGCAATTGCCACCGCTTCTAGAGTGTGTGCTGCATACAGGTTCAGGCGCGTGGCGAGCCTCTTCTCTTTCTGCCATGCTCCAAGTTTGTCCAGAAATTCTCCCAGCAGGCCTCACAAATGATGTTCCTCAGAACAGGCAGTTGAGACCTTGGGTGGAGAGTGGGGGATTCGTAAAATGATCCGGGAGGATCTCGTATATAGTGTGCGTTGATTGACTCACAAGCTCTGCTGTCTACCTAGCCTTTGTCCATGACAGGCATGAGAAATGGGGGCAGGGAATTTCTGAGCGTGTACTGGTTGCACCAGAGCCAGCAACGACTTGCTCGGTCTTCCCTTGTGGTGCGCTAAGAAGATGGCTCCCACACGGACATTTGATGCAGGCGGTTGGCTTGGCGGCAGTCCGCTGAAGAATGAGGGAGGGGAGGAATGGCTTTCGTCTTTCTGCAAGTGCATTAAGAAACCTCGCCTGCCATGGTTTGTTGCTCTGGGCCAGATCCAGCTGCTCCCCTGGTGTAGTCGGCCGGGTCCCTGGCAGTGGCATTTAATCTCGTCTCAGTGGATGACAGAAGGTGTTTGCGACGCCAAAAAGCATCCAAATTCCCACACGTCGCATCCTCGGACAGTGCATTGCCTTTTTTGTCATCATCCGCCGACCAGCACCACCCTCGTTCCGTTCCTGCAGCTCGCTTGCCTTTCATCTATTCCTTGACGCTCAATAATTTTCGCAACTATTTTCGCCGAGCAGCCGCTCTGCTTACTCTGATCTGCCTGCTTCATTGCAAGCAGACACGACCATTCGCAGCCTTGTGCTGGGGGGTGGTGCTCGGCTAAGGTACGGGCATTTAGTTTGGCGACCAACACTAAAAACTCAAATGGGGTGTCGCAATGGGGGATCTCCAGAGCCTCCACTACGTCGCCCTCGACCTGCTGCCATGAGAGACGCTGGGGATAACAATGACCACCGGCAAAGGGCTCGAGTCGGTAGGGGCCTAGATTCCTCGGATCAAACTGGAACACCTCCTCGCGGGCCCCGCAACAATTTTCCCAGTAGAAGCCGTCGACGTAGGCCCGGACGAAACGACCGTGCCTCGAACCCACAGCACCGCTCGACGGACGACCAGCCCGAAGACTATCAACGACAATCCTCCCCCGGTGACACCCGTCGAGCTGAGAAGAGTAATGACTTAATTCCACGTTTCAGCGCCAAGTCCCACCGTGATCGAGAGGCTGAGGGCAGGTCTGGTCGCGACCGTGATCGAAACCTTTCGCCATCGTCATCCAAGCGACAACGAAGCCGGAGCTCCAGCCAGTCATTCACGGCTTCGCAGCGGAAGAAGCGCAGGGGCTATCAGGGTCATCCTCGCAACAGGAACGACAATCGAGCCGAGCACGGCTTCAAGAGAGGTCGCAGACCTTCTTCGAAGCATCGCCAGTCACCTCTCCCGCACGCGTCCCCATCCCGGGCCGAGAACGCTAATTCTCTGTCCAACCGCCATTCAAGCCCTGTGTCTCCCAGGGCTGCTGAGGACGGTGGCCATTCTGGCGGACAGGAGTCAAGACGTGTGAGACCAGACCATCATTCACACTCTCGAAGTCCATCCCCAACTGGTGACGATCGTCACGCGTCCAGGAACTCCCGTCGGTCATCATTTGAACGCTACCAGCAGCCGCACTCTGCTACCACAGAGGCTCCACCAAACACTGAAGAGGGTGACCATCATCCCGAAGATTCTAGGGCTCACACATCCGACTCACCCCCGATCCATCCAGACCGAAGGCGTTGGGGTGACGCCCACAGACCCAATAGTCCGCCACAACCAGAGTTCAATGATAAGATGGGCTCACAGGCATCACACAGAAGAGGGCACCATCCCAAATACTCTCAAAAACAATCCTACCGTGGAGATTCCCGCCCCTACCCCCCTTCCCCTCCCCGTGTAGGTTCATACCACGACTCACCTTCGCAATCATCATATGGGCCCAGACGAGGCAGTCGGGGTGGTGCATCGTACTCGCCCCCACAGTAAGTCGACATCCAATTTCCGGCTTTTGACTTTTGCTAATATATGATCCAGTCAATATCCATACAACGAAGGATCAGGTTCCTATCCGCCATCTGGCGGCCCAGCAGGATACTATCATCAAAATCCTCCTCGCTCGCCCTCGTACTCGGGGCCACCACCAGGAAATCACCGCGGGCATCGAGGCGGGTCCCGGGGTGGCGCCCCTTATCAAGGGCGGAACCATCGAGGATCTAACTATAAGAATGGGAACTTTGGTCCAGGCAATCATTCACAATCTTCGCGAGGCCACTATTCGCAAGAGGAACCCCACGAAGATGATGAAATCCATATGGAAGACGAACCTACGAACGGCGATCCCGCGATGAATGAGGACACTTTTCGACCACAGGATGAAGATGAAGGGGCTTCCAATCAAACGGATCAACCAGCAGCTATTCCCCGGGGACCATCAGGACGGCCACCGCCAACCGGGCCAAGTAGGCAGTCAAACTCGTCTGCCAAGTTCAGCTTCGCCTTTAAAGCATCAAAGCCTGCCGCCACTGCCCCGAAACCCGAAATCTCTCAGAAATTCAATGCCGCTCCTCAACGCGATAAGGAGTCAACTAAATCAAATCAGCAACCCCAACATGACCCGGCACCGCCAAGATTTGCGCCTACTGAGCCAGCATCCGCGCGTCACCGTAACGAAGGCAGAGGAAGAGGTCCACCCGACGAGCCCAGGGACGGGCCCAGGGTTGCACCCAGAATGCGAAAAGTGAAAAAGATCATACGAAGACCGAAAACCCGCCCGAGTCTCCCTCAAGAGCTAGCAACATCTAGCTCTGTCTTCTTCAGGAAACCCGGCAATGAATCCGTCGTAGGTTCTGGTACATATGGCAAAGTTTTCAAAGGTTTAAATGTCTATACCAAAGGCCTGGTCGCCCTCAAGCGCATACGCATGGAAGGAGAGCGAGATGGTTTTCCTGTCACTGCCGTCCGCGAGATCAAGCTACTACAATCTCTTCGGCATACAAACATAGTCAACCTGCAGGAGGTCATGGTTGAGAAGAACGATTGTTTCATGGTGTTTGAATATCTATCCCATGATTTGACGGGCTTGCTGAATCACCCAACTTTCAAGATGGAACCCGCACAGAAGAAACATATGGCAAAACAATTGTTTGAGGCGCTTGATTACCTACACACGAGAGGGGTCCTTCATCGCGACATCAAAGCCGCGAATATTCTAGTGAGCAACGAAGGCGTGTTGAAACTTGCTGATTTTGGCCTGGCTCGCTTCTACGCCAAGCACCACCAGCTTGACTACACCAACCGAGTCATCACGATATGGTACCGATCACCAGAGCTTTTGCTGGGAGAGACGAAATATACTGCCGCTGTGGATGTTTGGAGTGCCGCCTGCGTCATGGTTGAAATCTTCACGCGGCACGCCATCTTTGCAGGTGACGGGACAGAGCTCAGTCAATTGGATAAGATCTACAACATTCTTGGCACACCGAACCGGCAGGACTGGCCTGGCCTTGTGGATATGGCATGGTTCGAACTTCTGAGACCAACCGCGAGGAGGAAGAATGTATTTGCAGAAAAGTACGGGGAGCGCGTCACGCCCGCCGCGTTCGACCTCCTCTCCGCCATGTTTCGATACGACCCAGCTGCTCGTCCAAACGCGGCCGAGGTCCTCCAGCATCCCTACTTTACCACAGAAGAGCCGCTACCAAAGCAAGCGTTAGAGTAAGTTACCCATGCCATTTTGTTCAAAAGGGTTTGCAATTCCAAGACGACAGCTATGCTAACGTGTATCTCAACAGGCTGAAGAGTATCGATGGAGACTGGCACGAGTTCGAGTCCAAAGCCCTGCGCAAAGAAAACGAGAGGCGGGATCGCGAGGCTCGCAAGGCCAGTAAGGATGCCGCCGCTGCTAGTCGTGCGAGGGATAAGAAGCGATCGCACGACAGCATCGACCAATCGAGAGACCCAAAGAGGATACATGTGGACGCAATGACAGACGATGCCGCCCCAGTGACGGCCGTAGAAAACGTCCCGGAGACGTCTAACCTTGAGGAGCACTAAAATCATCAGGCGGCGTTGTATGGAACAAGAGAAGAAAAAAAAGTTACACCTTTGGGAATATTTCGGGTCCTACGATACCCGTCGCATTATGGCAGCAAGGGA